AATCGTGATCGGCAGTTCATCCGGACGAGTGTCAGTTATAGCGTTTCGGACAAAGCCGACGCATCCGTTAGAACATTGATCACACACTGATTTTGTCTCTTACTTTTTCATCATAGCGTGCCACAGAAAAGGGTCCGGGAGGCACCGTTAATTTATATCCGTCAATGTTCGAGTATTTTCGAGAAACTCTTCTAGTCTTTGTTAATCCTGCGACCTAAAAATCGCCAGTTCCCAAAATCGTCAGCTTTGGCCTCTTCCGTCCGTCCCAAATCCAGCTCACTGACAGCGACAGAGGCACACAGGAAGTTCATCAAGTACCTGCCTATGTCCCGAAATTCTTCCAGCCCAAGAATGGCAAAAGCAGAGTGTGGATAGAGAAGGATGAAACTAGTCTTATGGTGCCACTTTTCAAGGGCGCAATAGATGTATTAATTTGCGTCTGGGACAGCGATATGACACACCGGATTCAATGGCACTGTGGGTTTGTCCTTCACCTCAGCGGGGAGACGGTCATTCAACCACTGACAGGAGATCTTATTTTCTATTACCACCTTTTTCGTAGGCTCGGCGTCTGGGGAAGCGGCAGGGCAGGAGACAGTGGTGGGCGAGGGGGAGTGAACGAATGTGCAGGCAAGATCGGAGCCGCTGGGGAAAGAACCTCCTAGTCCTATTATTTGCGGATTCTAGATTGCGTTCGTGATCATGAATGACCAGCCTCTCTCCCAGGGAGGCCTGTGGGATTTTCTATCGATGTTGTATTAGTGCGAAGGCTGAGTCAGTAGATTGTCCTAACGCGCCAGAACTGAGTTGTACTCTATTTATGTGTACCTACTCTCAATTACCTACCTCCCTTGCCTTAATTGAGTATTGCTTGACCGGCGATCTAGCTCAAATTTCAGCTGGACATGCACAGCCTGCTGGGCTGCTAGGTTATTCGGGTTTTGTTGTGCCACTTACACCGTAGATGCCCATCCATCATCCTGGAAGCCCTCCCAACCACCACCGAGTTGCATTTTGGTGCAGGGGAAGGGAGCGTTCAAACTCAGAGCCTGGGCAAGCTGCGCCGCACGGCACCAGGGCTTACGGGCAGCGGGTGTGGTTGCACGTCGGCGTGGAGCTCCCTGCTGCAGCTGTGCCTCGGTAAGCCACGGTCGAGGTCAGGCTCAACGCCCTGGATGTACTCCATGCAATGCTGGGCCGCGAGCTGGGAGCATCTGCCAGGTCACATGATGGTTCATGTAATTGCACAATGCAGGACGACATTATCGACTACCAAGTGGCCCAGGCGGCCGCAGCATCTGTCCTTCGTTCTCAGTATCCTCTCCGTCCCGGCGTTCTCCCTCTTCTTCAGAGGGTCCCAAGATCTCTCGTAACCTGGCGATTCGTCACCACAATCAGTCCTCTGGGCGGGGTACTGTACAATACCACACAGTTGGGTTTCCCACGCCTGCCATTCGCTGCTCAAATTGTGGCTTTCCTGCCCTGTGCCAGTTCCCTGGCTCGTTGGGCCTGTCAGGGGCTGGCCTTCGCAGGGCATGGGGGTCTGACCTGCGCGGGTCCTGACACTTCGTACATACAGCCCCAATGGAATTCCTGTAAGCCCCAAGTCAGGGGCTCATCCTCCTGCAGAGATTTTCCACCTTACAACCAACCCACCAATTGACAACAGCCACGAAATCCATCACCACTTTAGCGTACGCGTATACAGTTTCCACAAGGACCACAAACCAAGGAGGCGCTGGGACCAACACCCACGGAGTCAGACAAACACCTACCTCCGTACACCGCCTATAAAGTATAAACTATAAAGTGACATCCTTTGGCCTGTTATGCTTAGCTACAACCGACTTTTGTTTCCCACACAACCCATCCCCTGATCAGCGCTGCCGATCGGTGTCATTTGCGATCTTAAGCGGCTCGTCTGCGTTTAAGCCGCGCCTTTTCTATTTCTTTCCACTTTCACCTTTGATTCTCCCCCGAGTATAGACCTACAAGGAGGATACTTTCGATGGATTTAGCGCCCAAACCTCCAGAGCACATCACTGATACTTTCAAAAAAGTTCATGGATTGTGCATTGTCGGATCTTGATAAATACAATAAGCGAGAGGATTTCAATATCTTCCTGTAAGTTTTCTTTGTTGTGTAGTAGTTCATCTCCTTACAATACAATTTCAGGCAAAGCTGGTCGACGCACCATTACTCCTCTCTACACGAGCATGAGAAAGAGATTTTGTTGTCCCTGTGTGGTGTTTAAGTTTCCATCAACAACAATGCTCATGGGAAACAATATCCGCCTGCTGCAGACATCCCTGACATATTCGAGCAGTGGCTTATCCAGGGTATACGGAACGAGGAGGATCCAGGATCGGCAATACTGAGATTATCAGCATTGATCTCATTCGAGATTCTTATCGGGCACACAAACGAGGTTTGCAAGTTTCAAGGCACTTGTAAGGGTGCCCATACCTGTGAGGAAAAGATACGCCTGTTTCCAGGTCATCGTCGATGGGGTCATCTTCATCAATTTGCTATGATCATCCAGGATTTTCAAAACCCCGGAGGTATGTTGCGTACCTACTGGTATATGGGTTGTGCCATCCTCCGAGTGGAACCGCAGGCGGCATCTGGTTTCACACATACTGTTCTCCGGGTCACCCCTCCATTCTCTGTCTGGTCTGGGCTGACTGAGGATTATTGGATGAGGAGGGTTGGCCAAAAAGAGAGACACGAAGACATATGGGGCCACTTCCACGATTGTATAGTTCAAGCTTTGGATGAACTTGGAGTTGACACCACTGACTGTACTGGCCTATGTGGTTGTTCGTACTAGTGTAGTATTCTGATCTGGCAGATGATTACTTAGGTAGTCTGCAGTATGTTCTGGTTTCCATTGGGCCTCAAGCTTACATTTTCCCTTATACTGTATATACAATCATGAGTTTCGCTGAATGGCTAGGTATTCTCTCCTCGTTCCTTGTCCATTGATGTGGAACGTAACTTGAAGTAGGTACCTGGTGGCCAAATACCTATAATAGATGCGGGAAGGAACGAGGAGAGAATAGCCACTCTTCGCACCGTAGCATAAGTAGCTGTTGCCAAACTATAAAATGCTAGAAGAAACCTCTAGGCTAAGCATCTATAACGGTATGTCTTGGAGACCAACCAGCTCAATACTTTGGGAGATAGCTTATTGTTTCCGGCGTACCAAGGAGAACTTCCTAGCAGCTAGACGTCTAGGGCTCTAAAAGTAAGGGTAGATTAGAGCAACTCATATCCATACTATTGATCTTATACCCGTCTTGCAAGAGCCGAGATTGTAGTGGTAATCATCGATGGAATTGTTTGAGTGACCGTTATGACTGTTTGTACAGCAGACGGTGGTACCGATTTTATAGCACTGCTGACTTGTACTGTATCGATTGTTGTTGGGGCGTCATTTGGACTTGGACTCCCTGTTGTAGTTGGAACTATAGTCAAGGCAAGACTTATGGTGGACCCCCCAATTGTAGTTATTGTTGGGCTGGCTATCGATGTCTGAGCTGCATCTGAATTCGGGTTTGGAGTTCGGGACGACTCTGCAGCCACTGGCACCGAGCTTGTCAGTTGGCTTGCAGTTGCTATAAAACTGGTACCTGGGAGTGCGTATTGCTCTGTAGTCGCTTGCGTTCCACTCTGTGTAATAGACTGGTTCCAATAATGGCTGGGACGTAGTGAGGAAACAACGCTGCTCAATGTTGTCTGGAGCTTTGTTTGGAAATGGTACGAGTTGTAACGTCTGAAGACTGATCAAGTAGACAAACGACCAGGCCATCTTGGGCTAGCGGAATAGAGGAGAGGTCTCGCCACCCATCAGAAACCACAGCAGAAGTGCAAATCGGAGATTGTTCATCGCATACCCTATTGGAGCCGTTAGCTGGTATCGCAGAATGTAGAGTATTTTGGACTACAGACCACAACACTGAAACTTCTCCGTTTGGTGCACTTTGCGGAACTTGAAAGCTAAGAGCCTCTTGACCTTGACAGAGTATCTCTGGGTAGAAATTAAAAACAACTGGGGGAAAAGCTGCATCTGAGAACTGTAGGACTGCCCGGCAGTTCTGGCCAAATGGATTTTCATGGCTATATGCATAGTTAGCTAAGGAGGTTCAAAATTGTGCATAACTTTGCAATCGAAGCTAGCGTACACCGCTGAGACATTTGTAGAACCTGCTACAAGCTGCATTGGAGGATTGGAAGTGCAAAGAATAGGGCTATTAGGCGCATTGGCTGAAAGGGCATCGATAGCCCAGAATAGCCACAGCAACATGCCAAGTGTCATCATCATAACAGGGAGAGTTTCTTGGTTGGTATCTGTCAGAGGTGTCTGTATATCTTTGCAATATATTCTCGCGGTTCTCCGGCTTTCATTAAGGAGATTTATCTAGTATAAGTATATACGAAGTGTAAGCATAAACTTGAAGTCAGGGCACATATATATCTACGGTAGGTACTGGAATCGGTTGGTCAGCCAGCTCCGTTTCATGTTTGCAAGTAGCATAGCTACTGGCTACCTACATGTACCTATCTGAGCTGCGAAAACTCTTCAATATAAAGTTTCACAAGAGAGTTACTGGCAACTCTCCCGGGCCGGCAAGGGATGATTCTCAATCACACGGGCCGTAAGTTAGTACCCCTTTTGTGATGAGGATGCCGACCCGCCCGAGCCTGATAAAAAGCAGAGAGAACACACAGGTTTGCAGGCTCTCCGAGCATGCTTGTAGTGCCGGTGTTGTTCGACCGATTAGTGGCAGGCAGCAGGTCATGGAGTCGATATCCTGAGACAGAGTACAGACCCTATCCGCTGGCAGTATTTTCTTCAGGAGTCCCGACCCAATGTAACTCTCGAGTCAAGACGGGGGATTCAAGGTGAATAATGGCATTGAGTGGCCAACGTCGGCGCTCAGATATGGGTAGACGTTTGAGATTTCAGCTTGCTGTCTTGGTCAAACTGGCACCTGGTCAACAAACCCTAGGCTCGCTGATGAAGGTGTGATTGGTGTATTATCCTGTCCCGGCAAACATTCAGTTAGCTTCCATGTCTCCTTGAGCCGTCTAATCTGGGTCGAGCCAGGTGCAGAGCAATCCGTCCCTTAAAGTCCAGCGGTGTCTTATAGATTTACTGCTTGGCACAACTTGAAGGGAGCCAGCTGGATTTGAGATGTCAAGAAAGCATTCTGGTGTTTCGCATTTGACTCGCAGGGCCTTCTGTAATGCCGCTGTAGACCACTGCACCGCTTCAAGTTGGGGTGGACGGCCCGATGTTAAGCAAGCTCGAGGCCTGAATCTAGGTAGGGAACGATTCTATGACAACATAAGGATGCTAACCGCCTTCCTCAGCCATATGCCAGGTCAAATCTATAGTAATGCCACTCAAAATTCTCGCCGACAACCGACATGGATGAAAGCAGCTGCTTCTTGGCGAGAAAGAAAGACGGAACGAAGCAGAGGTGCACGGGACGATGAAGGATGGAGTCTTTGGAGGACATGTGCAAATGCGCCACCGGCGGGTTATCCGTTTGGAGGTAAGGTACCATTTGCCCTAAGCGATAAGTATCGTGTTATGTTATGTCATGTTGAAGGTGCAGGAGTCGTTGGGCTTGACACAGTCACCCAATATCCAGGTTGATGAGCTGATAATAAAGAGCATTTCGAGTTGGGATTTGGGCCGCAAGAAAACCCCGCATCGGGCACATCTCCAATGTTTTCCCGCAGTCACTCAGTTTATTCGTGCAGACCAAATGAAGAGATTCACATTTTCCACTTCTTTTCCTATATCCAGACGACGTCAGATCTAGGCTCTTCCGAGCGGTCATTTCTCCTAATGCTCGCACTTCCCGAGCCGGGTTTGTGCTTGCCACTGGAGTGAGAGTGCGGACACACCTTTTACACAAGCCGTCTTCCGTCGCAACTTCGGCCCTTAGAGAGCTGAAGTTCAGCACACTCGTCGTGGGAACCCGAGGGCGGGCCGACGGTACTACATGCCCTCGTCGACGGACGATTAGCATAAGGCAACGCAACTTGCACCTACAATGGCGGACCTTGGTCTGCCCTCCAACCACTTGGCAACCATCCTCAACGCCCTGGCGTCTATCGACCGCCGCCTGTGCCGCATTGAAGCCGCTCTAAAGATCTCCAACTTGAGCCCGAGCGCTCCTACCGCTGGCTTGTCCTCCTCTTCCTCTTCCTCTTCCTCTTCCTCCTCCACGACCGCCACCGGAACCGCCACCGCCGTCCCAGGCCCGACCCAGGCGGGGCCTGTCGCACCAACCCCGCCGCATCAGGCGCATGCTCTGCAGCAGCGAGTCCCCCACCCCGCTGGCGACCACCGCACCGTCCCGGGCCCCGTAACCTCCACACCGCTGGAGCCGCCGCCGGAGGGCTACACCATCTCGTCGCGCGCAACCATGCAAGAGGAGCTGGACCGGTGGACGCTGCCCCGGGGCTACAGCATGCGCATCGCGGGGGCAAAGGTGACGGGCAAGCGCAAGGTGCGGTGGGCGTGCTTCCGGGGCGGGGAAGCGCGGCACCACCGAGCGCCGGTGGACGAGGCGGTGCTGCTCCGGGCCAAGGCGGAGGGGCGGCGCAAGCCGACGACGGACCGGACCAGCAAGAAGTGCGGCTGCCTGTTCAGGTTCGAGGTGATTGAGACGGCCAAGGGCAGCGATCTGTGGGTGCTGCACTACCCCAACGCGGAGCACAAGGTGCATAATCACGGCCCGTCGGACCAGACGACCGATCCGCGCGCCCGGAAGCTGCCGGCCTTGATGTCGGCTGAGGTAGATCAGTGGCTGAGGGATGGGTGGCTGGTCAGCAAGATACAGGATGAGCTCAGGGCTAGGGGATTTACAAACGTTCTGAATACGGATCTGTATAATCGCAAACGACTGCTCAAGAAAGAGGAAGGACACCCGTAGATGCTGACTTGGCATATTGCAATGGGATCATTGCATCCCGCCCCCATCCTGCACCCCGTCACCATTATGGCAAAGCTTTTGTCCACTTGTCGAGATTGACAACTCACTCGTCGCCGGACACACTCGAAGCCCTATCGTGACTTGATCTCAGCCTAAACATCATCATCTAGCTCCAGTCCATAACGGCAGGAACATTGGTATTCGCAGTAGTTGGTATCCTCCACTCCGTCAGCCTTTACTTGCAGAAATTTTCCAACCTTGCAATAAAGACGGCAACGACATCGAGGATCTCGTTAGTGGCGAATGACGAACAGAACCGTCTCAAACTCCATCGAAAATGCTGCTGCTGCTGACAACCTCTTTGCTGTATACCACCGTATGAAGGAGAGTGGGCCTGCATACCTAAGTACAGTACTTTATGCACGAGCCAACGGGGAGCTGAACTTCGAAGTGTTCTACAATCCACACAGTGTAGTCTTGGAGAGAGAGTGGAGACTGATCTTATCTTATCAGTGCCCGATAAGTTACCGAGAACCGACCGAGGGCAATCGCTGAACCAGTTCATCAATGCGCCTGGACTTGGCAGCGTGCTGGTACTGTACAGCGCGCCTTCGTGCTCTTGTTCCTCCGTCCCTGGCCCTTTGTTTCTGAGGTCATTGCAAATATCACCAACCCTGGACTCCAACGCTCTCTCTTCGCTACTACAATGGCCCCGCAGTCGGCCAAGGTGCCGGCGATGGCGAGTAATGGTTCAGCGCTTGACGACAGCAACCCAGGAGGACCCCCATCGGGACTCTCTGCGATACGTACCCAGTATACCTCGGAGCAGAGCGTCCGACAAATGCTGAAGAACACGGGCTACGATGAAGCGCGGGAGGATGGTTATCGCCTGAAGGGCATTCAGTTGATCGACAGTGTGCGGGAAAGTCTGCAATTGTAGGTTGCGTTGCGCCTTGCCCTCGCGACCCCGCCACCATACCCCAGCATTCGCTAACAAACGACACCTTGCCGCCAGACCAGTCAAGACGTTTGACACAGCGGCGATATATTACCACAAGTTCCGAACGCGATTCCCCAGTAATGAATACAACTACGAGGATGTCGCCCTGTCGGCTCTCTTCGTGGCGTGCAAGGCCGAGGACACCATCAAGAAATCCAAGGAGATTCTTTGTGCGGCACACAACTTCCGGCAACCGCATGATCATAAAACACCAGATGACAAAGTAGGTCTCACAGACCGGGAATCATGGAGTCAGGTTTGAGCTGTTGGCATGCTGACCTCCTGCAAGATATTCGAGGCACCGTCTCGGTTCACTGTCGGGCTGGAGCGACACATTCTCGAAACAATTGGCTTTGACTTTCATGTCCAGTATCCTCAGAAGCTTCTGATAAAAATGGTGAGGAGGATGTTTCCAAGGGGGGGTAGCAACGAGCAAGACGAAGGCCAACGTTTTCTGCACGTTGCCTACGATATGTCGATTGATGTGTACAAGACATTTGCGCCCATCAAACAAACCACTTTCACACTGGTTCTGGCCATTCTCGAGTTAACAGCGCTCCTCATGGACACCGACTCTGGAAGAGCCAGCCAATTCAAGACTTCTGCAGCATTCCATACAGAAAGGGCCTGCATAATCGAAACAATACTGGACCTGTTGGATCTCTACACACAGTTTCCCAAATCCACCAAAATAGGTTCTCGGTTCGATCTCAACAAGCTGATGGATGTCAAAATTAATATTAACAATCAAGTGGCGAAGGAAGAGCGTCAGCGCTACTACAGATGGTGCGATCGATGCGTCCCGGAGGCATTAGATGCCCGATCGGTCACACCTGGTTCGGCAACATCCCCGGCAACAACAGTTCGCTGCCGGGAAGCAGCTCGGTGAAGCGGAAGCGGGCTGCCAGCGAAGGGACACAGCGGTTCGTGTTTGATGCCGACGCGGCGCGGAGGGAAGTGGATCTTGTAGCGGGCTACTTCAATGACGAGTATGAGGAGGTTGAGGTTGAGGAACCACTTAAGGAACCGGAGCCCCGCCAGTCCAACCGAAATAGCCACCCGCAGCGCGCCCACGGTCAGAATCACGGGGAGTATGGGTGGCCAGGATACTATCGAAATAGCAGGCATGGACCTCACAATGACCGGCAACGGAGTCGACGAGGTCACGGGTATTGAGTCGTGCGATGGGATCGTTGCTAGACGTTCGATGCAGTGTACAATCTAGGGCCTTGGGACAGGCCACAGCCATGATACCCAACCTAACACCAAATGCTCTGGCAGTGGTGTCTCCGAGATAGCGCTTCCGGTGTTCATGCCTGCACCCTGCTGCCCGTTTGTGGCTCATGCGGAATTTGCATGTGCCCTTTAACGACTCCCTCGAGACCGCACGATGTTCCCAACGATGCTGTTTGCCTCATCTGCAAATTTTTTTTTTTTTTTTGGACGTTGCATAGAATGCTCCAATACTAGATTGGGCGATGCACCTTGACGTTAAAAGTAACTGCTGACAAGAGAATAATGGGGTATGTTGGTGGTGATATCGTTGCTGGGAGGCTCCAGGTGAACTGACATTTTAGGGTTAGGAGAGCTGCCGCCCCTGACTCAGGGGCATGTACCCGAATTTCGGCGGTGACAAGCGCTGACAGTTCAAGATCGGATGAGTTTTGAGTCACATGTAAGTTACCTTCTTTTGAAGTCTGTCGTGCGCCTCGACGAGCGAACTCAGTTTTCGGGTTAGGAACATTGTCATTCCATCGGTGCGCCGCTGGGTGATGAGAAGGTCAGAGGGGAGGTGAGGTTCTGAGAGAGAAACACAACCTGGAAGTTGGAACTCAACGGACATCAACACCGCCACTGCCTGCAATTGTAGCAAGAAATCGCTCATGCTTCCACTTGTTGTGCTGGGGCTTGCGACAAACTCCAGCTCAGGCGTACTTCTGCTAACATCAAGTACCTTTGTCGAGCGGGCCATTGCCAGGTGAGTGCAAATCTTGTATTTCGCCGCTATTGAGTCCAGTCGTCGGTGTATTGGTGGTATTGCATATGTCAGGGTCAACCCGCAGCGTCTGCAAGGGCGTTGCTGCGGTAGTGGCGGAGTTGATATTAGCGAGGTGTGGGTTACACTGGGAGATTGGCGCGGTTGTGATACCAGGCACTAGGACGAGTCTAGTCACCGGGAGTTGACAACCTGGAAGGAAGTCAACTTGAAGGTCTTTTGGTTGTTTTCTTTCAGCCACCCAGCGCTGCGCAAGCACACAGCCGAGAAGGCTAGTGCCCGGGTAGGTATACGGGTCAATACAGTGCCATTGGTGAGACTGGACAAGAAACTTGATGAAGGTGGTTCAAGTTGTTTGCCATCTGCATAAACTGGGCAAACACCGCCGCTGTTCGGCGGGTCATGCCCTGCGATCAAATGGTGCCCACTGCAGCTGAAGAAGGTGTTCAGCTTTTAAAGTTTCCCGAGGTCGCTACCGTAGTACTGTCCCATAAATAGCCCCTTCCTCCGCAAACATAGTTTGACAACGCCCTTCGTTTCCTTCTCCTGATTTAGGGCCAAGCGCATTTGTTGTTGCGTGCAATCTCACCGTGACATATCCTCAATGACCCTCAGGCTGAATAGCAACTACTCCTGCCCATATGGAACAGTTGCATTGAGCGTCAAATTGCCTGTTGCGGCAAACCTCGCGCAGATGTATTAACTAGGTACCTTAGCTTATAGATTCGCTGCCAGCGCAACCGCCGCCCCGGGCCTGAGCTAAATTCGGACCGTGGCTGCCTGTGGCGACCCATGCCGCCGGTCCAATTCTTGCAGATGCGGGCGGCCGCACAAGACCCAGCGCGGCTTCAAGAAAAGCCCGGACAACATTCCGGCCAGCCGTCTCCGCGCGTGGTTCGGCTTCCGAGCACCCCAAGTATCACTCCCACTGACACTACACGTGGCGATGCCCGCAGACTCTGGAAGCCGCGCGAGTACCACAAATGGGAATCGCCGTTCCTCACCGTGGCCTTCTTTATCGTTGGCCTGGCCTTTAGCATGGCTCACTGCGGTTTCTACGCTTCACTTGATGGCACCATTGTTGGAAATCCTGCTGACCAAGAGAACAACCTGATGTGAGCAAATGCGTTCTCCGGGCAGTATCGGGTTCCTAACGACAGATCAGAGTAGGCACGGCATTGGCCTTTCTATCCCAGATTACCCTGAGCGCCAGCGTATGGCAAACTTACAAGCAATGGATCTGGCGGTCCATCAAGAAGGTACCCCTGAGAATGGCCACTCTCAATGACATCTTTGGGGTTGAGACTTCGGTACTTTCGTTCTTAAACCTCGATATGTTCAGGAATTTCAAGCTTGGCTATATTATGGCGCTGTTTGCCTGGTAAGGGCCTCGTTCGTCCTCTAGATCTCAGTGCACAATAACAATAACAGAGCTAATTCCAGTATTACCAACAGGACTCTCATTCTCCCCCCATTCTTCACCCCTGGTACTCTCTTCGTGTACAGCAGCCTCAAGGAGGATGTGGTCAGCAAGCAGGTCCCTTATTTAAATATCGCGAATGGCAGCGAAGGTCACTACTATGCCTTCTCACCGTCAGAGAAAGGGGACCGCTTCAACTTCAAAAATGTCCTCAGCAGAGTCTTTAACGGGCCCAGGACCATTCTAACACTCCTGTCGACGGCAACCGCTTCGCAAGGAGAAATCCTGCCCCTCAGGCCGCCGAGCAACCACTCGGCTTATACCCTCAGCTTCTTCGGCCCGGCTGTCCAATGCACGCAAGCGAATTCGTCTGTGGAGGCAATTATCAGCGAGCTCCTCGCTCGAAAAATGAACGAGACGTCGGTGGGGACCCTGGTGGAAGTTCAGAATGCTTATTTCTCCTTCGTGCCGAGTTTCGACTCACAAGGCAATGTCACGGCGCTCTGGGACGTACGCTATCAAAGTCCTTCAGTCGCCTCAAACGAGGTCTGGATGGCATTTGAGCGCTACGGGAATTCGACAGGCGGAAGTTGCGACCATGATAAGTACTTTCAGGTGTGTGACCTTTGGAACGCGACATACGACCTGAGTCTGGCCTGGGAGAATGGATTCCAGAACATTACGGGATCTCGGGAACTACTGCATAGAGTTGAGTATCCCGCCGACGAGCCCGGCCAAGTCTCGAACATGGCACAACACGCCTTCTCGGCCTTCTTCTGGGTTATTTCTGATCAAGTTGTGGGATCATTTGGCTGGTTTCAAGAAACAACGGCAAACGACTCGGAGCCGAGATATTTTGGTGAGATTCATTCTCCCATCCAGCACAATGCTTTGCTGGGATCCTCGGACTTGGCTGTCTTCTTTGACTACAATGAGGACAGGGAGGCATGCCAGGTTCCCTACGCAAATCTGTCAGCGCAGCGGCGGCAAGACATCGACCTGGCTAAGAACAGGACCCTTGGCGAACTGATCGAGGAGCTCAGCTTCAACACCACCGTCAGTCTCATGCACAACAACATCTACACGTATGTATTCCGACGATTCTCGCTGTTCTGATGGAATTTGGTCGACTGAAGCTGTTCGTAGAAATGCAACCACCAGACTTGTAACTGTGTGGGAGAAAGTCAACCGATACGGGTACAATCAAACGGGGCTTTGGATTCCCTACGCCCTTTCCTGCGCTTTCACTTTGATTACCGTCATCATCGGGGTCCTTGTGCACATCAAGCACGTGGTGATCGGGCACGAGGTCATGCCTGGAACAAAGTTCCAAGACATTCTCTCTGCGGCGGACATGCAAGTCATCACCATCGCAAGGGACCCAGACTCCCGGGGCCGGTCGTTGATGGTCGATTTTCAAGGAGGCATTCCCACCTTTCGGTCCCCGGCAGTCACCTAGTGGCCTCGCCCGTCGTTGGCTTAAGCTCCTTCACCCATAACGTGAACTCTTGTTTTGCAAGTTTTTGTTTTCTCGCTACAAGATGCTGTCACATAGAAACCGTCAGTAAAATATGAGTGGGCCCCTTTCAGACGGATGAGATACTGTCATCGGATAGCTGATATTACCTGATCTACTATGTTCTAGGAAGAAGATACTTAGCTTAGAGGAACTGTAGATGACCGGGCAGATGAACAGCATAAGACAAAGAGATCAAACATGATCCCGAGCCTTCATGCCAACCTCGGCTTGCATGCCTAGTACGTCGGTAAAGTAGTAAGGAGGCGTTTCTCCGTTGGCATCCAATACCGACTCGAACGCGAGGGACGATGTGACGACGCGTTTGATGGTTGGCGTCTTTGCGCTGACTTCAGCATTGAATGTACACTGTTGATGGCAGGGATTAAACCACCTAGCGACCAGAGGAGCCGCTCTTGCGCGAGGTCGTGGCAGAGCAACACGTGTATTTCAGCGAGCGGGGGCATACTGGCTGACCATCATGGTATTAAGCCGCTCATACACAGCAGTTCATCACGGTAGGCATCTAGCTAAGAAGAAAGAATAAGGCCAGTGGAATATGACGTGATGTCTTGAACACAACATGAAGTCCGGCTACGTGTTGAAGCCCCGGAAAGGCTATACGTAGTGAAAAGCGAGCTACGCTGCTGAATTGAGCTGAAGTAACGAAAATACGACATTGCTAATGACAATCTGTTTGGTCGGCCAAGCCGGATCTAGAAACAAAAGAAAACAGAAAACTTCCCCAGTTCTTCACTCCTGCTCGATTATAACTCCTCGACTTTCCGATATCTCACTACTAATCGGCAATACCGTTTTTATATCCAGCCCGAGCCCTCTCCTTCCTGCGTTCTCCAGCCTTCTCAGACTGTGATCAAGGTAGGTGGTGCCTTACTTAGGCTGGGGGTTAACGCTACTCAGGGGTTGCGTACCTCTCTGCACGAGGCACAGCAGGGATGTCTGCACAGATAGCAAAGAACAACATTGACGTTCTCTTCGTTTAGCCCCTGCGGGTTCTGCTCAACAAATCCCCAGATGATCGGTGGCATTGACCGCAAAGCAGCGGCAGCACGCCCACCCAGTATGCGCAGGGGTGTTGTCGCTGATGCCGCTGTCCGGCCCCGAATCCGCCTCCGAATCTGCAGAGGAGCCAGAGCGGTCCGGGGCCTTTGACTTTTTGGAGGAGCCGGAGTGGGTGGAGTGCTTGGAGCGCTGAGAGCCGTCTGAGGCAATCCCGCCGTCTAATTCATTCCCGCCGTCTGATTCAGGCGCCGAGGGGGACGGGCCGGAGGCGGACGCAACGGCGTCGTCGTACGGAACGGGGTTGTCCATGTCGTCGACGACGTACTGGCTCTATCCATATTCATCGACGTGGTAGGCGTAGCCAAACTCATCTGGCCAGTATTCGAAGTCTGGTTGGCTAGTAGATGACATAGTTGCTGACTACTAAATAAGATGAAGTTAGAGACGAAGTGGTTAGCTTGGTATTGGGCCTGTTGGTTCAGGAAGGGAAGACAGAAAACTGACAGAGATGTTATATAGCCCCTTTTTCTGTGCTTTGTACAACAACAGGGTCCGAGGAAGAATAGCACCTGCCTGATGGTAACGGACCTGTCTTGAGGCAGCAACCTGCGCCTTTACATGCCCTTTCGAGCATATTTAAAGAGGCGATCGGCCGTAACTGAGTTATTACAGGGGCTAGGGGGCAGGCAGCAGCAAACCGCTTGTGCTTCTGCGCCTCTGCGCCGTCGGCTTCCGACCCTGGCTGTAGGATTCGTCCGATCAGGTTTCGGTATCCGAAGAGCTATTATTACGACCCAATCACGCCCTTCAGGCACAAGGTGACTTACATCTATTGGGTAGATTAGGGGATAAGGGGGGCATAAAACAGCAGCAGGCTTATTAATTGAGCTTCCGCGCCCCTGCGCCCCTGCGCCCCTACGCTCTTATCATCCAATCATAGTGTAGATTTCTCCCCAGCTGGTGCCTCAGTGCCCGGCGTGCTATGTGCCTTAGCCCCTGATTCGGCTCTTCAGCCCCGAAGTGAGTCATATCTGTTTCGGAGACCGACGGATAGCAAGACCTGGAAGAGAGTTTACCCCGAGGATGAATCTTTACTCAGGAGGCCTGCCAACTCGCCGATTTTCCGATCTAAAAAAAGCCCGGCGAGTGGATATGGCCATGCAGATATCACAGAGTTGTGGCAGCATCTGGTGCGGAGTCTGACGTGGGAATCGAGGGTAACAAAGAAAAAGAGCTCTGCTGTACTGTCCGTGGCTCTACATGTCTGGAAAAGAGGCAAAAGGCAGTGGCTGCCTGGAAATCTGAAGGATATAGGTGTGAGCCTAGGGAGATTGCACTACCGTAGTCAGTCCAGCGACGCATACCGAAACCGCAGCTTCAAATGAATCGGCAGCTGTCTTGCGCAGCCAACTCCCTTGGTCCCGCCCGAGCACCAAGAACTGAAAGAAGTCCTACTGACCGGAGCGCTGCGATGCCGTATGGACTATCTATGGACTGCTCTACCCTACCTACTCAAGGAAGATGGAAACCGTACTGTAGGCCTCCCTCTGAATCCTGAGCACAGACCTCAGTCAGCCATTGCCTTTCCACCATCTCCACTCTGTAGAGGAGACTCTGCTGTGTTCATCGTGCATTCAGTCTTATCAATAGTACCGTATTAGGCGATATGCCCCTTTTCCGCCATATCGCACCCTACTCCAGATATGCCTCCAGCATCCCTGCGTCAACACCCCGCTCGGGCTTATCTGCTTATTCCCAGGCAACCTCGGGGCTTTTCCAACTGCGCTACTTTCAGTGTTGCTTTGCAGACATTGCTCAGATATTCAGAAACAGAGCCATGTTAGACATCACCCGTCTAACAGCATCGGTGGTCTTGTCCCGCCTGCAGCAGGGCACCATCACAGTTGAGCAGTATGCCCGCGCTCTCCTCGCGCGGATCGCCCAGCGCGATCCAGCGGTGCATGCATGGGCGTACCTAGATTCGGACTATGTGCTTTTTCAGGCGCGGAAGTTGGACCAAGTGCCTCTGTCCGCCCGCGCTGCATCCATTAGCAGATGGGAGGCCAAGGACTGACGAGGTGGATCCCCCATCGCCTGTCAACAGCGTCGCCCACTCTACCACTCTCGTGCCGTTTCCCCTCCTCGATTCGGCAAGCCTCGTGATCGCCCGGGCGATACAGATGGACGCCTTAGATTTGGATGTCAGCTACAAATCCCTCGGCGATCTTCTACAGCGTCCACGTCTTGGTGAAACCGGCCGCATCGACATCCCTTGGAAGGAGAAATTCCTCAACAAGCCTCTTTTCCCACTGAAATACGCCGAGTTCTGGGCGATTTGGCACCGGTGCCTCTATGTCATAGGCAGCCGGGGAGATATCCGCCCTTATTCTCTTCGCGTTGGCGCTGGAGCCCGGATGGATGGTACGTTGCTTTCAGACACTTTCCGCCGCTGGATATCAATTGACATTTTTTTTTTTTTTTGTGCAGACAGTTTGTCAAGTGCCCTACGGAACTACGTCATGGGCCACTCAGGACCTGTTTTCGAAAATGACTACCAGACAGCTGTCGTCAGAGCCAATCTCGCCGCAATAGCGTTTGGGCCGAAAGCGGTGCGCCGGGATGAGACGCTCTTCAACGACCTCCGCAGTATGACCCTTACACGGGACGAGGGCGCCCCCATCAAGGTGTCGGAAGCGCAGATTGCGAAGTTCCGGGAACGAAAGGATATCGCCAAGATCCGCGACGAGATCCAGCATACAACCGACAAGCTTGAGAAGAGCAGGCTTCGCGGCCAAATCCGCAGCATCCTCGAGACTTGCAAAAGGCTACAGCTCGAACAGGATCGACAGGCCTACTTCAAGGAGGCGGACCGATTGCGTCTCCAAGGTCTTGAGCCGACCCCAACGCCCGGCATGGGGGGGCCGGGTACAGCGGCTCCGGTGGCCGCCTGTCTATCGCGGTGGAGACCGCGGGACGAGGGCGAATTGCCGCCAAACGACACAAGTGCATCTGAGCAGTATGTCGATGCGCAACTACTATACCTGTCGTCTACCGTAGCTACAGCTCGTCAGCGGGCTTCAGAGGCAGCGGCACCCTCTGAATCGCAACAAATTTCCTGTTGTTTCGCCTGCTTCAAGGGGTATCCAACACGCTCTGGCCTTACACGGCATTTCCAAGACACCCATCTTGACGACGGTACATTTGACAACCCTTTCGCTTGTCCCCCGTGCAGGCGCGCCGGGGCAGCAGAGGTTATCGTCCACGGTCCAGCGGAGTGGTGCAATCACCTCGAGCATACCCATGGCCTAATCCATACACCAAGATTCAATCGAGGTGCCAGCTACCGGGGCTTCCCGTCAAACTCGCCGTTGGCCTGCCTTTTATGCGAGGAACCCATGGCGTCTATGAACACTCTCCTCGCCCACATGAATCGGACCGAAATTCCTCGGTATCGTAAGAACCTTCGCGTCGACTGTGGCGCCTGCACTCGTGAGGGCCAAGTTGACGTCGAGCCGATGAGCATCTGGGAATGGCTGATGCACGCTCGGGCCGTTCACAATTGGGCTCTTCCTCACGTGGCACCGTGCCCGCTCTGCGGACATCTCTGCACCCCAGGGCGTGGCCACCGGAGACATCTCGCCATTCGGCACAGCGACAAGCTCGGAGAGCAATCAGAGAGCGCCGCGCCCCTGGCTTCGGCAATGCCGGCAGGAGAGATGCAAGACGCGTATGACCTTGAGGACCTACTCCGACGTAGCGTGGGAAAGCACCTGTTAGGACAATCGGCGGCAGATATTGCACGGCGAAAGCGCAAGAGGGACGGCGAGATGGACGGCGAGTACACAGCGCCAGCCGCCAAGCGTACGAAGGGCGACGGCGACGGAAAGTGTCTCGCTCTAGCTGCCAGGCGTACAGAGAGCGACGGCGACAAGGAGTGCCCTCCTCCACCCGCCAAGCGCAAGAGGGCCGCCAGGCACAACGTGGCGTACAAGGAGCTCTCCCCCATTGTGATAGACGATGCCGATAGCGACCTATGCCTGGACGTGATCACCTGCGCATCGACTGTCGACGAGCAGCAACCGTGCCATGTCACGAAGGATCATATGGGCTCAAGTGCGGCCTTGGATCTTGATTTCCTAGGGCACATCGACCCCGCCATTCTCGCTCCGTGGCGGCCAGCCAATGCCGCCCACAACACTGCCGCGGTATTATCAGACTATCAGACGCAAGAAGCGCTCAGGCGGCCGCGGCGACGCCGTGGCCGCTGCCATGGCTAAACGGGAGGGCTTTGGGGTTTGGGTCTTATAGCTGGACGACAGGGCGGTCATAGAACTATGCATGCTCATTCATATTTAGCTATCAACATTGCCAACACACTGCCATGTCTCCTGTGTATCTTCAATTGCCAGTGAGATATTCGGTTCACCGGAGAAAGTAGAATACAGCGTTAGCTCGGTTTGGGAGGTAATTATGGCAGAGTCGTGTGGAGTTCACAGTACGTTAGTTAGATAATACATTCATTGGACGTGATAAAGCAAAGCGATACAGATGTATAGTTGAAAAAAAAATGCCTCAAGTGGTATGCTAGCTGTTGTTGATCAATAAACCCTCGAAAAGCATGGCTCGTGTCGGCCCCCCCTTGGTGATACTCCCCTGTTATCGTTTTCACCGCTGCTTAGGGATAGGGTTAGTTAGTCCCCGAGGTCCCTTTTCTCGTTCCCGTCCCGATTCGTGTTCCCGTTCCGGCAGCCCACCAAGGCGCAGCCAACAGCTAACTTGGGTATATAGCGAAAGAACCTCTAATGTTTCTTGAAACTGCCCTTTCCGATGAAAGCGAGTTTTTCTACGCCCAGCATACTCGGAACGACCAAAATGTCACTAGGCGCTGTGCGAGTTCCTCTCGACTTCTTGGAGTTCCCGGACCGGAGGCAGATCAGCTTCAAAGTGCGGGAAAGACTTGGGAGAGTGTTTAGAAATTTGTCTAAAGCGGGCGCCACCGAGGTTCGCATACCCTGTACCGTGGAAGAAGGGAAGTTCAGACAGATTCTAGCGCGATTGGGGCTCTCCGCCGATCAGCTCCGTGGAACTCGGCGGAGGGGACAGAGGGACTTGCCTCTTCTTACCGGAGTTACATTGTCGTGCCTCTACGGCGACTATCTTGTTGCGGCGGCCAAGGGGAACAAGGAGACTTCACTGATCGTTCATCTGTTCTCTGCGGATCGTAAGCTACGAGTTCCCTCTCCCAAAGTTGGCTGAAGGCTGACGATTCAGTGCTCGATCCACTGCTCGAACTCATTTCCGCGTTGTCCTATGAGCCACAAAAATCGAATGGAGAGCTGTACCAGAAGATCGTAGAGAGCTACCGCCGCGATGAGGTCATATACGCACTCTGCATGGGATCTCTTACGGGGGGATTTAGTATGTGCACGGTGGGTCACCGAGAGCAGCTGCACAAGGAATTACCCTCAGCGATCAGTCCACCATCCGGTATCTTGACCGGAAGTTGACTCTATCCCTAACATTTACTGCCTATGGGAATAGCTCTCCGCTCTTTGTTTTCCGCGTCTGCCACCGTCGCCCGAGGAACGCGCTCCCTGAGCACAAGCAGAATGGCGCTTCATCCGCCCCAAAACGCTGCTAAGCTGATTTGTAAGTACTTACCTTAGTCCTGGCGGTTCATCACATTGACCATAGACGCTTAAAATTCCAAGTCCAACAGCAACGGGGGACTGTGGGTGCTTGCATTTAAGTTAATTTGCCGATCTAAGGCGGGCACTTCAGCAACCGCGAGGAAAGTGTCGATGAGCCAAATCTGAACTCTCCCTGACGCGGGCCCCCGTACCCGGCTTGGCAGCCGGGTATCTATGTGGGGTGTCTTCTCTGGCGGGACTGCCGTGGGTGGGTGAGTGGGTTTGCATAGGCAGGGGGTGGGTTAGTGGATCTGCCTGAGTAAGCCGAGATTAAATACTCCGAAGCACTGGCGACCGTCTCGAACAACAGCCCCTCTCCAAACACCCCGGCGTACGTTGTCGTTTGAACCGACAATGGTGGGCATGGATGTGTACTACTCGATGAGACTGCATTCCCTTTGGCTATGGGAATGGGAGAATAGCTCTTTTTGATTGGCTATGTAGGGCTCTCTCTGGGGTAGCTGGCGGCAAGCTGTCCACGCACAATGACAATTGTGGGGGGCGGCCTTGAGGTTGCTGCATCGGGATGGGGCGGCACTTCACTGGTTGAACTGCCTCCTTAATTACAATTTGCCACGGATGCAATCCTCACCCTAGAGGTGGGGTTGCGGCGATGTTAATTGAACGGGGATCTGGTTCATAAATTAGCCGGACCTGGGGCTGATGCGAGTTGATGATGGACATTGAGATGTGACAAGGGATCTGTTGGGGTATCGCGTGGTCTTTCCTGAAATGTAGCTCCCAGGGGGTGGTTTCACTCATGTCATCGACACACGTCGACATAGATTGCCCCGGTCGGAATCAACCACCACTTGAAATACCATAATCAGATTTGACGTGGAGGATAAAGAATGGCAGGCCTACCTTAGAGACTGGCCCGCTTGGCCATATCTTCGTAGGTCATTGAGATCCAGGTTGGAGGGTATGGAATTGCTGCCTTGACAGCGCGTATCCCGGGCAGTATTGCTCCCACGCGTACATGCCTACCACTAAAAGAATGGACATTTCAATGGCTTCCTGACAGTGGTAAGCTCGTACGTGTGAGAGCTATACTGGTGGAAAATTTGGCGTGGGAGGTCGGCCTGTACGGTCGGGTGGCAGTTCGCAACGGCTGCATCCCGGGCATATGGTCACCCACGAAAAAGCCTACCACTGGCAGGAAGCTCTTAAAGTATTCTTCCAGTGGTGGGCCTGTACGCTTGGGAGCAATACTGCCCAGGAAGCGTGGAAAAGTAGGTCCGTACGGTCCGGTGGGAGGTTCGCTTGCCAGCGCGCATCCCGGGCAATCGTGGGGCCAGGCGTGAGATCCTACCACTAGCAGGAAGCTCTTAAAATGGCCATTCTTCAATTCCTACACAAGGAAGTCAGTACTAGGTTACTAGGTGGAAAAAGTGGTATGGAAGGTTGACTCAACGGCTCCCATGTAACCGCGACGGCCCACGCGACGGCACCCACACGACGGCACCCACGCAATTGCCTGCATCCAAGCCAGTATCATACCAATGGGTGTAGTTCAACTAGAGCTTAAACGCCTTGCAAAGGCCATCATTTTGAGGTATCTGGAAGGTAGGATAACTGACTGTTGTTGTGGTAAGTTGCGGGTGGAAGAGTAGGAAGAAGAGTGGTTTTCCGACTTGGTATTCTGTGACGCAGGCCGCGATTTTGTTCAGAGAATGTCCTGCTGCAGTGGATTCTCGAGCAGGTGCCTCTGATCGAAGCCGAGTTGAACGAACCGAAGGTAGCCGAAGGCGGCTCGCGCGCCGGACGTGGCGCGAAGAGGAGCAGACTCCATCAAGACGATCAAGTCACGGATGACTCGAGGTCTACAAAGCGGAAGAGAGGTGAACTCAGCGCGGTCGCAGATGATACTGGAGCTTCTACACAAGCAAGAAAGCCACCGAAGCGCGGCCGACGCGATGACACGGACCGTGCGCGACCCTTGAAGCGGCTCCGAAACGACGGTCAAAACTCTGTGTCTCATGCCGCAGTGGAGATGAGCGAGATTTCCAAGGATTGTTCTTCACAATCCATAGAGACATCTCAAGGTCAGGCAATCTCCCAACAGCTGATGGTCGAGGTGGGCATCAACCGCGATGCGAGGGATATTGCTGGTCAGACGCTGTTGCGATCCTCCAAAAACGGGCACAGGGCTGTCATCCAGCTTCGTCGAAGTGCTCGAATTGCGGCTCGCCAAGACCTTTCTGGAACTGCTGTTGCACATCCGCATGGTACCGACAGTGCAAGCCAACGATCTCGTCGGAAGGTTTTACAAGAACGGGTACCTCCTTCATCCAGAAGGTCGCGAGAGCGTCAGCCAAAGTCACCCACGCTGAAGACGCCAAAAGAAAGGAAAGGAGGCGCAAGAGGCAGCAGATGGCTTGACGCATCGATGCAAACAGGAGTCTCAAAGACAGGACGGACTCAAGGTTAACAAGATAGTAAATATGCGTGTAGAGGCCTAGCTGTTCAATTCCGTTAACCATCTACCAATTGCATGTATTTGACGGGCATGGGTGTATGTACATTGTTGACTGCTAGCTATTTTGAGTTCCTTGAAGCCCGTGATGGACTTGACTTCTTAGGACGCCTTAATGTGATGGTGGAGGGCGCGATGATATCTGTGGCCGAATGTCACAGCCAGATATATGGCGCCTCATAAACCGTCTTCAAGTTCATAAGCGCCGACGGGCACTACTGCCATGTCACAAATTGGTGACCGCAAGAGTGGCAATGGGAATGTCCCTGGCACATGATCGGTTCCGCTCCGACTCCCGGCTCTCCGCCAACGTTGAAACATCCTCGGGCCCACTCGGCCGCATGGCCCGGACCGGTCCGCATTCCCCGCACACATCCCCACTAATGGCGACCACACCTCGATATTGTGGAGGATGCGACATGTTTGGCCGACCAGCGAGCGAGCGCCACATTTGCTCTGCAGACCTGAAAATAGCCAAGCCCCAGAAAATCAAGACGGGACGCCATGTGGCGCGGCAACCTGCGCCACCAGAATTCCGGACGACTGATCTTTGTTGGCCAGCCCAGTTTGCCGCCCTCGATCCGGACGTTTCCGTCTAAGCGTTCGTATTACAAGGGTGGAGCTATAATATCATATCCTTGCAGGCCTTTGAACCAAAGTCCCCCCCTTGTCTTGGCAAGAGTGGAGGGAATGGCGCCAGAAAGAAATAATCTTGTTATAGTCGTACTACCTCTCCAACAAGGAAAAGCAAACTACGACACACATGGTTCAAGCAGCACTAGCACAGCCTGATTCACATGCGCATAGTGCATGCGCAGTGACCCGGCTGAGAAGCCAACAGCAGATCAAACCCATCCCTTCCTCAACCCTGAGGCCCATGAACAAGCGCATGGGTGGCAGCCAGCGAGTTCAACCGGTGAACGCCTCCCAACATCACCACAGCCAATCGAGAAGAGCCGGCTCACATCGTGCTGCTTGAATGGGAGTTCCGGAAATTACGGGAGAACAAGTGGCAAAGAAGAGGCTTGTTTGGGAATGTAACCGCGTAGGGAGGACGGCACAGGCAAGGAAGACAGGTTGTCCTTTTTCGTTTAATGCTGTGGAGACGCAGATAGGCACCGACCGATGGGAACTAAGATACAAGGCAAAGGCTAGTCAACATGTCCATAATTATACGTAGACCAATGGACCTGTTGCACACCCCAAGGGAGGAGATCGGACAGTACAGGACGAGAAGAGGTCAACAATGCAATATGGATAGATACACGTTGATGAGTTCTTCCGTGCCGGTAATAACTTCAGAGGTCGGGGGACAGCTGTGAGACCCGCTAGGCCTATTCTAGAAGTGCCTACAAGAGTAACACTCGACTCCGAGCCTAATCAAGTTGTGTCGCGACTGATTTGCCCCCTACCAAACGTTACAGTACGAACAGGCCCTGAGCAGCAAGACAGGAGGGTGGCTTATGTTGTGGCTTCAAGTGGCTCAAAATATGACGGCGAGGTTCAAGGCACGGAGGTGTGGTGTGGGCGTTGAGCACGGATCGTTTGGCGGCCCGAGTTTTATTTTTTGGCAAGGCTCGAGGGGACGGAAGGAAGAACCTTTCGTTCCTCAAGGCAAACATTGGCTGATCTTCTCGCTGGGCTTTGATGTGGTGTTCCCATCAGTCCAGGGCGAATAGCACGTCCACATCGGCCGTGCTCTTCACGTAGGGGACGCTGAGAGTACGGCTGATGTGCATAGAGCAGTAGGCATTGAGCAAGGAAGAAGAAGAGGGGGGGCCATCGCACTCCACTTGCCAGTTTGGGTTCCAGGGGGAAGAGCTGGCCCAGTTGGGCGACAAGAGGTATCAACACTGCCAAGGCGCTAATGCAAAGGGGGACTTCCACCATCCTCCACAGCATTTTTAAACTCCCTCGAGGCCCTCCCACTCGCCCCACTCGAGGTCCCTACATGTGCGAAACTGCCCCTGTTTTTACTTAGCGTGGCGGGGGCTGGGATCCATCAGCACCCACGCGATCTGACGCCCAGATACCTCTGCCCCGGTCCACTGGATGACTGGAGGCAAGAGCTTATATTCCTTCCGCTCGCCTGGAGAACAACACAGAAGCACATATATGAAGTACGCCATGAATGCGCACATACTTGTCGAGCGCCTCCGTCTCCGCCACATTCTCATACGGCTCCCATATCTCCCTCTCCATTTCCGCATCCAGGATGCAAGATGAAGGATGCTCTGAGAACGAGATGTACTTTAAACCCATGTCTACAAGGATCATGACATCTTTTTGTTCCAGCGGAGGCGCTCCATTCCAATGCGCCTCCATACCTGCAAATTTCCTACCAGAACGTTGTGAGATTGAAGGCCAGCCGGACGGCTATTGGCTCAAGCAGGAAGCGCAGCCGGGCTTAAACCGTTATTGGCTGTGTACAGTGTAAGGATTGGCCGCCAAAAAGCAAGTGGTAAGGCCGCGGAAGCCTGCGCTGGGGACAGTAGGGTGGGGTCAGAGCGTCCTTTCGAGGAGAGCGGGGGTGGGGTCAGAGCAGTCCTCTGGAGGATAGCGAGGTAGGCCCTAAAGTGGGGTAGGCTACCTAGTACCATACCCTAACCCCGCCAGTCCCGCCGTGGTCAAGACATGTCCTGCGCACCAAAGCGCTCCGCCGACGCTGGCCGGCTCGTCCTGCGGCAGAAATACGCTGCGGCCGAAAGCACCCCAGAGGGCGGCCCGACGACCTATCCACGGCCAATCGTTTCGAGGACCCAGGCCGGGCTGCAAACGCCGCAGTCGGTGCGTGTTTCTATCCGCGAAACGGGCCGGCCAGCGGCGCGGGCACGGTATGCGGATGAAATGCAACGCGTATTGCTGCTCCGAGCGCGGTAGGGCTGCAGCACCCTGGCTGGCACTTGCTGATTCGTTCATGGAACATCGCGCCGCGACATTGCAGAAATCGACGCGTGGTGGTCAACCCCAGAACAGGGACACTGGTAAGGATTGGATCCAATCACAGATAATGGTAACGTCATCCCCTCTTCTTCCCCGCGCCCACAAGATAATGTGACAGGGGACATCTCGGAGAAGGCAAACAGGACTGGGTGGCGATCTGCTCCCCTTGCTCCTCCATTTCTGGTAGCCATAGGTGACCTTGTCCGCACGCTCCGCTCTAACCCCACTCCTCTTTTCAGTCTCTTTGGGCTTCAGCCGCTACCACGTGGGACCGGGAATCCGGGAATCTGGGTGCTGGAAACCGAGATCTGGAATCTCAAATCGGGATTCCCACCCGAATCTAAGATCGTCAACGGCCCGGAGTTAGTATTAATTAGGGGTGCTCGATGTCCGAATCAGACCTGCCCTAAGCAGGCACCTCCCCTTTTGCAAACAGTTATGGAAAAACAGATGCTAAGCGCAGATCAATCCACACCAGAACCGCCAGATGACTTTGGATATCACTGACAACATATAACTAGCGCCCTCCTTCCTTTTCCCTCATTTTCCCTCCTTTAGTCTAGCAAGAGTGGGGCCCGAGCGTTCCACCTAAGAATTTCGGTCCAATTAGGCGCCGCGTAGCCATCCTCTCGACATTCTGCACCATTCTCCTCCCCATTCATCTGCGCCATTCTACTCCACATTCTACGCCATTTCAATGCAAAGATTCAATGCTGTTGCCAAAGCCGCAACCAGGCGCACCACTTCTTGTGAGGCTACAACCGCCAATACCCTTCTTCAGACCAAGTCGGCGATATTCCCATGCTGCGATCGTTAGTTCCAAACCTTAGATCAGCTAGCTGTGAGGGTAAAGCGAGGATGCCAAATAAATGCACTTCGTGTCGATTCCTGATGCATGACCGCAGGGGCTGCTAAACACTCCTGATGCCCCTGATTCAATGTATGTCTGCGGCCCATGTAAACATGTCGGGAGCTGTAGGATGTCCCGGGACGGGGAAAGAAGACCGTCGGTCAAGGCGAGCCACGAAATCTTGAATTATGGATGTTGGTTCGTGGGGATCGCTTTGCGATAGAGCTGCATGGTTGAGACAATGATATGTCGACTCGCGATCCATGCCCGCAAACGCGTCTCTCCAGTTTCGGCTGCGGCATGGGTGAGCTGGCTGAAGTGCTCACGGCGTCGTAATGGTCAATGGCTCTGGTGCAACAGCGCCTTAAGGAGGCTCTCAGTGCTCTAACATTATATAGAGTCCACTATACTAATATAAAACTAGACAACTTTCTAATAGTAAATAACAGGCAAGTGAATAACAGGCAAGTAATAGTTGTCGACCTTAAGCAGGTAGAGTTCGGTACTACAACGACCTAGAAGGAAAGTATTAATAGCACCAATGTTAATTCTCTGATCGAAACCTTGAAGATGATGTATAAATATTATAATTATAGCGTAGCTAGGGAAAGGTAGAGGTAAGCTCATCTATTGGTGAGTAAATGAAATAGAAGAGAGACTAGCTAACTACATTTGAGCCTTAGATAGCAGAACTAGAAGCTGGACAAGTATTTAGGGGCATTTTTATAGGGTCAACGGTAGGTACCGTAATCCATTGGGAATTATTTGGGATCATGATTAGAGTATTGTATCCTACCCGGGATCATTGAAGTTGGATAAAGGTGCCGACTCAGGCAAAAACTTGAAGGGGGGCTGGCAGTTAACCAGAAGTCCACGCCTTCAACTGGAAGTATAGTACATATCTATTGACTGCCAGGAACTGTGGCCAGGGTCATTAACGTTTTAATTAGGTAGACTCGTGTGGTAGACACCACGACCAGGGACGGAAGTTTTCGATCTCCGGATTCAGAACCGCCTAAAACCTAGGTAAGTACTAGGTATACCAGAGCTTGGCACTGAATATCGCGTTCCCAGTTCAGTAGGAGCTCCGTTCAACGAAGTAGCCACTTTACAAGATTGGCGAGACATTAATAGAATAGGTAGGCACAGTAAATCCGTCAGATTGGAAAAGATTGCAAGGGATGCACGCTCTCGCGGACCCTCTTATACAGCGGCCCCAACAACGGATGAGCAACGGGAAGTCAAGTCATCGAAATAATTACTCAATCTATCAAGTGCAATACAGACCTATCGACCCGCGCCCACCGCCGTCCCACCGCGCCCGCTCCCCCAGAAATTTTTATGATACATGACTCTCCAGCATTCAGTAGCCCGCTGCGGTACATGCCGCTCCGACTGCTGACCAACGCTGCAGTTCCGGGATGGCGATCTATCAACCGGCCGCCGTTCCGTTCCGCTCGTTCGTTTCACAAAGGCCCTACGAAGCGGGCTCCCGAGTCTCTGCTCATCGAATCCGAGTCAAAAGCCGGCCAACCGGGGTATGAATCGGCGTCTTTGTTTTGGCAGCTCGGGGAAGCTATCCACTGCATGTGATTCACATCGCCCTCTACACCCGCAGGGTTCTGTCGGGCAGCAGCATTCTTTTTGGTGCGCGCTTGGGGGTGGGACAAGTGGCTGGCCCCAGTCGGGTTGCCGTGACGCTCAGCACACTTGGCGAAGTGGCGTTTGAGGATGTCGCTGCGGGTGAAGTTGTAGTAGCATAAAATGCACGTGTACGGCCGCTCACCGCTGTCTGCGAGAGATTGTCAAATTACAGTCCTTAGAGAAAAAGGGCTAGGACTTACGATTGAGAAGATGGCGCTTCAAGTGCTTCTCAAACCCGTAAGTCTTGGTGCACTCAGGGCAAGGGAACCTCCCATCAGTATTCTTCTGGAAGGTCTGGTTCTTCGCCTGAGTCATTCCAACAGTTAGTGCAGCGGGCGTGCCTGGAATGCTGGGCAGAATGCCTCTACGGTCCTGCGAGCCCACCACATGGGTGGGCGGATTGCTGTCGGGCATTGTGGAAGCCCGAGGCATCAGCGGGCCCTGGCCGTATAGAGAGTTTATCGCCGGCTGCGGCATGACTCCACGGACATGCATCGGGCGTAGGACACCTGGGGCCTGACTGCCGACGGTGGCGGGAGCTGGATCGATCGGTTGGGGAGGCGGTGCTGCTGTGGTGCTCTGTGGCATCATCCTCGACAACGCGCTGGGGTACGGGTGCTGCGAGTAAGTGTTGTTTCTCATTCCCGGTACATACGTGCCATCGCGGCCCGCATTCTGCGGCAACAGCGTGTAGAGAGGGGTTGCCAAAGACTGGTATGGGTGGTGCTGTCGATCGTAGAGTGGTGCTGATGACGCCGAACCATCGGGCGTACCTTCCATAATCCTTCGCTCAGATGCGCACTGAAACATTGAGGGTATGCTCGAGCTGTCTTGGTGACGATGCGCCGTCTGAGAATAGAGTTGCGGTATTTCTGTAGGAGCATGGAGGATACGCTGAGCTGTATATACCATTTTCAGCAGTGGCAATGCGATGTGATATGCCGGCCGAGAAGTCGCTCGAGAGTACGACGTTCAGAGAACACTCCTAACTTAGCTAGACGAGGTTGGATCGTCCTGCCACCAGCTCGCGCTCAGCTGCTGCGCAGCGGAGATCTGCGGTATAATCTCAAAGCCCTGCTCCGCAAATCAATCTTTACCGTCGACTTCAGATCCCCGGCACCAGTGATCAACTTTCCCAGGAACAATGCACTATTAAATACGCACTCTACCGATTGGCTTGGAGAGGCTGGATGCGTCTTTCGGCGACGTTGGCTGCTCAGGAGGGTTCGAAAAGAACACCCATGTGGCAACGGAGGCCGTCTATGACATTGGAGATGCAATAGTTACCGGTATACCCTGCTATAAGCATTAAGGTCGAGTACCCTCTTAACAAGTGCCTTCTCTTCCAAGTCAGTCAATTTTCGAAGGTTGGCTTGTATTTCACGTCGTAGTTGCTTTCTAGTACGTCGATTCTAGAGCGAGCTTCGTAGGATCTTGTAGATCGTAGTAGCTTTTCGAATAGAAAGTTTAGGATTTTTTTTAAGAGTATCGAGTACAAGGAAAATACGACTCTCTTTTAGAAGAGGTCCCATTGTGCTTTGTAAAAGAAATTCGCGATTAAGTTCGAGAGGTTGCAAAGTGAAGAAAAGTGGCCCACTCGTTATACAAGTACGTTATATATATATATATATATTCCAAGTGTTTACCCGGCCTATACGGTACGGTTTTTCCTTTGTACATAGCTGGAGCGGGTCCGAGGAGCCTGTTAGATAGGCATAGCGGGGTAGGAATAATAATAATATATTCCAAGTGTTCTCAGCTCCCACTCTTCCTTTTGTTAACCCGAGGCGCAATATCACCTACTTACCTACTACTAGTAGTACCTCCTCATGCTCCGAGTCCTGCGATCTTACCACACCATTTTTGTTCTCCATGTGTTACAAGAACTACCCGTCCCTTCGAATCTCTGGTACCGTATATCACAACGTAATTAGACAAGAAACGACGTATATACTAGCTGCTAGTACAAACTTGGTCTCTAGTTGACTAGCATTGGGGAGCTTAAACAATGGTCCGCAGGCTAGCTAACACGCTCCCTTCCATACCTACAGTTTAAGTCTAGTGCACCGGCTAACCGTACAAGTATCAACTGAAGGTCTGGCGATGACATAGGCATGAGCAGACGACATACACAAGTTACTAGGGTGTTACCAGCCTGGTTTACATCTGTTTCCGGTTTCACAGAATGGACACATGCAGGCATACCTAAGCTTCTTCATGACTCCGACATACGGGTAGCAAGATTCCACGGCCCACAGCTTGACACCGTCCGAGCAGGTAACAAAGCAACGATGGAGTGTGAGCTCGCATTCTTCAGATATGGATACCTATTCATTGTCGCATTCATCTACCTGTAGCTAACCTGATACTTTGCAATTTGCAACTTCAAACGGAGTGGCCCTTGACCTTACGTGTTGGTCTCAATGGCGTCGGGGTAGCGTTCGCCGGCGGGCTTGAACTTGGCCAGAATTTGATCGATTTGGGCCATCTCATCGTCACTAATGTCGACGAGCCTGCTGTTCTCTACGACGCGCTCCACCGTGGTCGCGCCAGGGATGGGGATGATGACGGGCATCCCCGGACGTCGCGACAGGGCTCGGGTCCAGTTGATAGCCAACTGGGCGGGCGTGCAGTTCTTGGCCTTGGCCAGCTCCTCAACCTTCTCGACCAGCTCAACGTTGATGGGGAAGTTCTCCGGGCTGAAGCGCGGGAAGTTGAACGACAGCAGCAGCGAGTCCTTGGGAATGTCCTCGAGCTTCTTCCACTTGCCCGTCAACATGCCCCGGCCGATTGGGGAGTAGGCAACCAGCGGGATGCCGTACTGGGCGCAGGCCGCCGCGACGCCGTTTTCTAGTACTTCGGTCGAGAACCTGTGGTGGTGGCATGAATCAGTTAGAAACAGCCAGGTGAGAGTTTGTAGGAAGGAAGCTTACAGTGAGAGTTCAACCTCTACCGCCAGGACCTTAGTATATTTAACAGCTTCGTGGATGGTGGATGCCGCAACCTCGCTCAGCGAGATCCCGCCAATTTTGCCGGTCTCGATGAAATTCTTGTTGATGTACTCAAAAGTGTCCTTCAGGGGCACTTTCTTGTCGCGGCGGCCATACTCCCACAGGTCCATCAGCTTGCGGCCCTTGAGTTGAGCGATGCTGTCATTGATTGACCGGCTCGTGTTCTCAGGCGAGGCATCAATTTGGTGCGTTGCGGGATTCAAGCCACCCTTGATGCTGAGGACAACCTTGTCGGCGTCCTCAGGGTACTTCTCAAAGTACCGCTCCAGAAGCACCAAGCTGTTGTACTCGGGCGGTCCGTAGAACTCGCCGCCATTCCAGAAGTTGCCTAGACAACCAAGTGTCAGTCTACTTTCCCATATTATTTCTATCACGAGAGAGTGGAGTGGCTGCCACTTGCATCCATTCTTCAGCGCAGCACGCATGGTCTCGAAAGCCTGCTCCTGTGGCGGCGGGTTGTTTCGCCAGGTGAAGCCCATGAGGCCAAAGCCGATAGGGCCGATCTCCTTGCCGCCCAGCTGAGGCATCCTGGTGTCGTTTCGGGGTTGTCGAGCTAGCAGTCACTAAGGTTGTCAAGATCGTCTTCGTCGTCGCTTCCAGCAGTGCCAGTGCGGAATGTGCGAGAGAAGGTTTGAGAAGGCAGGGAAGTAAGGTAGGTCTAAGGTAGGTAAGGTACTTAGTAAGAATTAGAGCCGCAGTGTAATCACTAATCAGGAGGTCGTGGAAGCTGAATCTGTCCGACTTACACACGCTATAGGCCAAACCCCGCGGTACGGAGGTAAGCAATATGCAGTAGTGCCAGAGCCATGCAGCCTTGCCAGTGAGGTAGCCTGATGCAGTTCGGTGCGGTAACACAACTAGTAGGCCCGATCAATCATGGGAGTCTTCTACCGACCTCCCCGCTGCCATCCCCGAGATGTGTCCAACCAACAGGGCTGCAGGCTGCTGCGGGCGACGCCGGATTTTATGCGTGTTCATTCACTTATCTCCATGGGCAGCACACGCACTTTCTCAAGCTTCAACGACTCGTCATGCCAGCAGACCTCTTGGCAGGTCCATCACCATAGACAGGTACCTACCTAGAAAATACCATTCCACCCAGCCGTTTGAGCGTGTTGTGGTAAGTACACGTACTGCATTGCCACTCTTGAGGCGTGCGGCCTACAGCGTGTCACGTTTGCTGTACGACAGAATCCAGGGTCTTCGAATTCCCGAAGCCAAGCAAACATCGACCTGATATACGAGGAGAACATGGGCAAGGGAGAAGCTATCCAATGATCATAGTAACTTATGTTCTTACCTAATTTAACAGTGATATAGGGTGGCTAAGATGTGTAGCTGTTACGATGGGATTCTGTATTGTACAGTAGTGTATACATCCCATCCCGGCTCAACCTGGAAGAGAATCAACCCCCTATCTTCTTAAGCATCGTTGTTGATACTTGGGTTTGTCCCAGCCTTCTTCGGCTACCGTGCAGGCTAGAGATCCACTTGCTTCATTCAGGACAGACCTACTGGTACTCATGTGCTTGAATTGCAGTTCCTCCCTTCATGTTGATCATACCTACCTCGAGCTGCAGGAGAAGAGGCCGGAGAATACTTGGATTGCGGCGAACAGGATGCCGCCGTTGAAGGCGCAATCAGGGTTAAAAGGCGGATGGCGACATGACTCCTGTGCGAAATGCGCTGTCATTGCATGGGCGGGGTTACATACCAGAATGGGAGTGACACTCTCCGATCCGAGGGTCTGTTAAGAGGGGTAGTCGAGAGGATGATTTTTACATACAAGCTTTTGCCTTGCACTAACAGATGCCGTACCCTTTGAAGTACCGACATTGGCGACAAGTTAGGAAGGTGCAGACCACAGGTGGCCGGGGAATGGCTTTCCTCCATTGAGTGAGGGGGAAGATCCAAAGTACTGTACAATACAGAGACAACGGATGCGAAGTGCACTGCGACTGCTGTATCATGCACCGACACTAATCAAGTCAACTGAACTTGAACAACATGACCGACTCCCTGCTGGTATACCCGCTGTCCCAGAACCCAGGCCACTCACTCGGCGAGTCGGCAGCTTCTCAACGATTGACCTGCACAGTCCAGCATTCACTTCCGCATGCTTCTCAATCTGCAGCCAGTGCCCCGTCTCAACAGTAACCTCTGTCAAATCACTACACAGCTCCCGCATCGCATGGGTTCCAGCAACCGCAACGTCTTGGTGTCACACGTCAGATCCCATGTGGCGTGAATGAACACGACAGGCTGCTTTAGCCTGCCACCGTTTGGCGCCCGCCCGTGGTACGCCGCATTGCGCTCATGATTTATGTAGTACGCGCACCCGGGCCAGAAGCCCGTGTTGCGCATGTCCTCAATATGCGAATCAAAAAGCCTCAAGTGCAAGAATCGCCGACCCGGTCATGTCGACGGTCGGCGGAGCCGGCAAGTCGCCGAACCAACCCGTCTTGCGGACAAAAGCGAAAGGGGAGACACGGTTTGGGCGGGGGTTGACGGTCGGCTACAGGCCAGCAGGGTCCTGGTCCATCCATGAGACGGTGCTCTCAAAGTTTTCCTCAAAACTGCGCATGTAGTCCCACTGGCCAACCTCAATTCGTCCGCCGGGTACATGTCCCGGTTGACCAGCGGGACGGTACCAGACATCGATCAAGGCCAAGCCGGGAGGATCGGGGCTAAGTGGGGCCGGAATTGTGGATCCCCGGCACCCATTTAGCGGACCTGGGTACAACTGCCTCAGTCTGTTAAGAGGGGTAGTCGAGAGGCCAAATTTTAGGTGCAAAATTTTACCTGCACTAACAGACAGAGGAGTTGGAACCTTTCAAATCCTGTACAGCACTGTACTGGCCAAGCCCGAGGAGAGGGCCGTTCCTTCCCGGAGGGACGTGAGGAAGTCCAACGCCCCTGCAGCCTTCCTCGTTTCACCCTACAGGATGCCTTGTCATCTTGCAGCACGCTTCAGAATATCAACACTGAAGTCACACATGGACATATAAATGCGGAATCCACAGGCCGACATGGAACTAGGGACTTGATCAACTGAAATATGACCGATTCCTCTCTCTCACATGTGGCGGCAGATGCAGGCACAGTCACCCATAAACAGTCTCATAGGGTTCTGATTCTGGACCGAACGAGGGAAGAAGGCGCTTGTCGACTCTTCTCGAAGCAAGCTGAGCCTGAGTATGCAGTAGCTACCTACCTTAGGCATCAGGGTGTTCTACTACTGTCAAAAAGCAGAAGCACTAGACAACCGGAGACATGAGACAGAGGTCCTTACAGAGCAACTTTCATGAGCGATCATAAGTTGAAGCTATCACCTGCGCGTACCGCCTAAAGAGACTACTACCTCCATACAAATGGAATCCACGGCCCATCACATCCAATCCTTGGCCGTTCATCCCGGAAAAAAGGTTGAGCAGCTACCAATCTCACACTTCTCCAACCATGCACAATGTCCCTTCAATTCGCATTACACATTATAGATTGCCGTGGGCGGAGCATATCCCAGCAATTTCTCCCCGTTGATCGGGAGCAGCGACCGCTCCTTGTACCACAGGTGGGCGTCCTTGGCGAGCTGCTGGACTTCATTCATGTCAAACTTGGGCTCGCGCAGGCGGCCAAATACGCCCTTGGCGTAGTCCGGAGAGATGTTGTGCAGCTGCGCAAGATACTTCTTCTGTGAGGTTTGTTAGGATCTGCCGACACGATCCACGTACACGAGCTTCCACTTTGTTCGCACATACCTGAATCTCTGGGTACTTGACATAGCTGAGATACTTTGCCGTGTTCTTGCACGTGTTGTCCCTCTGCTGCTGCGTCATGACCTTGGTCCACAGCTGCGTCGCCTGGTCGTAGTCGTTCTTCTTGCCCTCGTGCCAATAGTGGCTCTTTCGGCTCATGATGTTGTCGCTAACCGTGTAGGGGGCTTCGGCCGTGTCCGGGCGGAACTTGTGGGCAAAGCTGTTGGGCGCGTACTGCTTGTTGCCCGCGTGGTTGGCGTCGACCCTCATGGGGCCGTCAAAGTTGAGCGACGCGTACGACTTGGCCATGAAGGGGCAGTTGACGGGGATCTGGTGCAGGTTGACGCCGATGCGGTGGTACTGAGCGTCCCGGTAAAAGAACATGCGGAACTGCAGGAGCGGATCCGGCGAGTCCTCGATGCCCGGCACCATGCTGCCCGGCGAGAAGGCGGCCTGCTCGACATCGCGGTGGAAGTTCTCGGGGTTCTTGTTCAGCACCAGCTTGCCAAACTCCTGCATGGGGAACTGGCCTCTTGGCCAGACCTTGGTGACGTCGAAGGGGTCGAATCCGAGTTTGTCCGGGTCGGCCTGCTCGGGCTGCATGACTTGCACAAAGGCGGTCCACTCGAGTTCCTCGCCGCGCTCGATGGCGTCCCAGAGATCACGCTTCGAATAGTCCGGGTCTTCTCCGCAGATGCGGACCGCTTCCTCGTCGGTGAACTGCTTCTGGCCATGCTTGGCCATGAAGTGGTACTTGATGTAGACGAAGCGTCCTTCCTTGTTCACCCACTTGAACGTGTGGCAGCCATAGCCGTGGTTGTACCGCCACGCCACAGGCGTCCCATGATCGCTGAAGAACATGAGACCGGCATGGTTGGCCTCGGGCGTGTTGGCCAGGAGGTCAAAGAGCGCATCGTAGTCCAGGAGAAAGTTCTTGGGGTTACGGTACTGGGACCGGATCACATCAGGGCTGTTTTGATGTCATTATAAACTCCAGGATACCATTGACAGCATCATAGCGACTTACCCCTGAATTGGATCCCTGCAGAAAAACACGGGCTACAATAGGGGGACGCGGTTAGTATCCACAAATCTTGGCCGCGGGACAGCAGAAGATGAACCATGGAAAACTCACAAAATTCAACCCAACAATATCATAGTTCCCTTCCATAGTATAGAACTTGATGGCAAATCCACGTGGATTACGGCCCTCGTCCGGGAACTCTCGACCAAAAGTTACGGTCGAGAAACGGACAAAAACCGGCGTCTTCTCGCCGACGCTCGACAGGAAATTGGCTTTCTGGAGTAAATGTTTGTCAACTGACAACGCACCTCCCAAGAGCATCAGAAGGTGCAGCAGGGATGAGCTCATACGGTGAGACCGGTGACATCCTTGGTGCATTCAAAGTAGCCGAACGCGCCCGATCCACAGGGGTGAACCATTCCTTTGGACCACAATGTCAGTCACAATAGCTCAGCAGGGATGGGCACACTCGGATAGGGGGTAACATACGTTCCAGAGGCTTGGATCGGTTAAAGTGCTGCTGCTTTCTTTGAGACCGTCAGCTATGGATCCTTCCGTAGTCGTTCATTAGGGCGAGGGGAACATACTGGAAGAGGAAAACATCGCTGGCCACCGGGATGCCTCCAATTGTCTTACTATGCGCACTGGAATCATCCAGGTCAGATTCAGCGTCGTTATGCAACATGAATTCGGTCTCAATCTTACGGATCTGGGAACGGGATGCCTTCGTTGTTGGTGAAGTAGAGACTGTCATCCTCCCGCTTGCCGCCAGGCACACATCCAGACACCTTTGCGATCACGTCGGCGGGGCCCTCGTTGGCTCCTTGCATATGGCTGACACGGGGCCCTCGCATTTCACCCTGGACGGCGCCAATTGCCGCGGCCGTCGCCTTCAGCGGATGCTGTCGAGGATCGAGCTTTTCCCAACAATGTCAGTTCGCCAGAATTCACTTCAAGTTCCTTGTTCCAGCGGCTTTCACGCACCTGGTTCGTATTGAGACTCATGATTGCGAGAGGGTGATACGGTCCCTTTTGGAGGTTTGATTGTTGCGACTTCGAGCTACCCCAATTGAGCGCTTATCATGGACTTTTGAGAGCAGCAGATGAAACTGGTAAACTCACGCAGCAGCAGCGGTGTCCAGGAACTGTTTTTAATTATCCCTTTCCCGCGTTTGGACAAACATTGTGACCGTAGAGTTGCGGCATCTATGACGTCTGCTGACGTTGTGTATATGCCGGATGTGGTAATCGTGATAGATCACCAAGCTCCAGCGTCGTATTCAGGTCTAGACCAACCAAACACACCCCCGGTTCCTCCACACAAGTGTAGCTCCCACTAAAGCTCGGGTATGGACGAAAACCGGAAGTATCGCGTCTTAGTGGAGATCTTAGTAGCCGGAAGGGGCATTTGCACTACTTCTAGCTCCCGAGCTCCCTTCCTGTCCAAGGCACATTGCACATTGGCACAGACCCAGTCCCGGCGAACGACAGCTGATCAAGACTAGCAAAATCTTTCCAACGATAGGTCCGGAGTAAACTCTCCGTCCCAGCAGGCTAGTGTGACACCACATAGGTCTAGAGCTGAGTGAGGATATGGCAAGGGAAAGAGACAGGTACTAGTGGTAGAATGTAGATGGAGGTGGTCCTTATGTGTATGTAGTACTAGTAGGTAGCACGGCTGCGACGAGAATGCAGAGCATCTTGGGTTACAGGCAGTTCCGGGTTCCTTTCATATTTGAAACGGGTATGCTCATTAAGTACAAGGAGTTTTCGATTATACTCTAAAAAGTTAAAACCCGTCTCTACCTAGCAGAGGAAGGGCGGGGTCTCTGTCCGCATATTCCGTCTCATGACATTATAGTCCGGCACTAGCCAAATCTGCCATTATATAAACATAATGACACCGGCTAGGAAACATAATGACACCGGCTAGGTACCATAATGTTGTCGTGAAGTTCAATTTGGCTAGTGCCGGACTATAATGTCATGAGACAGAACATGCGGACAGAGAAACCCCCCTTCCTCTGCTAGGTACATCCTCCCCAGTTACTTCGAACTGCCCCGAATATCAGGTGTTGAGACTGGTAGTACTACTAGTAGCTTCAGGTTCCTATGAGAGGAGTTCCTGTCGTCACCTTCGCCGTACCACCTGAGTTGCATGTTAATATGAAGGTGAATTGTTAGTTGCAAGTTATGACAGAGACCGCCGATCTCCCTAGTATGGTCGTTGAATTCATACTTCGAAGACTTATACGAGACTCGCAGAAGTAACTAACACCCTGATCTCGGAAACGAAATGATATCGGAAACGATACGATCTCGGAAACGAAATCGTAAACAGTCGCGATCTAGAGTGAAATGCCAATTTCTCAAACTGCCTAGGCACCCCCCCAGGCATGCTTACATTTGGTAGTATCCGTAACGACTCGGCATAATCCCAGGCGCCTGAGGTCATGTTAGCACCTAGGTCAGTAAGGAAGTAGTACTTCAGATCCTCAACATGTATCGGCCACGTTTGTATCTCAGAAAATCAAATCATGGGCACCCGGGCACTTAAGTGCCAAGTAAGGTAGCCAATCCATTACCAAATTGTCTCCCACAACATCCCGTCCGCTCATCCTCGACCACCGCCATGGCTGCTTCCCCTAGATCTAGGACGGTATGTAGCCATAGTGAACGGATGGTGCCGCTGCCCATTATCCCTGGGCTTAGTCGGATCATGGTAGCAGATCTCGGGAGTCGAGTGGTCCGTCTCGTTGGTGAGGATGCGTGCGGGCCCCGGGGGGGTCCCGGCGTCCAGGGCTCGTCGGGTGTCAGGGGGTGCTCAATCAGGGGCGGCAGGTTGTTCACGAGCTCGAGCCTCTCAAAGTTGGCGAACCTGTGCGGGTAGCGGTCGCGGCACTGATATGGCGGGTCTGGCATGGCGGCTGCTTGCGCGCGCCGCGACCGACGCCTTCACGCGTCGCACCGGGTTCGTGTCGGAGAGGTTGCTACAGGAGAACTGTGGATGTGAAAGGGATGAGGGGGGACGTTAGAGATGTTTCAAGTTGTTCGATGACAATTCAAAGCACGGCACAAAACGGATGGGCGTTGGATGGGGACTTGGAGACTGGAGATACCGCAGCACGTAGATACTAGAAGCACCTACCTGAGAAGAATCGGTCTCCTCAGTTTTTGGCGGGTTGTGGTAACCGGGAAACCCGGCATTAGGAGCCGCTCCCTGGTCGGTTGATAAGGGCGGTGTAATAGGAGGCGTGGGTTCTCCGATTCAAGGAATGCCTAGGCTGAAAACAGTGGTTGTGGATGTGGACGATGCAGGAGGGGATATCGGTGCTGAAGAAGCTGTGGTGCTGCTGGCAATGCCCATCCCCAAGAAAGCATCCAGGAAGGAAGAGTCGCTGTCGACTGCCGTCTCCTCCGTGTCAGGGCGTATAGTGTCATCACTAGCATCAGACCGCACAGATGACGGCGAGGACATTTCCCTCGAGGCTAGATAACCATCCGAATCAACGTCGGAAGCCCATGGTGAGCGAGACGGACTGTAAGGCGGAGTCCTTGGGGAGTAGCGGTAGGGTGACCGTGGAGAGAAATAGGGAGGTGTACGTGGTGTGTAGGGAGGCGAACCGAGGTGGCTCATACTACTAGTATTGATGGTGCTGAGCTAGCTCCTCTAATAACAAACCGTTAGAGTCTGCAAGCCATAGAAGAGAACTTAGCAATTATGTCCCATGCTAGTCCAGCAGTCCAGAATCAAGAGCCCTTGGGCGCGGAGGTTCGCTCTTTAAATGGGGGTTGACCTGTTGTTCATAGCAGCACCCTTTCGTCCGAGCCGTACAACCTGAGCAGGCAACAGTCAGATATTCCGCCTCGAGAGGAGTTGAGTCTCTGATCGCCGCCGAAGGCTACTTAGTCTACCGCATCTCGCGTAGTACGAGGCTCATGAGCCAACACACAGATGCACTACTACCTCTCTCTACTTAACCGCGTTCGTGTAGGTTTGTGATATCACGCTTCTTGCGGAAAGCGTACTGGCTTCCCACCCGCCCCCTCAAGTCCAACGCAGAGATCAACCAATATCCCCAGTGCATACTTGTACAATGCCTAAAGTATCTAGCTGGGCAGACAACCATGTCGATTATCTATTCCTTCTATCTATAGGTAGAAGCCTTCAATCCCGCCGTATATTCTGTTCCCAAAGCGTGTCGAGGTGCATGAGGCGACCTCAATAGCAAATCTGTCTCCGTGGCTCATAAGGGGCCCTTGGATCGCTGTAGACCGATAGGGCTTAGTACTATGTTCAATTGGAAGGTCGTTCAGGCGCTCATTACATGCAACGTTGTACCGATGCAAGCTGAAGGAGCACCTGACCATCCTGTCTTGTCCAAGTGCATGAGGGACAAGGGCCAGTTAATAACCAGCTCTGCAGATTGATTCCATGTTGCTGTAATGGGACAGAGGGAAGCGAGATAAAGCTTGAGGTTTGACATGCAGCCAACAGCTCACTTCCATTTGGCAGCGGAATGCCACCAAGGACTCGGAGTGAAAATATCGGGTGAGATGGCTGGAAATTTCGGCATTTGTTCTTGCGTTCTCTGCCTCAAGGTCAGTCGATGGAGCAATGTAGGAGCCTTAGGCCCGTAGGCAGCCTGACGTACTATAAATATAAACATGAAGTTGGGTTCTCCTACATCGGGGAGGCAGTTGATGTGGAGCGGTCTTCTTCACCGAGCGATCAATGTCGAGGACAGCCAGCTACCTGGCTTACCTTCCCCCAATAGGGATGTGCTTTTGGATTGCCCCAGGTGCTACTATTTTGCTTGGGAACTTGCAGTTGTTCCCGTATCTAGATCGTCAGGCTTGTTGTTTTCTTCGGCCAATTCAGCAAGCAGTTCGCGCGCGCCTGGGCAACGCTTGACGTGTTCTAGAAAAGACACAGTTGACCAAGCTCGGTCCCAAGGGCGAGATTTAGCGTTAACGGGGGGGGGGGGGTCAATGGGCAGCTTAGTGGGCTCACAGCCCAGGCACCATAGGCCTTCATCGAGTTCGCCCGTTTTTGAGAGAGAGGGGAATTCCATTACGGCACGGCCGAAGAACTCGTCTGGTTCTTCGAAATACACATCTTCGATGCAGTCGTCGTCGTACGGTGCCAGTGGTTGTGACAATAGAAACCTGCCCACTGCATGATATCTGAAGTGGTCCGTATCGTGAAGCGGGCGTACGTGCGTCTCTTGTCGTCTCTAGCCATCAGTAGACTGCCTAATGACCCATGCACCTCGACACTGAGCTCCCTTGCAGCCAGAACGTTGACAAGTGTGTAATCTTGCTTTCTCAAAAGACCGGAGTGGTTCGGGTCGTAGAACTCAGGGACGACCCAAAACATTGGTAGCTTGTCAACCTGGTACCGCGAGAGGGCAAAGTAATTCTCCACTTCCTCTGGCTCAAGCATCAAGAAGCAAGGGCGGAACTGGAGGCAAGTGTAACAGCACCTGCTGCAGGTCGGCAAGAAGAGAAACGGGCCATACTCTGAGCAAGTACAGCATTGCTCGGATCGGAGAGCTCCATGTAGCTGCGTGATAGAATGGTAAGATGCCATGCCAGTTCTGACCAGGGCTACCATGGTCGGCAACGCAAACTCTATCAGATCTCTGTAGGCGAGCATCGACCAGACGACAGTGCGAGCTCGAAAGCAAGCCATTGAGAGACGTGCAATGGATTGGACGTCCAGCACGTCGAGGATCATGAGCAGGATCTCTGGTGGAAAGATATCAAGAGTCCCGACTGAGGAAACCCTGCCGGAGTTCAGCTTCAAGTCGAGCAGGGTATCCTCTATTTGGATCGAGGGTGTATGAATCAACTCTGGCCATATCATGCTCTGGGAAAGGTGCTCCGGCCAGTGAGATAGGAGCCTTATGAGCTCTTCCGCTGAAAGAGAGGTGCTTGACATCGCTCAGGTTTGACGGATCGAAATTTTTTTCTGTCGACGAAAGAGATTCAGTTTATGTGCCTCGGAATGGGGTAAAGAGCGATGATCGACAGATGGTCTAGATTCAGTTGACCACCTTGAACGACTCGCAGTTTGATGACTCTATCAAGGGTAGGGGGTGCACTCACGAAGGCTCAATTAGAGCACGGTCATTGCTCAGGAATTGCCAAGGACTGATAATCTGTTGAGGATTGAAATTCGGTCAAAGTTTCTCGGTGTGACCTTGCCCATGTGACTGTTGGTAGTGGTGGCACTTGCGAGGCAACCGTCAGACCCGCCAAAACTCATTGACGGGCCGATGTGAAACATCGCTGGACCGCGCCAGGCCTGGGCAGTACTCATCAGTGAGACTTGCAGGCCGCCGACAACTGGCAACGTCCACAGCTGCAATGGCACACCGAGGTGAGCGGCCCATCGGGTGAAAGTGGACATGCTCTTGACAGCCCACAAACACTTGTCTAAATCGAGACTTCCTAACATACGCGCTCCTGCGCGTTTACCTCCGATTTCCCAGTTCCTGCGCCATTATAGATCTTGCTGATGGGGTAGCAAAACCTAGTTTACGGCTTGACGAGCAGAATAAAGTCCAATGGCCAATTTTGCGTTTGCCAAAGAAAGTGTCCGATTTCACACTTAAAGGGATTCCCAATTCGGTGGAGCTAGCCACAGTTGCCCCAGCAACACCGCTTGGACCCATAGATCCAGAATTTCCAGAACAGTGGCTGTCGAGTGACTGTCGAATGCCGACAGAACGTTTCTCGCGGCTTGTGGAAGGTCATACCAATAGTACGAAATAACGTTGGCGGTAACCGATTTGGGACGGGGACGATGGGCGCCGCTAATGCCCCCCTTTGACCTTTCTCAGCTTGCATGTAGTACAATAACAAGGTCCTGCCACATGCATACCGTGACCTCCATCCATGCCGTAGGTACTGTCAACGATCCTTCGTGTCTGCTTACCACTCCATCAGGGTTTTGAATTTCCAAGCCTAGAACGATGATGTATGTGTTGTATTGTCCTCTCTGACCCCGGAAAGGAGGCCGTTCAAAGTTGTACGTAGTATTCAACTATTTGCATTCTGGCTGGTGGGATTCAATGTGGGATTCCTCAACATCAAGATGAGGAGGGGAAGCTCAATTGCGTGAGGGCTTGAAAAAGGCCGATCTCTTGGCATGCAGAGAAGATCGGCCGTCGACCGGACACTACAGATCGGTTCGGGCAGTTCGGGCTTGACGGCCCTACCCCTCCACCCCCGCTTCGCCGTCTTCTCTGCAAGCAGGATCATGTAGGATGTGGGACTTCGGAGCGGTGGTAGACGGAGGATCGTCCATTGTCATGCTGCAATGCAACTGAATCCAATCGAACCTTTCCTACTTGAGCCTTTGTCGGGATTACCGTCATAGTATGTCTCCCTTCAGCTATTCCAGATTGGTTCCTCGTATCATGAATGGACGAAGGGTCGATGACAGGAGAGTATCCCTCTCGGGCCCTTTATTTAGTTAGTACATGTAGCTACCTACCTGTATGTATGTACCCAGTGGTGCTGCCACCTACATCATGGATGTCTCGGAACTTCAGGGCCCTTTGGCTGAAAGATCGCTTGGTACGCTCATCAATGCTGTCACCGGCTGGCTATCACTCCAACACATGGATTATGCTAATATTTTGTCCAGCTCACGCTCATTTGTGGAATTCGTCGTTTTCATGAGTGACGCGATCGATGGACAGACCGTGCAGCTTTACTCCATGCCGGCTTACTGACGGGATTCTTCTGAACGGGCGGAGCGAATCCTCAAGTAGGGCATGGTCAACAAGCAGCAAGCAGCAAATGCGACATAATCGGAGCAGGTCATGCTAATCTCTAGGCAGCCTGCACTGTGGGTCGAAAGTGATGCATCATGCATGTCTGGATTGATGAATCTGTATTATTCTGTGGTTGGTTGGACACGCAGAGAGTCACTCCTTGATGGCTGATACGCTCGGGGAGTACAATTTTTACTGGTCATCAATGAATTCCATCGTCACCGGCCTGCATATGATGTCTTTATCGTGATCTGCCTGCCATTGGAGCTCACTCAGGGCTGTGATAGACAGGGTGAATGACACTTGAGGTCATCGATGATCAGTTATAGTCTGGTGTTATACCCCTCTTGGAGCCCGAGGAAGAACATGACATGGATCGGTGCATCGCCCGCCTGAGACGTCTGAACACGCCTACGGTACGCCAACTACCTACATAAGCACCGGTGCCCAAGGGAGCGAAAATTGGCGATCCAAGCAGTTGATACTTAAGAGCACCACGAGAGTGTTTGGGGTTTGATATTCTGCTTTATGAACCAACCCGAAAATAAACAAGTGAGTTATACCCATCCATTTGGTCGAGAGCAAAGGTACATATCTACATACCGTCTGGGTTAGGTACCTAAGGTACCTTACCTACCTTAAGATTATCTTCAAATTTCCTGAGCATTCCTACTTAAGGTAGTACTGTATTGTGTTATAGATCCTCGGGGTACGAAGTAGGGTCCTTAGCCACTAGTGTCAGTTGAAAAGGTCATGGAACCTTGGTAGGTTTATACGACTTCCCTTGCTATCATTTCATCCAAGTACCTTACCATGCTCTACGTTTCTAGAAGGCGCTGCTTCTACCGTCCTTACTCATGTCTTTCTCAATGACCCTTCAGGTTCCATTTGTTTATCGAGACAAGTTGATTTTCTACAATGGTGCCTGCTTCTCCTCTTCTTGTTTCTGTTGGGCCCCTGCTCCCGGTGCTTCGTGACCTCCGCGGCGGCAAGCCGTCCGATTGTGCACCAATCGGACACCGACATCCATGCAGTGGCTCAACTCGGAGGGCAATCGAGCATTGACATGCTCCAACGCCCGGAGTTCTCCCTTACCTACCTACCTTACCTTACAAATGCGCGCTCTCACCAAACCCCGCCTGGGCCGCTATGTCTGCTCACCTGCTTATACGAGCAAGAGCATCAAGATGAATCTGCAGGACGCTACATAGGGGTGACGGTAACGTGCTTTGCGTCGATGCAAAACGCTGCTGGGCTGTAACCTCGGGCACCTCGGTTAAGAAGTAATACTGCACTTCCATGTAGGTAGGTGAACATAAGAAAATTAGAGACGGAAGTGTCCTCCCGTAAGTCCGATCATCCGCGCAAAATCCCTCAACCTCGACCTCATTTCGACACATTCGGCGACACTCCAAACAGTGCACAATTGCCACCTTATGTATTCAGTTGCACACATACATCATGTATGCACAAGTTTGTGGGGGTTACGAGCTGAAAATCCAATGGTTCAGCTGGGCACTCGAAACCCAGCTAGCCACTTTCGTGGGCCCCCCGTCGTCGCTTCCAGACTCAGCCAGGCTTCGTCGAGCGGGTCAGACCTTCCCACTGATCGACCGCGTCAAGGACCCGCCCGACCCGGCAGGATCCGCTCACAACCCGCTGCGGCTTTGCGCCATCTGAGGGCTGGGGTGTCCGATTTAAGGTAGCTTGGCGGCGATCCTGCGGGGCCTCCAAGACATCAATGAATCCAGGGTCGCGGTTACATCGACAAATCTCGTCGGGTCCTTGAGCCCGGCAAACGCTCCCCCAGGGCGCTCCAAGCGCAATGGTTCCCGAGGATTTGCAGCCGACTCGACTCCATCCGGTTGTGCTCCGAGACACAGCTTCACGCAAGAATCCGCTTTTGGTCTCTTTCAGCTGACCATCGGGCGTCAATGGCGTCAATTGGCGTGGGATTAGATCCCCGACGGCGAGGCTACATTGCTACTATTCCCCGTCCCCAGCTCGATGCGGGAAGAAAATACGATCGAGGTTGAACCGAGTCAAACCGGTCTTGCATCGAGACCGCGGCCGCCGGCAGCCAAGAGCCAGCACCTAGCATTCAGCAACAGCGTCCAGGGACCAGAACCACCCATCACGGCATCAGCCACGGCGAGGAGCAGGAGCCAAGAACCACCGTGACGGCTCATAGGCTCGATACACGTTGTTCGTACTGTACATGGAAGCCATGGTCGGCATGGATGTGCACTTTTGTCCTCCGATCCAGGTGCGCAAGCTCCCGAGGTGGGGGATGAGATGAATTGTGTCCTGGAGAAGCAATAGCTTCGTATATATCTAGGGAGTGGAGCAGTCACCCGATTACGCCGTCGGTTGTCGAAAAGGACGAGTTGCTCCAGGTTCTTCTTTTGTCGTTCTTCCCTCGAGACTGATCACCTATATATCTGGATGACCATTGTCGCCTTCCCCCCACTCTAGCTTCTCCTCGTTGATTATGCTGGGCTTGAGGAAGGGCTTACTGATCAGGAAGCGTGGCTCAGTATCATCTGTTGCTTCAGACGGCGCCGCTAGTAGCGACGGGTCAGGGGAATCTGCCACTCGAGGCGCCATGGAGACGATTCGGAACGGGCTGTCGCCCAAGAACCTCAAAGTTCGCAAAGCCTCAGACTCGGTGATCGCTACTGTTACTCCAGTCAGCGATGCTGATGTTCAGTCCGAGAAAACTGTCACGACCCAGAATGCAGACGTTGCAACAGAGAGCGTTCCTGCCACCATCGTCACTGGCACCACTACAACAACCACCTCGGGTTCTACTACATCCGTCTCCACATCCACCACACACCAACATGCCAGCACCACAGCTTCGATCCGCACCTCCCGCATCGCCGAGACCAGCTGGCTCATCCGCTCCCACATCTGCAAGCTGGGGGACTTCAGCGAGACCTTTTTCAAGAATTTGGATCTGGAGTCCTACCTTGAGTACATTTCTGATGAGCGGCTCATTCACATGCCCCGTCGCGGTAGTGACTGGGATAGAGTTCTGCGGGCTGCCCAAGTCTTCGGCTTCCAGTTGTGGAGGTTTGGAGTTGGCGTATCTCAGTTCTGCCCCGGAACCGAAGAAACCTCCAAAACCGCACTCGGGAGCACTCAGATCTTGTTAGAGGTACGATCCCTTCGCTCCGGTACATCATCTCATCTGCGCGGTTGGGGCTCACCAGTTGCTCTAGATTGGTCCACAGCAGGCCCGGGCCTTGGTGCCCACTTTCCAGGCGCTGTATGAGCTGGCACTCGTGATGCTACATGTCAGCCAGATTCACGACATTTTCCAAGCGTCACGGGATGTCAAAGAGGCTGTCGCGGACCTCTATTGTGACATCGTTGCCCTGATCGGAAACATCACCGTCTTCTATCGTAACGAAATCAGCAAGCTTGCCGCCGGAAAAACTGTCACGCTCAACTTCGAGGCTGTCTTCGGCGAGGATGTGTCAAACATTTACAAGAGGCAGACAACCATCACGTCCCGGATGTGGTCACTCAAGCTGGGTGGCCGCAATGGCAGCATCAGCCTTGACTCCCTTCGTCGACTGCTCAAGCATGATCGTTCCGTCAAGGGTGCCTTCTATGACCAGGTCACCGAGAGCATGAAGAGGGCCGAGGGAACGTGCGAATGGGTCAAGGAACCTTTGATTGAGTTCTTCCGTGCCCGTGATAAAGCTCTGACCATCACCGGGGATTCGGGAACGGGAAAGACGGTGCTCGCTGGGTGGATCAAGGAGCGTCTCCAGCGCCCATTGAACCATACACAGTACTTGGCCCTGATCTACTCGTTCCGTAAGTACTCGTCTATTCAGCCAGCGTTTCCAGAGACGAGCCTTGACTGACAACTCCGCAGCTTACGATTCTCCTAGCCAGTGCACACAGCTCGCCTTCCTCAAGAGCATCCTGTTTCAGCTACTAGACCGAAGTGTCGGTGACGTCAACTTCTTTGAGAAGCTGGTCACTGCATTCGAGGAGTACAACAAGCACCACTCAGCCTCGGAACTGGAGAAATCGCTCTGGGCAGCTCTCGAAACTGGCCTCAAGACCTTGAATGACCGCCGCATCAACCTGGTCATGATTGTTGACGGATTCCATGACCTTGCTGGCGACAAGAGCCCTTTGGAGTTTCACAAGACACTGCGTGAATGCATCTCCAAATTTGAGACTGTCCGGATCATCACACTGTCCAAGGCCATCTCTCACCTGAGTGAAGGGTGCAGTCACTTCACCCTCACCGCTCAACACCTATCCGCCGATATCAAGGCATATCTCCGGCAATCCTTCTCCAGCCTATCCACCTTCTCTCAGCTGAGTTTGGAGGATAAGGAGAAGATAGTCCAGGAACTGACACTAAAGGCCAAGACATCGTTTACCTGGTCATACCTCGTCGTTCGGCTGCTATCCAGAGAGACTTCCTCGGACTCGTTCGTCAAGGCGGCACGTGGCACTAGCGCGAGCATAGACGAGACACTCAAGAAGCTAGTTTCCACTATATCATTCAAGAATGAGGCCACCCGAGCCATGCTGTCGTTCATGCTTGCCGCTTCTAGGCCACTTCTGGTGGCCGAGCTCGCTGAGCTTATGCGTCTCAACATCGGCAGCCGACAATTCGGGGAGGATTTGGACGTTCCTACTTACATCAAGTCCACCATGGGCGACATTGTCGTCATTGAAGGGGGCTATGTGCACTTCAAATGCAAGGCCGTACACACCTATGTCCAAAGCCTGATGGGCAAATCGCTGCCGTCGGTTGAAGACGCACAGAGCCATCTGACACTGGCTCTTCTACTCTACTGCAAGCTCAGTCTGACGGACTGCGAACCCTCCTTCGACCTTCTCAGCGACAAGGCCTCTGAAGACGCTTTCCGTTCCCACGCACTCTTGTACTATGCAGTGAGGCACTGGCAGACGCACTTCCGCGCCTCCGGCTTCTATGGCAAGAACGGAAAGCTAGTGCTGAACAAAGATTTCCACGAAGTGTTTCCAACCTCATGTCGCTTCGCACTCCTGGAGAGGTCGACTTCCTTATACGGCGTCTCCACGTCGAAGCTCCTTGAGAAGTTCAGCCTTTCCCTCAGGATTCGGGAGGCTTGCTTTACCGAGAAGCACGTTGTGGTTTTGCAGACCCTGATCATTCTCGGCAACCTTCACCTTGGTACTTCTGACCCTCTGTCCGGAGTGCACTATTTCTACAGGGCGGCCACACTTGGAAAGGTTGTCTTCTCCGGCTACCATGAGCTGGTGATGGCGTGCACCAACATTTTCCTGCAGTACACCGAGACCATCACAATCACGAAGAGGACCGAGATCGTGACGCAGAGAGAGCAAATGATCCTGCTCATGATTGAAATATGCAAGAGCAGATACGGCAGGACCAGCGACCTCGTCATCAAGTGGCTGGAATCGCTGGCGAAGCTCTACGTCAGCATCAAGGAGGAATTCAGGGCAACCCTGATCTACAAGGAGCTGCACGAGATCTACATCATCCGCGAAGGCAAGCAATCAGAGCGCGCACGCCGTCTCTGTGAGCACCTCGGCGGCCTCGAGCTTGTTATTCAAGGCGAGACCCAGGAAACGGAGGTGGATGAGTATGCCGGCTTCTTCTTTGAGACCACCGAGCAGCTTGATGTGGCCGACGAGCGCCGCGTCTCCATCCTACTCCAGTTAGCCATCTTTTACGAGTCTCAGAAGCAGTATTATCTGGCGGAGAAGGTCTACATCACTCTTTGGAGGCACATTTCGGAGATTTGGTACGTATTTCACCCCTCGTCTCCGTGAGCGTGAGGGCTGCGAATGAGGTGACTAACTGGTTAAAACAGCCGCGTTAAAGCCACGCTGGAGTTGCACATCACTAAAATCAAGATTGCTCTCGCATACGTCAAGTTCCTGAAGAACTTGAACCGCTCCCAAGAGGCGGCGAACATTCTCGTCTGCCTCTGGGTCGAGTACGAGCAGCGGTCGTTTGAAGACAAGGCCATCATTCTCCTCATCCGTGAGATTGGCGTCATGTTTAAGTCGTTGGGCTTCCTCCACGTTGCAATCTCCGTCTTCAGCAAGGTTTGGGGCTGGTTCAAGTCCAAGGGAACCGTCACAGAAGAAGAGGCCCAGGAGACCACCGTCTTGATTACCGAGGTTGTGGAAGAAACCATTGAGACGACTGTGGAGACCAAGACAACCACCACCACGGTAACCGAAGTCACCGAGACTGTCACCAGGGAGATTTTCGAAACGCACTTCAAGAGATGCAAGGACCAGGTCGACCTGGTTTTCTTCAACTCGTGCCTTGCCCTTGTCAATCTCTACCTCAAGCATGGCAACTTCAGGGAGACCGAGATCATCATCAAGCGGTCCCTTGAGATTTCGTGGAAGGCCATTCTGACCGCCGAGGTCGACATCAAACTTTCGGAGCACTTTGTCTCCGAATGCATCCATGTGGCTACCAAGCTGGCCATCTGCTATCACCAGCAGGGGCTCTTTGAGAAAGCCGAAGCCATCTACTTGCGCATCTTCAACGCCTGTATTGCCTCACTGCGCATTGACGATGTTCGAGTGGAGGAGGCACTCTCTATCCTCATCAAATTCTACAAAGAGCATCACCGCTACGACAAGGTGATTGAGATCTATGTCGGGCTCCTCGCAAAGTACCGCAAGGATCTCGGCGAATCTCACTCGCTGACGATCAAGCTTTTGTACGCTCTGGCTTCCTGCTGCAAGCTCACGGGCCGCGCCGATGCGTACAAGTACTACCTCGAGATTGTCATGGCGCTCAACAAAGGGAAGACATACTGCCATCATGATGCGTTTGAGGCGGCCGTCATCCTGGTCAATCATTACTACTACAGGAAGTCCTGGGCCGAGCTTCAGCAGATTTGCGCGGTTTTGTGGGAGACGTTTGTTCACCATCACAAGGAGTGCGCTTTCACGGAGGAGATCGTTCAACTCGTGTATCAGAGGTACACCTACGTCCTGGAGATCCACGCCAAGGTTGAGCTCTCGGTACTTTACGAGATCTCGGTCAAGTATCGGGAGACTGTCATGGTCGTCTTTGGAAACTCGTCTGAGATTCTGATCCAGGCCATGATCGCCCTGGCCCAGATCTGCGAAAGGCATGAGAAACATCACCATGAGTCCATCACCCTGTACGAGGAGGTCATCAAGAGGGTCACCGAGACAAAGACAACAACCACAACGATCACAGAAACAACGATCACAACAGTGAAGAAGCGCCTTTCCAAGGTGTATGTGACCGTCATCACCTCTGGCGGCTCCGTCAGCACGACCACGGTCGAGCGTGCCATTGCCATCTGCTTTGAGGCTTATACCAAGTTGCAGGTCGAATTGGGCTTCTGGCACAAGGAGACGCTGCTCAAGCTCAAGGAGCTCATTCTCATCTACAAGAAGCTCGGGGGCAAGGAGTCGCATGCCAAGATTGTTGAGCTGCTCCAGATTGCCGTCCTCAACATCATCACAGCTTGTGCAAAGGCGACATCCGGTGCAATTGAGCTCTACTACGCCGCAGAGACACTGGCCTCGATCTACATCACCGCTGGCATATCTACGACCGGCGTGAATCTGGTGCGCTACCTTCGGCATCTAATAATTTTTGGCGGAGACTTTGAAGTCGGCACAGACATCAATGTCAAGCTGAGTGTGACAGTCAGCAGAGTGGCCTTTGTCTTCCTCGTCTCCCTGGAGCAGCACCTCCTCGAATCAATGGTCATGAGCTATTCCGAGCTGATGGCTGCCACCCTGCTCGAGTTATCCCTGTACGAGCAGTACAAGGGGGCCATTGAGAAGCAATCCCGGATCGAGATTGTGCTCGAGTATGCTGCGAAGTTGCGCGCATTCTGGGTCGAGCAGAAGGCGGAACACTTGATTGCGATACTTGACCAGAGGGTCTTCGTCTTGTTTAAGAAGCAATATTCGTCGGTCATCAAGATCACTCAGGACGAACACATCCGTTTGTTCTACGTCGGCTTGGTGAACATCCTGGGCAAGGATCATGCCAAGGTGGACTTTGCCGCGCTCACCTGCAAGGCTGGAAACGATGTGGTTCACTCCCTCGTCGAGGGGGGTGAGTTCAAGAAGGCTCTCGAGGTCGCCAAGTGCACGTTCTACTTTGCTCATGGGCAGCAGTTCTACAACGACCTGCACCGCGTCAACTACGCTTACAAGTTGGCTGAGTTTATGGCCGGCATCGACGTCAAGAAGCCGAGCGATTCGGCGCTATGGGCTGAGTATCTCAAGTTCTCCAGGGAGATGACCGCCGAGGCCCTCGCCATCTTGCGGGCGAACAAGATTGATCTTGTGCGGCTGCGGTTCGAAGACCTCAGCGGCATGGTCCGTTTACTGGGAAGCCAGCAGAATTACGCCGAACTCGAGGTATGTACTACCCGATCGACATTGCCCCCCTTATGTATGTCTGTTCGTTCAACTAACCAACCTCCTTCCACACAGTCCCTCCTCCTGCGCCTGTGGCAGTCTCGCGAGGTCCAAAAGACGTGGTCTCCCGGCCGCGTGCTTTCCGTCGGCAAACTGCTTGTGCACGCGTACGCGTCGGCAGGCCACCTCGCGGCGGCCATCGAGCTGTGCGACACCATGTGCTACAACCTGCGGCGGTCGCGGGGCGCGCTCGACTCGGCCACAGTGGAGATGGAGCAGATGTTGGCGGCGCTGTACACGTCCGAGGGCCACGTGGAGCGGGCGCTGGCGGTGCACGAGCTTGTGCTGCGCGAGATTGAGGCCGCGTGCGTGCACGCCGGCGACTCGGACAAGAAGCAGCTCGCCCAGACGGCCGCCTGGTCCATGGAGCTGCTCAAGCGCGCACACGTGCGCCTCGGCGGCAGCTGGGCCGGCAAGCCCGAGCAAGAGTTCGCCGTCCTTCACGAGCGTCTGCAGCACAAGCTTGGCGGTGCAGGGCTTGCCGTCTCGCCCCCTGACACGTGGGCCAAGAGTGTCGACAAGTCGAAGCCTGATGACATGATTGGCAAGTATGTGCCCCTCAGGGAGTTTGAGTGGACGCTGCAGCAGGCGGATGGTGCCGATGGGGAGGGGCACTCGCATGGCCATGGCCAGAATGGGACGAATGGGAGTGCGAATGCCAATGGCTGGGGAGCGCTCAAGGGTAAATCGGGGAGGACCAGGGCTGGAGTCGATTACGTACGTGTCGCGAGCCAGGAGTGGCTGTCTGCGGTGTGATTGAGGCCAGTTTGACTCGGATGCCGGGTTGAGTGAAGTCTGCGGAATTTGTGTTTTGATAGGAGGTCGCTTTGCTTTTATGGGTTCTGATGAAGGTTGGAAGTAGTTCAACTGGGCTTGGGACTTCTTAATGGGCTTACAACTTGCTGGCAAGAGCGAAGGCATTATGGTATTAGGTCTGGCAAGGTACGAGTGCGTTGATGGAGGAAACGCAGAATGTTTGGTTGTTAGTGCTTGCTGTATGATACTTCTTGCCATAATCCTCCTTTTGTCGTCCAGACTGGCATTGCTGCCTTGCTCTGGCTACCTCCTGCTGCTCGTTTACCCCATCCATTCCGTGGTTAACCTTACGGTTACCCCCCATGCCGCTATGCCCTTTTATTGCTTCTACTGGTCTAGAGTCCCCTATCTAGACTGCTATTTTTACAGTCCGTAGCTATCTTACGAGCCAATGTGACGGTAACAATACCAAAAGGTGAACCCCAATCTCGTTATGTTTCCGTCTAGGCCATGAAACCTTTCAGTATAAAACAAAGGATGATTTGTCACTCGTGATCCAAACCCTCATGCCGAGCTTGGTGAATTTGGCACATCATGTTAAGTGATACTATACCAGAAAGCTGCTCAAATCGAGTACCACAAGACAGTAATACCTACCGTACGCTGAATGAGAAGGCAAGACGACCTAGCACTCTGGCTTTGAAACGCTAATAATGCCAGAGGCCGCCAGGTGTACCATGGCAACAAGTGCCAACTGAACTTGCATCAACCGCATCCTCATAAGACTCAAAGAGAAACCCCTTAGCGGCCGGGAAGCTTCATCATCCCTGGATACGGTACACATGACTGTCAGCAAAGCCAAAATAAAGATAACAGGTACGGGCAACTCACAGCCAACGACATCCTCCCTGATGGTCTCCTTGATCTTGCACTGGTTGGCGACGCTCATGGCCTGCTTGACGATGGAGCCACAACCTAAGGTAGATACCGATATTAGTATCATATTGAAACTATTGACCTTCTAGGACAGCCTTATTCTTTCTTACCATCGTAGAAGCACTCGGACTTGTCCATGGCGCGCTGCAGCGAGTCGCCCTTCCAGCCAAACATGTAGTCGGCGTGCGACCCCCCGCCCGTGCCCTCAAAGCTCCACACAAAGGGGTTGGGCGTGCCCGACGGCCACATGCTGTTGAACTGGCGCGTGTCCCACACCGTCTCGTACGCCACCTGCGGCATGCGCACCGGGTGCGATGCTGGACAGGGGCCCGCGTTCATGAAGCCGTCGTATGTTACCGTGTTGTACATGTGCGATTGGTGGTCCGGCGAGTCGAGGTTCTTGCCGTCCCAGCAGCTGGAGTGTTTCAGGGGGAGTTAGTAAGGACTGCTATGTAAGGTAGGACAGGGTGGTAAAGGGTGGAGGAGGATATAGTAAGTAGTAGAAAGTAGACAGACGCGGGGAAGTGGTGCGTGGTGAAGATGCCGCCCGAGCATGGGCCCGTCGGGAAGTCATCCATCTCGCGGCCCCGGTTCTGGCCCTGCAGGCACTGGTACCGGATGCCGACGCGCGGCTTGCCCGTGTTGGTAGGGCTGCCGACCGTCATGCGGAAGCCCTAGTAGTACATAACCAGTCAGCAGCAGTCAAGTAGTACTTTCATAGTAGAAACGAACGTACGGGCTTAAAGGCGGTGATCTTCTGCTTGGCGAGATTGTCCCTCGACAGGTCGAATTGGGTGTAGTAGACGGTCAGGCCGGCCTGGGCGCCCTGAGAGCCGCCCAACAGGGGCTGGACGGGGATGACGGGCACGCGGTGGTACGAGCCGTTGGGGTGCTTGAAGTACAGCTGCGCGGTCCAGTAGTTGGAAAAGTCCTCGGCCATCTGGCACGTCGTGCACGTCGCCCGCGCGCCCACATCGCCCTCCATGGTGGCGTTGAAGGCGTTGCCGCCCACAATGTGGTGGACGTGGGCCGCGGGGAGCGCACCAGGCTCGACGACTGGGTCAAGCCGCTGCACGGTGAGGGTCGAGCAGGGGAAGCGCAAACCAGCCTGGACAGGCGCGATCAGCGCGACGGCTGCCGTGAGGGACTTCATGTTGGCAATGGATGGCCTTCTGTCAGTAGCTCGCGGAGGTTTGCAAAGAGGAGGCTGAGCTCAGAGAGGCCTTGTGCCTCTATGTCGTTTTGCGCGGACTTATAAACCTCAAAGCCTGAGCTCTTCCTCAACTCCCGCCATCGGCACTTAACCTGAAAGGTCCCAGGTCCAGAACGAGAGACATGTGGTTTTCTTTCATATCCAGCGGCGAGTCAGAGGAGAGTCTGTAATTAAGAGGAAACAAGCCTGGACTGCTTCTCTGCGAATCGGCTGAGTTCCTCACTACCAGGATTCTTACCCGGTGGTGTGGACGATAAAACTCAGCCATGTGTATGGCCCAACCCGCTCAGGCGCCCTATAGCAGCTTCAATCATCAAATGGCAAATATCCGAGTGATTGTTCGGTTCTCGGCAAATGTGCTCTCTTAACTTTGCCCCGATTTCGTCACCATCACGTACAAGGGAGTCTGTCGTCTGGTATACACGGGATTGCACAATGCTATCAGAGAAGGCAGAGATCAATGTTGCCCTCGGACACCATCTTAATCAAGGAGAGACGAATACAGGGCCTTGGACATTAACGGTGGGGAAAGTTTGATGACGATGGGATGCGGTTAACACATAGCCGTACTTCAAGTAGTGCTACATGTATGCTCTGAGCCAGGCCTGAATTGGTCTCGAGCTGCCGAAACTGATTCTATTTCGGGAACTGGAGACAGTTGCCAGGCCATTGAGAGCAAGCTCATAATGGTCCCAGGAGTAAATTAAGAAACGTAGAAGCACCCATGACCGCATTGGGCTCCCACATTTGGGGTGACTGGACCATATTCAATGTTTACATACACCCAAGTCCATCACCGATAAGGGGTTATTCTCCCAGCCCGCAATCCCTGGTATGCCGGAACCAGTAATCATATCGACTGCCTCCATACTACCAGTGCTAATTATATCATTGCAGAAGCAATCGGCTCGTCACTTATCCCGATCACTCACAACAACAGATCCCACCTTTTCAGCACCACCTTGACCGTTCCAGCCCGCCTCTGACTTTACCGTTCGGTTATCCCCCAGCGGCCGGCCGACAGCATCGTGTGTAGCATCCCACTGCTCAACCTCGGCCACCGGAACCTTGACAAGCTTATGGCTTTGTGCGCCGTCTTCAAAGGTGGCAATTCCCTGCCTGAAGCGGTATCCGCGAAGCCTGGGAATGACGTGGATGTAAAGGTAGTAGTAGACAGCGCAGCCAATGAGACTAAGACAGGTTAGTGCCCAACAATGTTACAGCCATACTCAGGAGGAAAGTGTGGGTGTAGCTTAGTCGTGGTTGCTCTTCCTTGTCGAGTCGTGTGAAGGTGAAGGGGGAGGAAAAGGGGGAGGGAAAGAGGGCAGACGGGGAGAGCGAACTTACACGCCAATGCCGGTGACAACATACGTCGCATACCAAAAGCTCACGTCGCCGGCAAACACTCCGCCCTCTGGCGGATACCACGGCATAACCAACAGGTAGACCTGCACGAGGATGTTGAACACGAGCATCACATTCCAGACCCGGAAGTCAGCCGCGGGGAGGCCGAGGCGGCGTCGGCGGTAGCGAAGGACATACAGCCCCATGGCCAAGAGCACGCTGAAGAATGCGTCGGGATATACCTTGAGATCGGTGATGAAATTGAAGGCATCGCCGGCCGGAGGAGCCAAGATCATTATGACGGTCAGGAACCACTTGACGAAGTATGGGCCGAGGGGCGTGCCGAAGGGCCGGGTGGACGCCCAGAAGCGTGGAAAGGGGAGGATGCCTTGCCTTTTACGTATATTAGTTACCCCGGCCGTGATTGCCAGATAAAGTTGGTTTGTCTGGCACAGCGAAACTGACGAGGATAACAGACCGGGACTTACCGGCCACATTCACGGATCAGCCGCGAGGTGCCGAGCAGAACGGCAATGAGATTACCAAAGGAGCTAAGGGCAATGAGGAAGTTAAGGCCGCGCACGGCGTTGCTGGATCCAAAGACATTAGCGAAGAAGAGCGATGCGGCGATCTCTCGCGCCTGGATAAGCTCGGCCTTTGGGATGGCCGAGAAGTAGGCGATGTTTGCGAGAATGTAGAGGATGGCTACAATGGCGAGGGCGAGGAAACCGTTGCGTCGAAGCTGCTTGATGGGATTCTGACTGTGTTAGATGCCAATAACGACGGCAGGGGTGGGAGGGAGAAACGGAGTACCCTGACTTCGTTGACAACATTGAAGGCGTTCTCGTATCCAGCATAAGAAAAGACAATCTTGTACAGCGCATTGGTCAAACCATAGGGGGTTGCCCGACCCTCAAATGCGTCAATGAAGTTAGCTCGGGGGTTGGGCACGCGCGAAACGTTGCCCCCGAGCACGACGAGACCGGCAATGGAGATGAAGACTAGCGTCAACACCTTGACGATGCCAATGCCGTTGGAGAACCAGTATGAGAATCGAGTGTGAAAGACGACGACTGCGACATTCAATGTCAGCGGCGTCCCAAAACCCAGCCTGTATTTTGTACTGAAAGGGGGTTCATACACAGGAAGGCGACAGTATATCCGGCTACCGCGACGCCCTTGAGCTCCCAGTTGGATGGATCGTGGCCATTGATGCGAAATAGATATTGAGCCAGCACTGTTCTCCGGTCATCATTAGTACCATCCTATAAGCGGGTGTTCAATTTCTGGGTGCCTACCAATAGCATTTCCGCTGCTGAAGGACAGCGCAACCGACTGAAACGCGAAAGCCGTCGGAATCAACCACTTCGGTCGTGGGTACGCCTGCTCGAGGTATACGACCTCGGACCCGGACCTGTTTGGAAAGTAGGCTGCATACTCAAGGTACACAGACAAGCTCGCAATCGACGTCAAGAAGCCAATCGCCCAATAGATCATGGATAACCCGACTGAGCCGGTACCCCTGAGAATGCTCGAGGCTGTCGGTGGCGTTAGTCTCCCTTCTCTACTTCCGAACTTGTAACCATACAACACAACGAGGGCAAAGCTTCACTTACGCGTCGAGTACACCCCGGTGCCAATCATCTTGCTAACATTGAGAAAGATAATGGTGACGGGCCCGACCGAGTACCCCAAGGGCGAGACGCTCTCAACCGGTGCCCCCGAGGCCTCTTGGTACGAGGGCTTGGAGTCATTACCGCCCTTCTCAAGCGTGTATTTGAGGCTGCCATCCGTCACTTCGGCACTATCGACTCTATCCAGCGATGCGCTGCGTTCGGCGTCAGGGACGTTGTGGTCCCTGCCGCTGAATGGCCGGCGCCAGCTGAATGGCATGCTTTGAGTCTTGATCAGCTTGTGGGAGCAGTGAGGCGGTAAGTGTAGGGCCGTGATGCTAGGGATGTCGTGAGCGTCGCCGGCGTGTCTTGTGTAAATTTATTTATCTCAGGCAAGGAGACTGCGACACTGAGTCTGCTGAGGAGGACTGGCCCAATATCACTGAATCAAGCAGTTCGTCAGGACTGAATCCCATCCTTGATGCTCATGATCCCCTCACCGCAATGAAGTCTGATGAGACCCCCAAGAATCTTTTGGCCGAATTGGGCAGGATGGACGATTGGGGGTATGGCGACATCTTCCCAAGGTGATACCGCATCGCGCTGGCATCCGGTTGGCTTGTTGTTTGTTGCTTGGTTGCGAGGATGCAACGATACATGCCCAATTCCTATCATGCCTTCCCATCTGGGCCGTGACGGGAACGGTTGCTAATCGTCGTCCCGCGATAACGCCATTGATGATCGCTGAACCTGGTGTGCTGGTAATTTAATCTCGATTTGCCGGCGGCAAGTTCGAGGCACATACCCCCCGCGGTAAATGCTGTCATTCCGCCAGGTTCTGGCGAAAGGCCATTCCCCTCTATGGCTTGCCTTCCTAGGCGTGGGCAGGACGCTCATTATTCTTGATGGTCCTTGACTCCTTGTGTGCCTTAGCAAAACATTGCAAACCTGATGTACTCGAAAAGTAGAGGGTCAGATGCGATTATGTAGCTCCTGACGAGTACGAAGTTGGGAAGAGTCGGGGCCAAAAGTCATTCAACCGAATTTGTTGAAGCGCGACCCATACAGTACAAATGATGGAGCATCAATGACATGTCACACTGTATTTTTCCTCCTTAAGCCCTGTTGAGCGTTAAGCAGGCTCAGGCAGGGTAAGTACCTAAGCCTGTCGGCACCTGAGCCGTGCTGCAACACACCTGATTTACGGTGTAAAAGAGCAGAGTAAGCGCCGGAACTGCTGCAAAACGGAGCACTGTGTAACATACAGTGTGCTGGCGGGGCTTAACGCATCGGCGTGGGATCTTTGGGACATTGCGCTTGGCTCTTCAACCCTCTGACAAAACCCTCCAATCTCTACAATGGATAACATCCATGGATTCTGTGGTTGCGTTCTTTACACTTTTTACAACTGCCTTTAGTACTTAAGGTACTTGCGGGAGTGAGCAGGGGCGGAGAGTGGTGAGAAAGGGAGGAGAGGGGTAAGCACAGCGACTGGATGGGGACAGACTCGGACGGGAGTCCTCGCCGCAGGATCGATCCTGCCCGATCCTCCGGGCTCCAGCATCACCGCGGCGGTTCCAGCTCTACAACTGTTATATCTATCCTCTGGCACTACTAATACTAGTAGCACTCAGCATTCCACAAATTTTCATGCGCCCCTAACACAAGTCCCGGGTTTTCGAGCACACCAGTGGTTAGAGTCTTGCAGCACAATGCATGTCATGCTCGTCGTCGCAGATACTGCGCGGGAACGTCGGCGCGCCCAGAATCGCATTGCAAAGCGTCGATTTCGCGAGAAACAGAAACGTCAACGTCAAAGTACCCTCGGGAAGCGCGAAACGGGGTACCTACCTGAGCACGAGCATGCCCTTGGCCTTGCCCGACATCACTCCGACAGGACAAGTTTGCCTGGACCAGATGACAATCGCTGGCCGCCCGAGCGCGGTTTTACAACCAGCCAAACCGCATGCCCCTCCTTACCTACCAACCATGTCAGCACAGAGTATCTATGTTCAAGGCCACCGCCGGTTGCAAGCTACTCCGTCAGCAAGGGTGCTCTTTTGACTTCCTACGGCCTCGTCATGGGGAACATTGACTTCCTCAGCTTCGCTCCGAGTCAAGATCTTGAACCGCCGACCCAGCAACGCCCGCCGACTTTCCGCGATGCGTCGGCGCCGTAGAGCCACGCCGCAGAAGCCCGAAAGCAAGGCGAAATTCACAACAGCAAAAGAGAGCTGGACTCATATCCGCGCTTACACAGCTGGAGGCTAAGGACCGCTGAAGCTGGAGATTCTGTGATCCTTCCCTCCACACACGAACTGCAACTTTGGACCTGCCGAGGGGACCAGAGGAGAGTGTCGGAAATGGCGATGAACACAACGGAAAGCAGTGGCTTGGGCCCGCTGCACATGGCAGCATTCAAGGGCCAGGACTGAGGTGGATGTCAGGTTCATGATAGACGAAGCCGTCACAAGCTGCCTGTGACTCGATCTAACACACCGATCCTGCGACTTAATGAGGCCAGATGAACCATCTCCTCCCCTTATCTGTGCTTAAAGTATAATCTGTATACCTGTGTATTGCATCTAGATGTGTAACCTCGCTCATGCTCCGGTCACAGCATTGAGAGATCTTCAGCCTCCAGGTATATACGGATTCGTGAACCGAATGGGAACTATCCCTCTAATTCTACCTGAGTGCCTAGGTAAGTATATAGATCTATGATAAGAAAATGAGCTCAACATGAATCCAACATGAACATGAAAGGAACTCCACAGAGTCGCGGTATACAAGCGTCGAGACAAGAGAGGGAACCACGTCTTGAAATCGAGACATAAGGGGATTTAGGGGCTTATCGAAGAATACAGCTAGCTTGTGGCGGGCTAATCGGAGGGTTTCCAGTGTGCTGCGCCACTGGACGTCCACTAACAGAACCCCGAAGATCCCTGGGACATTGCAATGATGACCTTGCATGCTGACCTTGCATACCGACCGTCGGTCCGGGACGACCTAGCTGTCTACCGGCCGGACATACGGGCCCAAACGCGGGCTCATCCAAGCCCGCTACACTAGACGATACTCCGCAACACGGGTAGGTTTCAATTCTCTCCGGTGAGGATTTTGATTCTGTACGCGGCAGTCGGGGCATCAATCAGGACGTCGGACTCACCAAGTTGGACATGAGGACAACGCATGAGAGTTAATAAGCCCGGCACTACGGACAGCAGGCCAGCGAGCAAGGACTTTGCAGGCCAGAGCAACTACTACTTGGTAGGAGAACGGAGGAATTGATCAAGATGGCGAGCAGAAAGGAGGAGAGTTTGCCGCTTTGCAGGTCTTGTTCTATCTTGATACCAGCATACAAGTATTACCGGTAGTAGTACTAATACTCGACTCTCACAGTAGGTGAAAGTCGTTGGACACTTCCTTCCCCTCTGCCCCAATTCATGTTCCCACCGCTGCCATGGCCCAAACCATCGTCCTCATCAGCGGTGCCAACCGCGGCCTCGGACGCGCCTTTCTCGAGACCTTCCTCGCACGGCCGAACCACACCATCATCGCGGCAAACCGCGACCCATCGGCTCCAACATCCCAGGAACTGCTCCACCTCCGCGCCGCCGCAGGAAGCAAGGTCATCGTCGTCAAACTCGACGCAACAGTCGAAACCGACGCGGCGGCGGCTGTGTCAGAGCTACAGACAAAGCACGGCATCGACCACATCGACACCGTAATCGCCAACGCGGGCGTCGCCTGGGTGATACCCACCGTCGCCCAGCTCAAGGTGGCTGACCTCGAGGAGCACATGCGCACCAATGTGCACGGCGTCGTTTGGTTGTATCAGGCTGTGCTGCCGCTTCTGAAGAAATCGGGAAAACCGGTCTGGGTCAGCATGGGCTCCCAGTCGGGCTTTCTGACTAACTTCCTGAACTTCCCCAATGCCGCTTACGGCCCGACAAAGGTCGTTCTGCACTGGTTGACGTGTGCGATTCATACTGAGGAGCCGAGTATCACGGCTTTTGTGGTTGATCCTGGGTGAGTTTCTGCTAGCAGGTGGTGTGCGTGGAAGAGTGAATTGGAAGCTGATGTTCTCCGTTTTAATTTCACAGCCGTGCTCAGACCGACATGGGCAACCGCGGTGCCCAAGCCGCAGGCAAGCTGCTTGGCATCCCTGAAATGACCAAAGCCGAGATTCCTGTCGACGTCAGTGTTGGCGGGCTCATCAAGGTTATTGACGCCGCGACGCGCGAGACTCATAGCGGCAAGCTGTGGAACTACAAGGGGGAGCATGTTCCGTGGTGACATGGGAGAAAAAGGGGGTGCGGGATCGGTAGCCACGAGTAAGGCGCGGCACTAGCTCTATAAACTTCAATATCAAGCCCATTTTAGGATAACTGTATCTCTAACATGAACCAGGCTGTGATGTTGGTCAGACGAAGTTGGTCCCCTCCCAATCTATGTGAATCCCTGAATCGCACATGTTAGTTGGTACTAGTAGTGGTACTTGAAGGGGATCGGGGTGGTTTAACCTTTGATCACCTGCTTATCCTGACACTGCTTGAGTTCCATATCTATCAAGCCCACATCACGGTGTATTGCGTTCGTTTTGTGTCGGTGGTTGTGTAAACATACATGTACCCCTTGTATTGTGAATGCGAGTACTAAACAGGTATACATATTACACGCCCAATAGAGTGCACGATATATGCTGAGAGCATCACAGCTACTCGCACGTCCTCATGAAACAGTCTGCGTACTCTGATCGCTGCTCGGCGTACTCCAAATCGACGGCCTTCTCGGCAGGGCGCTCTCCATGGGAGTAAGCCGGCGCTGGTTCCAGTCTTGCTTAATAAACAGCCTATCGGTAGCGTATTCATGCTCGGGCAGGAATGTCCAATGCCAGTTTCCCTGTCCTCCCGATGTCTCGGCAACCATGGCAATCTTGATGCGGAACTCGACCGATCCAAAGACGGTGATGAGCCGGGCCAGCTCGTCGCCGATATTGTCAATCTTTGACTGGCAGCGGTCGAGCCGGTCAATGACGATGTAGACGGTGCCCAGGTCTCGAAACTCGAGGAGAACTTCCCCTAGCAGGTCGACCAGCATGTGCTCCTTTGTTCTGTGATGACCGCTTGCAAAGGTCTGTTGAAGCTGGGATTCCTTGTTGCGCAGAATTTCGGGCCTCCATTCCAGAATCTGGTAGATGATGGATGAAAGAACGGTATCACCAGGTACGTAGGTGCTTTCGAGGTCGGGGTGACACGAGAAGTAGGCTACCTTGCAGCCCCGGCGAGTGAGGCCTTCGGCGATGTAGATAGCCGCTGGGGAGAGCCAGCAGTGTGTGAAACCCTTGAATCTTCGACCTTCGGCATGGGTGGAACCACTCAAGAATAACAGGCTGGACCTGGAATGGTCCAGCCATTGTTGGTATTGGGAAAGGCCCTTGAAGTATGCTTCGTGAAGCTGCAGGTATGCAGTGTACGGGACGTTGGGGGAGAACTTTTGATGGTTTGGAAACACATCCATTAGCACGCTCTTCACGGATGGAAAGTGTGTTCCTTTTAGCTCTGGATCAACCTTCGTCAGGATGTTAGCCGATGACGAACCTGGAAGTGGTCTTTTCACCGGTTCCAGTCTCAGGGTAAGTAACTCACTCCAAGCAGCTCCCTAAATGCAGCAAGTTTTCTCAGGTCTTCCTGTCGCTCGCGCCGCTCTTCTTCCCATTTCAGTTGCTCGATCTGAGAATTCAGTTCGTCATTCTGAAGCATTAGTTTCTGCCGTTCCCTCGCAGCCTGCTCGGCTTGTTGGAGCAACTCCTGATGATACTTTGCCGCCTGCTCTCTCGCCATGTCTAAGTCTGTCTTGAGGGATAACACGGTTTGCTTGATCGTGCGAGAAGCTTCGTGAAGTCCGAGCATCGCCACAGCGTTGATCTCTGCGAGTGTCTTATGGAGGCTAGTGGCAACATCCTCGAACTGAACGGTCGCCAAGGGGTTGATTGCCAGATAAACACGATCTGTTTGGCCGAGAACGTCAGCTTGAAGCAGGGTCAGGGGTATGGCTCAAAATGCATACGCCAGAAACGAGTCAAATACTCGGTAGCGGCCCGGGAGAAGGCGAGAACTTGCTGATAGGCCTCGGCAACCAAGTCTCTCATGGTAGGGTTGGGGTAGATGTCACGCCAAACATCTAGCGTAGGGAGCAGCTTTTTGACTTCCTCCAGATGCTCGACAACACGAGTATCGTTTTTGGTCTTGTTCACGACGACCTAGGTCCAAGGTCAGGACTGCACGTACATGTACGGGACGATATTGGGAGGGCAGACTCACCATCAACAGGATTGATAGGGTTTGGTAGGCTACTTCTCCATATGGCCCTCCGGCTGATGCGACCTTTTCTATGATCCCCTCAAATCCGCCTATGAATTGAGCAACGGCGTTGAGACGGTGTTGAACCGCGCTGGTCACCTTCTTGTGCCCTTTGGCGCGATCCTGCTGGTAGGCATCGTGTGCCTTTGTGGCAGAGTCCAACTCGTGAATGACCAGCGAGCTCGAGATGGGGCTTTCGGTCGGGATTTCAGATAGCTGCTTTTGTATTCCCTCCCTGGAACTGGCAAGCTCGGCGTCCCGCTCCTTAAGCTTCAGGGCGCGCAATACTCTCTTCTTGAAGCTCTCATGTTCCCTTGTGGTGGTCTCGGCATCTTTGCCAACCGAGCTGTGAGAAACAAGGCGTCAGCCCTCATCTCGCGACATTTGTAAAATTCGCTATGTAGCAGGTGATAATCAGTGGGCATGGGCTAGTAGTATGTATTGTATTGTACCTGCAACTTTCAAACCACTGCGCAGACGATTCAGGCAGTTCTGAAGCCATCAGGTCCGCATCGGACCAGGTGTTGTAAACTCGAAGCGAGTCAAATGTGCGGGATTTCGGCACCACGACGCGATGGTTTGGGGGTTCAGCCTAATGTACGTCGACGTCCCAATCTGACATGCCTCAGCTCGCTATTTTCAGTCCGCAAGTTCTGGAAGCGCCAATCCTCAATGGTCTTTTCCAGCCCCCAACACCCCGCTCACTACCCCTTGAAGAAACTAGTGCGTAAGGTACCCTTGACGACACCCCTACCATCTTTTTCTTGGGTGGTCAGCTCGACGCCTCAAGTGAATGGATGGACTTATTAGGGAGGCTACGGCCAAAACTGAGTGAAGTACTCAGTATTGTAGGTATGTGCGAAGTGCATAGACACAAATTGCGTTGGAATTGGGCGGCATTGCGTATACCTCCAGAGGCAAAATTTAGGCCATATATATCCCCAACCCTCGACCTCATCAAGCATTTAAGTGGCTGTGGGGCGTTTGTGTCGGTGGGGGGTGAGGGTTGGGGTTAATGGTATGCCTGAATTGCACACTGCCCACCGATTCGAACTCGTCGAATTTTAGGGTATTCAGGCCCCTCAACGAGTGAAGCGAGCTCATGGGTCACTGATGAGAACTGCAATTTATCGGGCGAAGTTTCAATGACTGTGAGCTTGCGTAGTCAGGTAGTGTTTCAACCGGACTCGAGTGAGCGAAGGGCCTGGGCACAGTGGGCAGAAGCTTCACTCACTGGGCAGCGCCAAGACCACTCCCAGCAGCTGAGGGGGCTCAGTGGCAGGGTCGCCCCATCTGCGCCGCCACACAGTGTACTGTACATACCCGACCCGAAACATACGATTGTACGGATAAGTACTGGTGACTTCGACTAGTGCGAGATTTCAATTAAAACCCACATTTTCCCGCAGTATCCAGCTTGGTCTTGACTTCAGAGTGGTCCATTGGGCGTAATGATAAAACTCGCACGGTAATCAAAGTTCCTCCTTACGATGGTACTCCGTACGAAGTCCAAGCGTTCACTTCACCATTTTGTTGGCACTGGCAGTCTTCACTCCTTCACACTTCAAAGTTCAAGGCTGGCTCGAGGCTGGGAACGAACCCCAAGATATTCTACTACCCCTTGGTTCGTCATTTCGCAAGGCCATTATTGAGGCAGCCCATTAATGCCCAAATATTCAGCATCCGCATAAGTCGACGGGTACAACGCTTTGGTGCAGCGGGCTGCCGGACAACTTTGATGCGTCTTCATTCGGTAACGGGGCTACCTACCTTATGAGTGCCCTCCCTGGCCGAGCGAGCGACTCAAGAATGGTGCACAGCAGGATACTGCAAACGACAGAGAGAGCACTATAGTCCCAGCCTACCCCCGGGCTATCTCTTAGGTTGCAAACAGAGTCCGTTTGCCGCTGACCAGGCTCAATGTTACACAAGTCCTGCCCGCTGAGGTGCGGACGGTAGGCCTCACCACATTCTTGTGACGTGTCTCCTCTCGACGTTCCCTCAACTATCTGCTCCGGTCAATAAGAGCCAATTGGAGCAGAAAGGTAAAGTACCTAGGCAATCGTGGAGGATAGGCACCCGTGACTGGTAAGCATTGTGGGCAACCCGGCAAACGCCCTTTCCCGGTAGCCAGCACTCAAGATGCTTGCTCCTTCCTCCCCTCCCAGAAAAAGCCTGAGCTATATAGCGAAGCCCAACCATTCTCTTCCAGACTTGTTTCCTCTAACATAACGTCTCTTCTTCCTTCACGCCGAAAGAGTGTTTCTGCATTGGTGTCTGGTTCTTTATGCTTCGAGCCGGTCCAGCGCAGCATCAAAGCACTTCCCGGCTTCTTCTGCCCTCCACTGGCCGCGTGCCAGTGATTCCACAAGCCCTCCATCTTGGACGCACCGACTTCTAGGTCCTCATCATGCCGGAAAGGCTCTGCCGTCAGTATATGGAATCGGGTCGATGCCGCTTCGGCCATAGGTGCATGTTTTCACACGCTCCCGGCACGGTGATCTCGGATCGCCGTCAAGGCGTAGCCCAGGGAGTCAGGCCAGAAACTAGATCATCCCCGGCATCTCCTCGACGGCCCGACGTGCACACCTCTACAGATCGTTTTCGGGAGTTGAAGCGAATCTGCTCTCGACACTCAACCCAACCTCATCTGCAAACCGAAGCCGCCTCCCGATTTTTCCAGTTGGCGTTTTCGTTGGTTGATGGAGATGTTGGCATGGCCCAAGAAGTGATTCAGGTTCTCGCAAAGGAAGAAGGCCTGACTATCGTCCGGGAGTTGACGGACCAGCGTCTCCGCACCGCGGCCGCCGATACCAGTACTATGCAGAAAAGGACTGCGTGGACGAACGAGTTGCTGCCGCTCTTTCGAATTCTAGCTCACCCTAGAGTTGTGGATTCAGCCATTCTTGAACAAGAAGTTGCTGTCATCTACAACTTCATCTAGGCACCGGGGGGAGAAGGATGAAAGCTGTCTTTTCATTCTACCTCGACATGCTTGATGGCTGGGATAGCCATGAGTTGGGTAGCGAAGGTGGTTCAAGGATGTCGGCTGTCGAGCTGGCCCTCGCCGTGTTGAGCAAGCTGATGGACTGCAACACAAACAGCATGCTCATCGACGGCCTCGTCTCCGTCGTGGACCGACTGGCCAGCTTTGTTGAAGATACCTCTGACGACGATTACTTCAGGCGCCAGTCACTCAACTACCTTGGTTATGTGCGGCAACGACTTGGGCTGGGCGAAGCGCTTATGGAACGGCCGGCTGAACAGCATCGCCCAGTCCAACGAACCGAATTCGTTCTAAGGAGGGATCTTCCCGGTCAGCTCTCGGCCGAAGGGCCGCGGCATGACAATGACCACGCCGACATTGCCGACATCAAGATCATGCCGACCAGGGATGAGATCGCATCTGTTCGTAGCGAGTATCTGCCGACCACCGACCCAGCCCAGTTCCACCGCCCAGGCATCCGTGGTCGCCTTGACCGCGAGTTTCGCTTGCTGCGTGAGGACACTGTCGGTGTTCTGAGGGACGCCATCCGTATACAGCTTGAAGCTTTGAAGTCACCCCAACACGCTCAAGCTAAACGATCGAAGGATGGCCTTCGCACATTCACTTATCGTAATGCGCAAGTCAACCACATTGCTCTCGATCAGCAAAAGCTCGACTTCGTCATTCAGTTCGACCAACCCGTACCCAACATGTCTCGGGAACGGCGTCAGGAATGGTGGAGTCATTCAAGGAGACTACAACCTGGGGCCCTAGTCGCTGTCATCTCAACCTCGGGGTCGGTACTCTTTTTCACTGTGGCCCAGTCAACGCTTCATAGCCCGAACAAACCTCAACCGTCAGAAACGACCCTAGCGAAATCGAGTCTGTCCTTGTCCGCGGATGCCAATCATGCGTATGTCCACCTGAACCTTGTCGAAATGGGGCGCGGAGGGTTCTACCAAGCCCTGGGTTGGTATCGCAACAACAGACGACATGATGTTCGGTGTCTGGTTGAATTTCCTGGCGTCCTCCTTCCTTCTTTCCAACACACCCTCGCGGCTCTGCAAGAGATGTCGAAAAACCCCCGTCTGCCATTCGCCAGCTTGATTGCTCCAGACAGTAAAGAACCCGAAGAGAACAATCTCCAGTCCGTTCCGCCTCCCCACTACGCCACGAAGCCGGGATTCTTCTTCGACCTTAGGTGTCTAACAAAGTCTCGCTCGCCCCTACGGTCCTCCATACGCAACCCGCTGGATGCTGCCCAGCTGGCAGAAGACTCGAAGCTTGACCTGACACAAGCCCGTGCGCTGCTGGATGCCCTGCACCGTGGGCTTGCCCTGATCCAAGGGCCTCCCGGGACGGGCAAGAGTTTTACTGGAGAAAACATCATCCGTGTGCTGCTTTCTAACAAGGGTAAGGCCGAACTGGGACCCATACTATGCGTCTGCTATACCAACCATGCCCTTGACCAACTCCTCGAGCACCTCGATGACGGGAAAACCCAGATCATCCGGATCGGCTCCCGCTCCAAATCCGAGAAGTTGGAGCAATGCAACCTCCGCGTGGTGGCCAGAAACGCGGATCGCACGTTCTCTGAAAGGAGCGCCTTGCGAAAAGAACGAGATGTCCAAGACGAGCTGGCTATGGATCTCGACGACTTGCTCCGGCGGCTAGAGACGTCAAACAGATGGCAAGCCCTGAAGATGCACCTTCGGGAGTCTCATTGGAAGTATCATGATGAGCTCTTCGGTCAGGTGGATGAAGATGATTTCCAAACGGTCGTCCGTCAGCCAGAACGAGTCGTAGAACGTTGGCTCCAAGGTGGCCAGAAGGGTGATAGCGCTGAGCAACGGACCGGAACTCAGCTGGGTAGCTCCAATATCAGACAGGAGATTACCGGGAGATTGTCCGATTTGACACACAATCAACGACGCACCCTCTACCAGGAATGGCTCAGGGAAATGCATGACTCCATTATAACGGACATTGTTGACAGCTACAAGGATTACCAATCGTCCAAGAACCGGTGTGACAAGGTGCATTGCGAGGTTGATCTCCGATGCTTGGATGAGGCCGACATCGTCGGAGTCACGACGACCGGGCTGGCGAAGAATCTTGCCCTTTTCCAGAAGCTACGGTGCAAAGTGATAATCTGCGAGGAAGCTGGCGAAGTCCTCGAGGCACATACTTTGACCGCGCTCCTGCCTTCGGTCGAGCACGCCATCTTGATTGGGGACCATCTCCAGCTGCGGCCGCAGATTCAAAACGATGGGCTCAAAAGCACCAACTCTTACGGTGTTCAGTATTCGCTCGACCTTTCCCTGTTTGAACGCCTTGTCCGTCCTCTTCACTCTACGGACCCCGTGCTTCCCTTCAGTTCTCTCGACACGCAGCGGCGGATGCATCCCGACATTGCTGAACTTGTTCGGTCAACTCTCTACCCGAACCTGGAGGACGGCGGTGACGTGGCCAGCTACCCGGGAGTTACGGGGATGAGAGAGCGTCTCTTTTGGTTTCACCATGAACACCTCGAGGATGGGGCGGCCAGTTCGGATCCCCATTCTACTTCTCACTCCAACGAATTTGAGATCCAGATGACCATTGCCTTGGTACAGCATCTGGTCCGGCAAGGTTCATACGGCCCGGACGATATTGCCGTCATCACTCCGTACCTCGGCCAGCTCTTCCGCCTCCGCCGTAAAATGCAAGGCCTGTTTGAAATTTCGGTCGGCGAAAGGGATCTGGAAGACCTTGCAAATATTGGATTCGATACTGCCCCAACGACTGCGGAGGCTGCACGGAAGACGCCTGTGTACAAAACATCGCTGCTCAAGAGCGTGCGGGTAGCCACTGTGGACAACTTCCAAGGCGAAGAGGCCAAAGTAGTCATCATATCGCTGGTGCGGAGCAACACGCTGAATAAGTGCGGCTTTCTAAGCACCAGCAACCGCATTAATGTCCTTCTTTCCAGGGCTAAGCACGGCATGTATATCCTGGGCAACTCGGCGACGTACGAGAGCGTTCCCATGTGGGTCAAGGTCCTTGACATTCTTCGGGGTTCCGGAAAGTTTGGTACGAAACTGGAACTGCAATGTCCGCGCCACCCTGACATGCCTGTGGCGGTTTCGGAGCCCGATCATTTCCTGCAATTCTCTCCTGAAGGAGGCTGCCTTCGTCACTGCGAGAAGCGTCTCGACTGCGGCCATGCCTGCATCAGCCGCTGCCACTCAGACGTTCTTCACAGTGCAGTCAAGTGCTTAGAGCCCTGTCCCAGGCAGAAACAGGGCTGCAATCATCCATGTCGACGGGTATGCGGAGAGCAGTGCGAACCCAAGTGTACCGAGAAGCTCACGGATCTCTGGCTGATCCTCAAGTGCTCCCACGTCGTAACCTCCGCAGTTTGCTGGCGTGCCCAGGATCCGTCCTCTATCACTTGCACCAAGGTTGTTGACCGCGTCGTGCCTGGATGCAAGCATCAAGTCCGGGAACCGTGTCATGTAGACGTTGGTGCCGGCGCTTTCCGCTGTCCAGCAATGTGCGGTTCTGCCCTTCCTTGCGGCCATTCCTGCAAACGAAACTGCTCTGAATGCAAGAAATGGAAAGACGGAAAGGTGGACAAAGAGGATCACGGCACATGCGCGCAGCTCTGCGGGAGAAAATATTCAACTTGTCGGCATGCTTGCTCCGCGTCCTGCCACCCCGATAAGCCTTGTCCGCCCTGCTCGGCTGACTGTGAAGTGCGCTGCTCTCACTCCAAATGTCCGAAAAAGTGCCACGAGCCGTGTGTGCCTTGTGCCGAACAATCATGCTCCTCTTACTGTGAGCATACCAGGTGTACAATGCCGTAAGTGTCTTCACCTTCCAACTCTCTATTTCATGATGGCAAATAGCTGAATCCATAACAGTTGTGCTGCACCTTGCGACTGGGTTCCTTGTTCCAGACGCTGTGCCAAAATCATGACCTGTGGGCATCAATGTAGGTTCTTCAGGCTGTTACCAAGTTGACGGTTTTGTTCTGTCTTTCCAAGCTGACATGAGTCTCTACCCCTAGGTCCCTCGGTCTGTGGCGAGGCTTGCCCAGGGCCGGTGTTTTGTCAGACATGCGGAACTGAAGATATCAAGGGAAGCGTTGTCGACTTCGTCGAGGGCCTCGAATTCCGGGAGGTCAACCTTGACGAGGATCCATGCCTCTTCCCCGATTGTGGCCACTTTGTCACCATGAGCAACATGGACGGCATCATGGACATGACGTCACACTACACCATGTCTGACTCCGAGCCCCGACATCCCTTAGCCATTGCCAAGGCCTCCAGCCCATTTTCGATGGACGAAGTCAAAGTGTGTCCGACCTGCCGGGGTTCCCTCCGAAATATTGGTCGATACGGCCGCATCGTCCGCCGAGCCATGCTCGATGAGGCAACGAAGAAGTTCATCACCTGGTCAAACGCCGAATTCTTGAAATTGGTCACGCTGTTGGTTGATGAGCAGCACAAACTTGACCAGACTCACCCTGGAAAATCTGCACAGCCTCAGGAAGCAGCAAAGGGCCTACCAAAACAGATAATTACAACGTCTGCGAGGCTGAAGCAGATATGGATAGTGCGTAATTGGGACGGTAGCAGAAGATACGCATCCCTGATCCAGCTATGGCATCAAATCAGCGGTCACCTGGCTAAGGTGCGGAAGGAGGAGCAGCCGTTCCAGCGAGTGGCCGACTTTGTGCAGCATGCTGCTCGACAGCGAGGCGACAGTGGGAGCGGCTTCTCCTTCGACGAGGCCAGTATCATCCAAGCGAAAGGCCAGCTTCAAGCAATGGCCCTGCTGCTCAAGTGCGAGGCTGCGTTGTTCACAGATGCCATGAAACAGGACCAAGCACGCAAGGACCGCGCCCTTGGCAGGGTGAATGCTGGGATACCAGCCCTCGACTTCTCGCTGCACGTTAAGAACTGCGAACAGCTGATTGCTGCTGCGAGGCAAAGGATGTATCCCCAACTTCAAATCGAAGGCCACGTGTGCTTTGCACGGTTTAGTGCTCTTGTCTGCCACAATCTGGCAGCGGCGACTTCTCATACCTCTGAGCCTTCTGACCAGGGCCGGGCTAGTACTTCATGTCCAGCTCCTCAAGAGATCGAGCGGCTTCGCAAGCATGCTCTGGAACATCTGCAGTCAGCATGGAAGATTGTCGAGACGAACCCATCGACGGAGATTTTGAAGGCGGAAATTGACGCGGCTGAGCGAATGGTCAACGACGGAGTGTTTTACACGGCTGTCAGCGCAAACGAGTTGAAAGACGTGTACAATGCCATGGCGGCCGAGTTTCGCGGGACTGGACACTGGTACACCTGTGCCAACGGACACCCGTTTACCATTGGCGATTGCGGCTTGCCCCGACAGCTTGCTCGGTGTCCAGAGTGTACGGCGCCGATTGGTGGGGAGCAGTACCAGACTGCGGAGGGAGTGAGACGGGCAGATGAGATAGAGAGATTGGCGGGTAGATTGGGAGGGCTGAGAATGGGAGATGTCTAGAAGATAAGATCTTGCTGGGAATTGACCCCTATAAGGGGGGCCAGGGATTGCGCCTGCGAAAATCCATCCCTGGGCATGCGCTCACTCCCATGTAGGTATAGCCTGCTCACTGCAGGACACCAGACAGCCTGCATGACGCTTCGTCCAGAATACAACCCTATCAAACCCTATCACGGACTTGGTGCGCTTACTCACAGGCAGCTGGAGGTGGGGGCCGATCGTGGAGAGCCTTGCGCCGGAGCCATGGTCCAGTCACCATTGAATATCCGCGCATTTCCCCTCTTGTTGGAATAGAACGCTGGGTGACAAGTCTCTGCGGCGGGACTGGGGGAGGGAGGAACGTCTTGAGCACGCGAGACCAGATACAGATTCACTTTGTAGATCATGCGTCTCTAATGCCCGGGTACCTAAGGTATGTACTTATGTACGTATAGACAGGGCTCCTCATCAGACACTCTTCCCCTGTCCTTCCCCCTCATCTCATCCCGCACCGCCCCGAACCCCCGCACCAGAGCTGACATTCGAAGCTACATCGGACACTAGATCCAAAGCATATCCCTGCCATATATAGTACGTGCCGCCTAGCTGACTTTCCTCGCTTCCCTCCCGGCTGCCAGGCGACCGTCTTGCTATGTCCCTTCAAGCTTCATCCGGCATCATTGCTGATAATTGATTTTGCTCTCTGGGTTCCTCGTTTCAGGGACATTTAAGACTGAAGAGTCTGGAGGTTCGCCATGGGTGCAACGGAGACCACGGTAAGTGCATGTGTTGGTTGATTGGAAACAGATATCGCTGTTCAACTGTGGCGTGTATGCTGAGTATCAATACAGGACCTGGAATCCAAGGAGGCAGTATTGCAGCAGAAGTACATCGAACTCCTTGAGAAGCGCATTGCTCAACTAGAGGTGGCCGTGAAAGGCGGAGCTGAGAAGAAGGACTCGGACACCGACGAGAAGAAGGCAGATGCCGATAAAGACAAGGCAAGCATGCGGATCTTAATCCCCCTCCCACAACTAAGTTCATGGCTCATACTTGAACAGAAAGAAAATGGAGGCAATGAGGACAGCAACAGCAGATATCGCAACATATTGCGAAAGTGGGACAAAACAACGGGCGCCTACATTGATGAAGCCGTCGGCGAGAACTTCTTCGTCAAGCAGCAGTCCAAGAATGTCGCCTACACGTTCCGTCGCGTATACAACCCTGAAACAGGCGACAAGGGTGCATACAGTGAGCTCGACATAGAAGACCCGGGTCTCCGAGGGCTGCTGGCCTCAGAAATCCGCAAATATCCCGGAGTCAATTTTGACAGCGACATCATCACCATGAGAGCACCCTTTCCAGCTCTGGTCCACAACTGGGACAAACTCAACGACAGAGCGAATACTGAACCGGACTCGCAAGAGACAAAGGACCTCGTCAGCCTTCTCAATCGAGTCAGGACAGCCCCAGAGCTTCAGGACTATTTCAAAACACGCAAGTCGGATCTTGCGGCCAAGGTAGTGACCTTCGACACACTCTGGACCGTCTTCGCCCCAGGCACCTTGGTGGTGGCCCGCCCTTTCCAGAACGTGGAGCAGATTTTCAAGGTCGTGGATAGTCCCATTCCGTGGGTCGATCTCACCTCATACCGGCACCACCGGATGTGGGCGTGGAGCTGGGATTATGACGGCAAGAAGGTCCTCAAGGTCGAGTACTGTTTAAAGTTTGAGAGATTTAGGGGCACCAAGGCCATCACCGACCTGCCTTATTATCCGCTCGAATACCACGGAGATGAGGAGCAGATCAAGGAACTCCAGGACAAGTGCAGGGAACGCGCCTTCAAGTTCATCAAAGCCACGGTCCGCGGCAAACACGGAGCGGCACAGATGTACAGATATCAAGGCCCGGCATATGTGAGCCAGAGAAGTCTTCTCTCCAATAAGGAAGATGGGCAGACAGGTGTAAGTTTGGGCAATCCGAATCGCCAAGAGACTGGATAAACAGCATATGATAGATGCTTACCCGCTTGCAGGACGACGACGGAGCCGAGTGGCCGCCAACCAACCAAGATGACGACGAAGAGTCGCCGCAGCCCAAGATGGTTGATATCAAAGGCGAGATTCTCGCCGACCACGAAGCCTTCATCCAATACCGTACGTACTTGACCATCAAATTCTGCACACACGCACCCCGCCCTAACATCTTCTCTACCTAGGAAACCTTCTTCCTCTGGGAGAGCTCTTCCAGCCCGGCTCCATCTATGTCGATGAACTCCAAACAAACACCGAGGACTACCTCGACTTTGCTGACCGGCTCAGCAAAGCCGACCTCTCGTCCGGCCTCGACGAGGAGGACGACAACTACCTCATCTTCCCGCCGCGCATCCTGGGCTACGCCACGCGCGAGAAAGTATGGGGCCAGTTCAACCTGGACTTTGTCCGCGACCGCTCGAGCAAACAGCCCGAAAAGTTCAACGAGAGCCTGCAGCTGGACCCGCGGTACAAGCGGCTCATCAAAGCCCTCGTACAATCCCACGAGCTCAACGCGGCCGAGCGCGGGAAGCAGGTCGAGGACGTGGTGCAGGACAAGGGCAAGGGACTCGTCCTACTTCTGCACGGCCCTCCCGGGGTGGGCAAGACGCTGACGGCCGAGACGATCGCGCAGGCGACGGCCAAGCCGCTTGTCATCGTGAGCGTGGCCGAGATTGGGCTCGACGCGTCGCGCGCCGAGCGCAACCTGGAAAAGCTGTTCAAGCTCGCGACCAAGTGGGAGGCCATCCTGCTCGTCGACGAGGCCGATGTGTTTCTGGAAACGCGCGGCTCAACGTCGAGTGCGTCGCGCAACGCGCTGGTCTCGGTCCTGTTGAGGGTGCTGGAGTATTACCGCGGGATTATCATCCTGACGACAAACCGCATCAAGTCGATCGACATTGCCGTCATCTCGCGCATCCACTTGGCCATTCGGTACGAGGATCTGTCCGAGGACCAGATGCGGTCCATCTTCAAGTACTTTTTGGACCAGCTTGAGCCGGCATGGATCGCGAATCGCGGCCAGATTGATGACTTTATCGAGTCGTTTGGCCACCATTATAATCTGAACGGGCGGCAGATCAGGAATGTCGTGTCGGCGGCGTTGGCGGCGGCCCGTCACGACGCGAAAGAGCCGGGGGAGAATGGCAAGACCAAGGGGGATGGACGCCTGACGTTTAGACATTTGAAGGAGGTGTGCGAGATGACGAGGGAGTTCCAGGAGCAGCTGAAGGAGAACACGCGGCAGCAGAGGTATAATAACGAGGTTATGCGTCCGTGAATACTAGTACTCACCTACAGGTAAGGTACCTAAGGGGCAGGTGTCTGCCAAGGGGTTGCGGTTTAAAAAGAGTCGGATGCGCAGGTCACCCAAGGACCAGTGTTGCTGGGTTATATACCGTCAGGCACGAGCAAATTAGACCTTGTTTCTGCTGCCGGACGATGGCATTTATTCCAGTTGTGCGGTAAGTGTGCCTGTAAGTATCTTAGACACGCAGAAGCTCTCGCAGACACCTGGCTAATGCCCCTTGTACATACCGACGTATTGCCCCTATTCATCAACAAGGGGTGCTTATGCACAAAACGCCGTCCCGATTTGGGAAAGCCCCAAACAGCTCCCCATTTCTTTCAGAAAGCTTTGATTCTACGCGAGTCCGGTCTCAATCCAAACTATACTGAAGCAGTTGACTAAGTACGGTACGTATACATCTGGAGTTGAGACTGAGGAGGTTGGATGTGACTGACTTGACGAGCAACTGATGCGAGACAAGATATTTCGTTGTATTCCAGTTTCATCCTTTCTGTTTGGCCGGAATCGGTTGTTCAATCTTCCTACCAAGGCTCATTGATCTGCAAGATTGTCGTGTTGCGTCGTCCCAACCTGAAAGCCGCCAAGCAGACGTGGGTCACTGTGATGTCAACGATTGACGTCTTCATGTTGCGCATGATATAAATACATCTCTACACTCTCATTGCTCGGTGCATTCCCGCCAATTCTTCAATCTTCAGTATCCTGTATTACCTGTAAAAGCAAAGACAGTGCACCTATATCCATATCTTTCTAATCTGATCTCGCCCTCGACAGTCGACAACATCCAGCAGTACTTAGATACTAGTACTTCACAATGACCGACAAATACCCGCAGGGAGGAAACCTTTTTGACATGGCCAAGGAGGGCACCAAAGGTCCGTCCGTCTGTCCAATCCATCCTCTCAACCCTCACAACACCACCAGGCACAAAATGTCCACTAACACAATCCCACTACAGTCCCCGAAGACGCCGCCAAGCCGAATTACATCCCCTCGGTGCCCCGGCCGGATCAGAAAGGCGACGCGGACTCGACAGCAGGCGGGCTCGGCGCGTCAACGCTGCACCAGGCGGCCGACAATGCCCTGGGCGGCTCAGGACTGGGCGAGGTGGTGAGCGCGGGCGGCGGGCAGCTGCCTGACGACGTGGGCGGCAAGTACAGCCGCAGCGGCGGCAAGCAGCGCGGCGAGCAGCAGAGCACGCCGCATGGTGGGCGGAACCAGCCGTCACATGGCTGATGGTACTTAAGTATGTACGGTCGAGGGTTGAGGGAAGTGACGGGAGGAGTTTGGATGGGGTGTATGAATGCATGTCAAGATGGATGGATGTATAATCGTTGCAAATAAGGCAATACACCATCATTTTTCGCGACCCAGACTCCAACATCATGCCCGTGTTGCAAATAGAGTGTGTGTACCTTAGCTCAAGTCCTTGCACGCCGTCTAGTATGTTGGGATGATTGATGTTGTTGATCCAACTTCACCAAAAGCATCCATTCATGTCATGTGCTAGGCCTATCGAACAATAGGTACCTACCTTAGGTAGGTAGGTAGTCGGGCAACCACAGAATAGCCATCCAGCCTGAGAGGTAGCATTGACTCAAATTCTATCTTGAATACAAGTATGGGGTGAATGGCTGGATATGGGAGTTGGCTGTTTGTTGACTGGCAGACAGCTTCCGTCACCCGTGTGGCTGTGAGGTTCTTGGCTATCTGTTATGCTCAAAGTTGGGTGGGAAGGAGGTGTGACCGTGTGAGGGACCCCGCTCCCCATATGAACGTGAACCTATGCCGTCCCGCTGCTTATGCGAGAATTATCCCGAACGGTAGGACAGATGCTTGGCCGGTACACAGGCATCATTTCATGCCTCCCTGTATAAACGGTGGCCGTACCCGCGAGGGGACGTTGGGCTCGGGCCTGGCCTGTCGTTTTCCCTGAGGTCCCAGCCTGGGCATGGACACGGCTAGTAGTATGTACAGGAGTGCCCAGAGTTATACGAAACCAGACCAAAGATCCTGGTACCGATTTGGAGATACTTCGCCTGGTACCTCCCTCTTAACTTCTGCAACTCAGAGTCAGAGCCAAGATGGCTGATGGAGGGCCCGGTAAGTTTTGGCCACACTGGGTGAACTTCCAAACTGCACTTGTGTCAACATAAGACTGACTGAGCGACCATTTCTACCATCACAACTAAAAAGTTGCTAAAAGCGTCTGGCTGTTTGCCCCGAACCACGGCGCACCCATCTTCTTTGCTGTGGCATTCGCTGGCTCAGCTGTGGTTCACCTGTGGCAGTGCATGTCAGTTATTTTTCTGAACTTTTCGAACAGCCTTTTTCGTCGTTACCTGAGCTGACGATCTCTGTGCTGCTGCCATAGTCGCTACAAATCTTTCCGGTTCACGTCCTACCTGCCGTTTAGTTGTCTCATATTCGATATCGCCTTCATCCTCCGCGCATACGGGTCATTCAACTACACCCAGCTCCACGCCTACCTCGTCAGTACTATACTAATGTACTTGACGCTGTACGGCATCCCATTTCCTTTCTACTCCTCCAGTACAAGCACATGTAGCACCAGTGTTCTAACCCCAGTGCCCTATCATCCCTGCATACGTATCATAAAGACCCATCCTCGAGCTCGCAAACTACCACATCCTATGCCGCGCCTTCTACTAATACTTCGCCCCGGTGCACCCGAACTGCATGCTCGCAACCCTCTTTCACGTTTGGTACACGGCCGAGGTCCTCAGCGGTATCGGCATAACCTATCTCGTCAGCCGCGCACCCGGCAGCGATAGATACAATCTCGGCAGGAACCTCACGATCGCCTCGCTCGCCCTGCAGTTGGGCATCATAACTTTATTCTTTTCCCTCGCCGGATTCTTCCACTACCGCTGCATCACCGCTGCCGACGGCGGCAATCCGGGAATCCCTCTACGCCTGCGGCGTGTGTTATACACATTGTACGTCAGCATGGGGCTCATCCTGGTGAGGACGATATACCGCTCCGTTGAGCATTTCGGGCCCGCACACGCTTCTAGTCTAGAAGATCCAAATGATCCCATGGGGCTGAACTATCCTGTGCTGCGGCAGGAATGGTTCTTCTACGTGTTTGAGGCTTCACCCATGCTGGTCAACGCCGTGCTGTGGAACATAATCCATCCCAGGAGACATCTCCCTCAAAGCTACAAGACGTATCTTGCTCAGGACGGTGAGACTGAGATATCCGGCCCCGGATGGCCAGACAAGAGGGATATGATCATGACAGTGGCGGATCCTTGTGGATTGCTGCTCATGTGCGAGCCGGGGAACAATGGGGAGAAGTTTTGGGAGGAGAACGGCTATCACCACTTGCTGAGAAGCAGGAAGCAGACATGAGGGACATGGAAGGACCGTAGATGCCGACTGTATGTTGTGTGGGTGTTGGGAGCACCATCAGCACCTGCAACTAACGGAGGAACAGCCTGAGGTCATAAGACTGTTTTGGGGGAGGGTTCCTACTTTCTAGGTTTGTCCAAATCCCAGAGCCATTAATGAATGGTGGAACCTAATGCTTGCACTTGCTACTTACCTAGGTACGCAGGTAATTTCCCTTTTTCCCGCAGTTTGAGAGTTTTGGCCCCTATAATTCGGAGCGGGGGCTCTTGACTGCGACATATCAAAGTGGAGCAGGAGATTTCCTTCTCGCAGGCCGGGAGCATGCTTACGCACCTAACGGTGTGTATCACGCTCAGTCTCCGATCGAGGTAACCGCTTATTTTATCTGCCTATTCATTTAAGTGCGTTCCCAATCAGAGACAGTGGGGAAAATGAGGAGAGAGGAGGGTATCCTAACATAACGGCATTGGGCGTTTGTTGGATGCAGGCGAGGAAGACTGAGTGGTGTGACATACTACAAATAGTGCCCATGATGACAGATCCGCTATACAGGTCAACAAACGTGCGGCTTCCAAGCAAGGAAAGTGGCGGTTCCTGCATTAAGTTGCCAATCTCAAGAGTGCCGGAACGAGTTATCCTTCTTCGGTTTTGGTCATGAATGTCGTCCAGAATCGTCCCGCTACTCTGAGCTTAGCACCTGAATGCCGTCCCTTTACGTACGGACGCTGGGTCAGAACTGGTGTGGGTGCGTACCAATCTATAGCTTGGTGTTTGCCCAGCGGGGGACTATAGGCATGCTTGTTCAACAGCGGCTCTGTTGACGGGGAACTCGACCATGTCGAGCCAGACCGCTGTTAAGGGATATGTAGCCAACCTCCTTCGTTCGCATAGGACGCTCACGGAGGTATCATGATGTCTGGCAAGGGTTACGTTCCCTGGTGTTCGTGCTGCTTCGCATCCTCAGGCTGCACAGTCTCGCCAGGAAGCGGGGCTCGTGTGTCTGGCGACTCCTCCGTGAACCATGAATCTTCTAGTAGCTGCTCCGCCGTAGGCCTGTCACGGGGATCCAGCTTCATGATCTTCATAATGAATTCCTTATCAGCCGGCGGAATCTCCTTCGGGCCACACCTGGCAAATGGCTTCGCCGGAGGTCCCTGATTGTTGATGAAGTCAATGATGGTCATGGTATCTGGATCGTTAAAGTCGCGATAGGATTGCGGAAAGGGGCCGAAGAATTTGTGCATCCGCTTCAAGACGGTGAACTCGTAGTCATCGCTGTCCGGGGCAACTCCGTCGGCACTAGGGTTGAATAGATGGTAGCCACCGCCCATCACGAGGCTAATCATCTAGGCGGATTAGCTGGGCAGGGTGTTGCACGGGATGGGATTATTTCACTGCGGAACCGAAGGACCATATATCTGTGGCGGTGGTCCAGGAGACTTGGAACGTGGACTCGGGGCTACGGGTAAAGCCAGCGCCAATAACATGGCCTTCCTTGGCAAATTTTGACTCCTGCGATACTACTCCTCCGCAGTCGCCGAGCTGGATATCGGAGAAGCGGCGATCACCCGAGCCGTAATTGACAAATATATTATCCAACTTGATGTCTAGACCAGTCAACAAACGCCTCTCGGAGCGAGCGAGTGGGGTCTACCTGTGTGGACCATGCCATCTTTATGTAGCACGCGAAGGGCGTCAAGGACGCACCGGCCTACCTGCTTGATCTCAGGCCCCGACAATCTCTTCTTGTTCGACTCAGTTAACAAGTCGCTATCCAAGTGCCGCAGAACGATGGATGGCGGGTCGGCCGGCTGGGTGATCTCGTCGAAGAGAGGGCGGAGGAACGGTGTCTGGGATTGGTAGCGCTTGAGGACGTCAGCTTCGTTTCGAAGGCGCCAGTGGCCCCGGATGCTCTTGACGATGCACTTCTCGCCGCTTAAGTTTCTGCGTCGGGGTCGGTCAACAGACGCCGTAGGGGTCGATGCGACGGAAACTTGCCTCGCGAGGTAAACGGCCCCTTCGTCGGCGGCCCTATGCAGCTCCTTCAAGATGGTGTAGGACGAGAGACGGCCCATCAGGACCGCGTCAGTGCTAAGCAGTCGTGCCATCGTTGGCTAATTAGTCGACGATCGACGGCATACCTGCATCTTCGCTTCCTCTCAATGCCATGGTCTGTGATGCGTTTCGGCTTGATGTTGAGTTCCAGTTTCGTCGCTAGGCGGCAAGAGCGATCGGTTGATCGATAACGTGGGGGACGGTTCAGGTTTCTAGGCAAACACCAGCCACACCTACAGCCACCAGCACCAATACCAAGCCACAGCGGACGGTGGGGTTGAAGATTGGCAATGGGTGGGGTTTTCTTCGGGCTGTGCTTCGTGAGTGCACCTTTTTTTGTCTGTGTTGGAAGTTGTGAACTTGCGGTCCTGTCCAAACTCCAAATGTAGCGCATCCCGCCCATTGTGTGCAAACGACATGACGCCGCTCAACAGCTTATCTGTTTTTCGTTGCGTTCGATTTCACCGATTCAGACATTATCTAGGTACCTACCTACCTAGAAACCATGCAGCGTTACTCGAGCAAATGCTGTCATCTCATCTAGAAGCTGGAGTTGTGAATTTGTGGCGGCAAGACATTCATCTTATTAATCATGAGACATGAGGTTGGTAGGTAACTGTCTTGATTTCACGCCCTATCTTCTTCTCCTACTTATATCCGAATACCTAGGTTACTAATTCCTCCAAACTCATAGCCTGGAAACCTAGAACTCCGAACTATGCATCTGGACTCTATACCCTCTAATGCAGCCAACAAAACCCGAAAGCAAGACCTAATACCATGTACAATGCATCCGGCCCATGCTCAAGCCTATCCTGAACGAAGCGATGAAGTTCATGATCTTAAACCATCCTAAAAGCCGCTCAAAGGATTTGGGTTTGCCTTCCTCTCACCGCCCTGGATCCACGGCTGGACGCCACTGTCACCAGACACCTGAGCAGCAAGCTGCTTATGCTTGGCAAGGGTCTTGTCGCCGTCAAACTTCTGGTTCACGACGCCGACCATGCCGCTCTGGCAGTGGCGGCCCGTGTTCTGGGCGCAGTAGAACCAGATGGGCTGGTCGTTCTTGACCTCGATCTGGAAGACCTCGGCGCTCTGCGTGACGCCGCCGTCGGGGCTGCGCGGCACGGGGAAGAAGCCCGAGTAGAATGAGGCGGCGTCCTTGGGCTGGCACGGCCGCTCAAACGACGACTCCACCACGGAATGGTTGAGCGGCGTGAAGTGGAACTCGATGATGCTCCCGATGGGCGCGACAATGTTCTCGGGATCGAAGCGCAGCCCGCCGCGGCCGGCGACAACCGTGCGGGTCTCGCGCGGCGCGGCGTAGGTTTTCGTCTGCCGGGTGTCAATGGTGGCTGTTCCCTGTGGATAAGGGGCGGCAGAGGTGAGGGCGAGCGCCGAGAGGAAGACGGCAACTACGGAGTTGGAGAGCATTTTGAATGGTAGTATCGAGTTTTGGGCAGAAGACTCAACGATTCAAACGTGAAAAGTGAGTCAAAAGACTTTGTGAGTCGCTGAGTATTGTTGAGTAGTGAAGCTGACTGGCTCAGTAGGTGATGATTGAGATGCTGATGGTGATGATGAGAGTGGCATCATACAGACAGGAAAACCGTCCTAACTTATACAAGATTGTGTTGCTCGCATTCCATCACCATCACTACTCAGAATCCCGGAGTTGAGCATTCCGACACCAAGCCCCGACGCAAACAGCTCACCTCACCTAAGAGCCACCACCATCACCATGGGCGGTGCAGGGGCCCTTAGACGGCGAACTGGTGGTGACCCAAACTCTCGGTAATCGGGTGTCCTGTATCCGCTGACAGGCTTGGCTAAGCCCACTGGGCCCAACGCTGTGGTTAGCCACGAACCGAGGCGCTGCGTGCGTTTTTAGAACCCGACTCGCAAGCGTTGGCGGGGGCTGTGCGGTTCTCACTCTCTATTTGGGGAACATGGCTGCTGACGCCACCGGAACTGGAAGCTCAACACCTCCCGAACTATCATCCCATTTCCCCGAAGGCCAAAACCCGGGTATGTTTGCAGTTACCGTCCGCTATTGGCGGCCCATCACCGTGTCGGCCGCCATGCCAAACAATAGTACTCCTCAGAGAGTCATGACATTTCCAATGCACGGACTCGGGCTCGGAAGGCCGAAGATGCCGGTTACTGAGTACATAGGCACCCACGTGGGGGAAAACGTTCTAGAGCAGCGAGCGTGGATGTAGGTTCATTCGTGGACAGCTCCATGTCTCGTGGCTGGTTCAGTGGTTTCTAAAATCGTTACAGGACACGGATTACTATACACCCAGAGAAAGTATTATGGGCTCAATCTTCAACTCTCCCCATTGATGCAATGCCATGGAGTCACGCTCTCCACACTCCACGCGCCCCGGACCTCAGCTCTTCCATTCCACTCCGCGCACCCAGACCCTGACAATGTTCCGCGACGCGGTGATGTTAACAGTCGGATCCCCGTCGACAAGCACCAAGTCTGCCAGCATCCCCTCTCGAATGACACCTCGATCGTGCAGGCCAAAGGACCTAGCAGGAACCACTGTTGCCGCGTTGAGCGCCTCGACCGGCGACAGGCCGGCCGCCACCAGATGTTCGAGCTCGTCGTGTATACTGCTGCCGAACGGCACCCGCGCCGGCACGGCCGGCTGGAGATTGGCATCCGTGCCCGCGAGGATGGACACACCGGCCGCGTGAAGCCGGGCGACCGTCTCATTGGCCGCTGCAAACGACAAGGAAGAGTTACTCATCGTTCTACCTCGCTGCATCTCTAGTACGGTTGCGCGCATCATAGTCAGCGTGGGACACACGGCTACCGCCCTTCCAGTTTTCTTCCGTTTGCCTCTGAACATGTCCACCAGCCGGTCATTAGCCGGCACGTCCAGCGGGGCGTGGTGGATCTGCTCGACGCCCGCCGCCAACCCCTCAGCGTACGCCGCGTGCAGTACGACACGGCGGCCGGCCGCGTGCGCCGCTTTTACCAGCGCCGCCTGCGCAGCTTGCGTCAACCCGGGCCCGGGCGCGCTGCCAATAACCTTGATGAAGTCGGCCCTCCAAGGCTGCGCGACCTGGCTGCGGACGAACGCCGCCGCCTGGCTGATGTCGCGGATCAGCAAGCCGGCGTTCTCTGGCCCGACGAGCTTTGCGTGCGTACTATTGGGGGATGTTGCCATGAAAGATGCTGTCACGACGGCGGTCAGCCCCGTGTGGTTGCGCAGCGAGGCGCACAGCGCCGGGTCTGGGCAGAAGGCGTTGACCGCTGTTGTGACGCCGAAGCGCGTCAGTTCGGCGAGGTGGATTGTGCTCAGCAGGTGGGCGTGCGAGTCGATCAGGCCTGGGAGGAGAGTCATCCCCTGTCCGTCGTAGGTGGTGATGGTGTTGGGAGAGGTGGCTGCTGCTGCTGCGTGGCAGGCATCATGTTGTGTTCAGGGTGTCCATGCTTTCCTGGCGGTGCAGATATGGGCGATGTGCGAACCGTCCACGATCACCGTGCTGTTATGGGGATGGAGTGAAGTTCCGTCAAAGATACGGACGTTCTTCAGCGCGAATCTACGACCGGTTCGAGCAGTCGAGCAGCGGGTTCCAGCGGATCGTGCGGCCGTGTTTGCCCTGGTGATGGATTGGTGGTCGATATTCGCATGGCCACGGTCATTGTGGAAGCTGCAACAGTGACCGGCAGATACGAGCCAGGACAAGAGGTAGAGAAAGTAGATAGTGAGAGCAGTGAAGGTAGGCATCTTCGGTTCCCCAAGGAATTTGGTCTCCAAAAAAGGAGGACGATGCACAGACTAACAAAAAAATGCACCTTACAGAATTGTTTTCCTAAGGAGGCAAGACACAAGATCAGAACTTGAAGCCAGAGGTAGCCTGAAAAGAGCGGTGCCCTTCTGCTCTTATACTGGACAAAACATTTCATGTTTTAATTGTTGTTTAACACCGAGGGTTGGTACAACTCTAGCCTGAACCTAGAGTCCATCCGTTCATGAGGTACGTTGTAAAATGGTATGTTCAAGTCGACCGAGTCTAACACTACTAGTAGTACATGTACTTCGCTGTCTCTCATGGGAACCTTCCCCTGAGATACTATGACCTAGTCTCTTTTGGAAACAACGCGCGAACCGCTTTTCCTAAAGGGGTCACTCTACCATTACGCTAAGCATTAAGATAGTATGGTAAGGTAATGTCGCTGTGGTGCGTCCAACATTGAACCCTGTTCCAACATCCCGCAGGTCGGGGCATCGGCGTGGAAAGTCTCCGTCACGGGGTCACGGTGTCACCGGAGATTGCAGTACATAGCCGTTCGGGCAGTACTTCCGCAATGGTTCTCCTCGCTCACTTATGTCTCCTAGTAGTGTCGTCCCGGAACAGCAATGCGCCAGCGAGCAGTACTAGGGCCGCGAGATGGCCGTCTGAAGAGCAAAGGTTGTCTCTCATGCATCCGAATGAAAGTTAAGGTAGGTGTCCCAATCACGGTATCCTACCCCTATAGCTGACTGACTCTGCATGTGTACATACATGTAGTGCGATGAAGCCAAGCCGCACTGTCGACGGTGTCAGCGAGCTCGTCGCTGTTGTCCCGGCTATCGACATCAAACACAGGAGACCTTCATCTTCCGCATGGAGAATAGCAATCGGCCGCCGTTCCATAAAACTGATGTTCGGCAGCCCCTGACATTACCACCTTGTTACTCCTCTCCACCCACTCATAGTCTTCATGAAGACTGGTTGCAAGCTGCTGTCTGCCGCTTCTTCCACCATTTCGTTGTGACTCCTTCGGCTGGCTCCCACGGCTTCCTCGAGTTTCTCCCGCAGCTCTACAGCGCAACCCGACCTCCGTGGCTATGCCTTAGACGCTCTGTGGAGGCTATCTCCATGGCCAGCCTCGCTCAGGCCAAGCACATGAGCGTAAAGTACTTACTGATGGCTCGAGAGGCATACGGCGAGGCCCTCCGTCAACTGCATCAAGCCCTGTCATGCAGCAGCGAGGCAACACCACCAGCTGTGCTTACAACCATCTGTTTGCTGTGGAAATACGATGTATGTAACTTTGATGATCTACTCATCACGCTACCCCAGGTCGATTCACGATACAAAAGCTTGGAGATCATCATGATGCTCATACTTATCCTTCGTCTAGATCATCATGGGCGAAGGCCGCTGCACACATGCAGACAAAAGTCCGCACCGACAAGGTCAGCTCGAAGTTCTCCGCATACGTTCCTCTCGTTCAGCAGACACCTGCACTACTAGTAATAGTGAGGAGTGGATCGATCACTCCGCGCTTGCTATCGTCTGCATGCAGAGCCTCACATGCAGCTTGGTACCCGAGGCGACACCGACATCGGATATTCCCCTCCTGCCAATCACCTCCTCAACATATGCATGTGTCGAACCGGTAGCAATTCTACGGAAGATACTGCTACCCCAGCTAGCAGCCACCATCAACACCGTTGCTAGTGGTCTCGCTGAAAGGACTCCCACCGCCGATGAAATCGTAAGACACGCCAGTCAGTTGCTGAATCTCCACCGGCAGCTCAAGAGATGGGAGGTCAGTCTGCCTGAAAGGCTCAGATATGAGTCCATGCCGAGAGCTGTATCCAGGCAACACAACCGCCGCTTTCCCTTTCCTCCATTCTACATCCTTTTCCCCGGTGTTTCTGTCGCCGCGATATGGATAGCCTACTGGCTCGCCCGGCTGTCTTTGCTACGCAATCTGACACTGATATTGTCACATTGGCACCGCGCCAACGGCCTACCTAGCATTTCGTTGCCTGATATTCGAGCAGATATGCAATCGGTAGCGGGCTCGATCTGCTCCAGCGTCCCGCACCTAATTGGGGATGTTGACGACAATGGTAACATGAACCCAAGTGCTGACAGCCAGGGCCAAGGTTTGGGCGCCCTCTTCGCTACAAGAGCGCTGTACATGACCGCGCAGCTGCGATGCATGTCGGATGAGCAAGTGGTATGGATGCTTGATAGAATGGAGTTTATTGGTCAGGAGATGGGAATTCGGCAGGCATTGGTTTTGAGAGAGGAGGTTATGAGCAAGAGGTTAGCCGAGTAGGGCATCGGAACCTCATTAGGGGGAATGTTTGAACTTGCAGGTTATGGATTCACAACTCCCTAAGTAGAAGAGAGCAATAGCTCCGAGTCGGAGCAGATTCCATTGGTTGAAACTGAAATGGGATTACACTGGCGCCGTCATCGGCCCCTCATGATTTATCCTACTTACATCTGACCCTACATATACTTATACCTACCAGTGGCCGCAAGCATGCACCGAACGTTATGTAGAACTTCGCACCGATTTCCTCTTTCAAGGCTACTACACTCAAGTCTCACCATGTCTGCATCTCAAAGCGGTGGATCAAGCCAGCGCACCAGCGACTGGTCTCCAGACCAATACCTCCTCTTCAGCCAGGCGCGCAACCGACCAATCCACGACCTAATCTCCTTCCTCGGCCCCAACTTTGTCCCAAAACACATCACCGACCTGGGCTGCGGACCAGGAAACAGCACCGAGATCCTCTCCTCCCGTTTCCCCACGGCCAAGATCACCGGCGTCGACTCCTCCCCGGCCATGCTAGCCAAAGCGCGCACCGCCCACCCAGAAACACCCTTCATCCAAGCCGACGTGCGCACCTACGTCCCGGACCCGCAAACCGACCTCCTCTTCAGCAACGCCGTCTTCCACTGGCTGCGCTCCGCGGACCGCATCCCCACCCTCACCCGCCTGCTGCGCACCCTGCCCAAAGGCGGCGTCCTGGCCCTGCAGATGCCCGACAACTACCACGAGCCGTCCCACCGAGCCATGCGCGACACGGCGGCTTCGCCGGGGCCGTGGCAGGAGTATTTCGCGCGTCTGTCTGCCTCGTCAGGGGATGCTAGTAGTAATAGTAATAGGCCTGATTTGGACGAGATTGAGCCCGTCTTGGCCTACTATGACGCGCTCAAGCCGCTGTCTAGTCAGGTGGAGATTTGGAAGACGGAGTATATCCATGTGCTGGAGGATCATGGAAAGATTGTTGAGTGGGTTCGCGGCACGGGACTGCAGCCGTTTGTGAACGCCCTGCCGGAAGGTGAGGTGCGCGAGGGGTTTGTCAAGGCTTATCGGGAGGTGTTGGAACGGGTGTATGAGAAGGCAGTGGACGGGAAGGTGTTGTTGAGGTATCCGAGGAGGTTTGTTGTTGCTGTGAGGTGAGTTGCTCTTGTCGGAAGGGGTTCATGATTTCATCCGGTCTGGGTTGGATCATTGGATGTGTTGGCTTCTTAGGTGAGTGAATGATAGCATCGGTGATAAGGAGACCATAGGACAAATTCTCCGTCCCTGCCATCGTGACTTTCATCATGGATGGTAGTAACGAAAGTACTAAAACACTGAGGAATACAATATTTGCGTAGAGTGGTGTTGTGTGTTTGTGATCACGAAGGTACTACGGAGTTTGTATTCCACCTTATCTGATAACGTCCGCAGCATTGACAGTTGGTTGACAATCGACACTGCCCCGTTGAGGACATCTTGGCGGGTCGTCTTGGGGTTGTCCTCAGCGGGGCTCGCCCAAAATGATTGGGTGAAACCCCCTGCACACATCGTCAGCCCTGTGAGGACGGCCCAGACAGGAGGCCTGAGGCGCCCCTGTTAAATCTCGGTGACTCCCTCTCCGTCAGCACAGTCAATTTCCAACTTCCTCCTCAACCCAATTCCCGTGTATCACAACGCTTTGATCATTTGTTCACTTGGCTTGTGTTCTTGCTAGTCACTTTGTTCTCGGTGTTGAAGCATCCTACTAAGATCGACAACCACAGGCTCGTTCCGCCTCTCCCCGATAAGATAGCTATTACATTCGGCGCACCTCTGGCCTCCACATGTGCGAATTCACTGAGATGGCTGCATGTGGTAATGTTGCAACCGCATCTGGGCCAACCAAAGTATATCACTTGCGTTCTTCAACACCCCGGTTTCCGGTTCTAACACTCCCCTCTAGATCTACCACCAGACAGGGCCTGGCCCGGGGTATGGATGGGGTATGACGACAAGCTCATCGCACTCGCATAGTCGTCACCCTCAGTTGAACACGGACAATTTGTCTGAGGGTCAAGTTGGCAGCAGGTTGACGGACTTAGGGCGTTCATCGCTGGGCGGAAAGTCTCGGGTCACAGTGAATACAGGGGGCACGAACGTTCAAGGTTTACGTACCTTCCTCGGGAGCCAGCGCAGTTCCGTCCCGGAGCCATACGGTCCAACACTGGAATGGCTTCATGGAATTACCGCGCTCTCGCAGGCACACTCGAACGTCGAACACTTCGAGACCGATCCGGATTTCGTCAGCCATGATGGTTTTGGGGAGATGCATGTCCAGAGCGGTACCCCAGATCGGGAAGACTCGAGGAACGGCCATGAGGTGTGGAAAAACATGTTCCAGACGCCCAGCATAGCTGTAACCAAGACCTGCACCGAAATGACCACCGCCCTTGATGACGCGGTTACTCGAAAAGCGGAGCGAACAGAAGTGAGCGATGCCATTCTTCTCAGCGCGCCGTTTGAGCTGACACCAAACATCAATAACCAGATGACCGGTCTCCTCCATTCTGTCTGGATGCGCCGTGGCCACAATCGTCTAGTCCTGCCTTGGTTGGGACAGGGCATACTGGCTACTCACATCCGATGCTGCTCGCAATAGGGGCCTTGTCAGGGTTCCCGACCTTGGATTAAGTCGTTAAACTGATCCCTTTCAGTCATCGCCACCGCAGCCTGCTGTCTCGGGGCAGCTCAAGCCGCCGCCATTATTCGAATATTACAAAGCAATTACAAAACACGCTAGAGCACCTTCAACTCACGTCGTCGCGTGTTGGGTACATCGAGATGTCCAACAACATGCATCCCCATAAATCCTCCCTCGGTTGGTTCCCCCCTGAAGAGCAAGGGGAGTGGGTTTGGGTCCCCAAGCAGAATGCCACCTCAATACCCTATTTCACGGCCAGTATCCACGACAGTCAGTCCGCAGTGATGCACCCATTTGCGGAAAGTCCAGTCGAGGCCTTTCTAGAGGACTTCGACATCAACACGGCACTTCAACTGCACGCTTATCTTGAGGCCGCCTCGGCGCCAGCAGTTCCTCAATCACCGCAAGCTGCGCCGTCCACCAACCTATTTGATAACACCTTTGTGAACGAATCTTGGTTCTCTGATCTGGGCGTTTCGTTTGCAGCCGAAGCCAACAGTCAATGCACTTCGCCGAGCGTGGTCAGCCCGGATTCCTCAGGATTTCCTAGTCAGTGCTGGTCTGAAGCCAGCACCAGCCCCGGCCCAAACCCACAAACCCCCTATCCCCTCAGTCCAGCTGCCGCCTCGCCTGACCTAATCACCTCACCACCCGCAGCCGCCCCCATAGAGTTACTTGCATGCTCCCAGCCCTCGTGCCCCAGAACGTTCGAAAAGCAATCCGACCTCAGGTGAGCCTTCATGCAGCCCGGCTTTATCTTCAATGTATCAAGCTAACCTGCCATCTCACGTAGGAAGCACGAGCGCAAACATCGCAAGCTACTCGGTTGCCCCGTCTGCGGCAAGGCTCACCACGACCGGCGGGCGCTTGCCCGGCACCTCTGGGCCCAGCACGCCGAGTACGCACAAAAGCATAAGACACCCTCGGAGCGAGTCAAGTGCCCGCTCTGTGACTACGAGGGAAGGCAGGACAATGTCCTTCGACACAAGAAGACAACGCACGATAAACCGCGGCCCAAGGGGTGCTGAAGGGAGTTAGTACTAACATTATGTAGGGGAGAAGTAGGCAGGGTGATTTCTGTTTCATCTCTATGTCTAGCGTCTGGCGTTTGGTGCTCGGTATGTATATCTTTGACGGCTATTTCTGCTGATCGCTTCAGTTACGTCTCTCATGTCTTAGAAAGTCATTAAAAGGGTGAGCGCCGGAAACGGAGGCCTGATTTTCTGTCTAGCCTAGTAAAGCCTAGATCTGTAGCACTGCAGTTGACTTCAGTTAAACCTGTGCGCGTGTGAACCCTAGCGAAGCGTGACCAATTTCAAGTATCATCATTGACAGTAGCTCCTAGCTGAACCAAATGTAAACACGCCTAGAAACCAGGCAAAGACATCGGAAACGACATTACGAACAACAGATGTCCTGGAAGAAGGACAAGAGCTTGTAGATGTACAAAAGAAAATATGCAAGAAATAGAACCATCAAGCTTTTGACGCCCTAATCAACACCAATCCAATGTCATGATCCCATCTCCCCTGAAAGTTACACCCCGACAGCCGCCGGTGCATTACCACCGTCCACATCAACAGCCACCCTCTTCCTCGAAATCTTCTTCAGATTCCCCACCAACCGAAAAGCCTTTGCAAGCTTGTTCTGCTTCCCATCGCTTCTCCCCGTCTCCGTCCCCATCGTCCCTTTCCGTCCCTTCCGTACTCGTTCCCCATGCTCAGAACCCTCACGTCTCACACCCTCACGAGAACCATCACGATAACCAGCAGCAGCAGCCAACCTGATGCTCCTTGGCAGCCGTGGCATGGCGGCGACCAGCACCGCCACGTGTCCGCGCAATGTGTGGTGCTCGGCGAGGTCCTCGAGCCGCAAGGCTGGTGACGGCAGCGTCGTCGTTGTTGAGCCTGTGCTGCTGTCGTTGTCATTGCCAAGCAGGTAGGCTAGTCGGGCCAGGTCGGTCAGGTCGCCGCCGAGGGAGAAGAAGGATGTTTCTGAATCGATAGTACTAGACCCGGTGCTGGTGGTGGAGTTCAGGTTCAGCACCTCGCGCCAGTGGTCAGCTACCAGCGCGGTGACGGCTTCTTGGTGGGCTGCGGGCAGTATATTCATTTGCGGCGCTGAGATTGGGGTTGAGGGAGAGGGGGCGGTGCTTGGCAGCGGGATCTGCCTCGCTCGGCTGCTGAATTCGAGGGCGGACGGCAGCGCGGTGTCGGGGTTAGCCGCGAAGAGGGATGCCGCGTCGCATAGCATGTTAAGTGCTTGTTGGGCGAGTTTGCGCGGCACGGGACCGCCCTCGGCGAAGCTCATCATGATTTCGTACGCATGTGGGTCCGTTGTGTCTGCCTGGCGCTGGGAAAGAATGGCAACGTCGGCGAGATCGCCGTGCGTGGATGACGCACACCACCCGATGGCGTAGTCGGTGTCGCCGAGGCGGACGCGGTGGGTCTGGTCGATGTTTTGGTGCTGCACAGTCGACGTGAAGTAGGTCCACGCTGGCCAGTCGGTGCAGCGCCGGATGATCTCGCGGAACCCGAGCACCTCATGCGGCATGTTGGCCACCTGCTGTTCTTGCACTTGGTACAGCATGTGGCGGGCTGTTCCGCCGCTGAACTGAACGCGCACGGGTACCAGGTTGAGGCACGGTCCAACCATGTTTTCGATGCCTTCGACGGCTGCATTGCGTCCGCTGATGGTGTGGCCAAATACGACGTCTGGGTTGGCCGATAGCTGAGCAAGCACATACGCCCAAGCCGCTTTGACGATGGTGGCGGTAGTAATGTTTCCGGACTCAACCGGGGGCAGTCGGACAGCCTTTTTGAGCCAGACAGCTGGGCCGGAAGCCCACTTGTGGTGGTCTGGATGCTCTCGGCTGACGATTTCGGTCATAGAAGACCCTTCAAGCAGCGCCTTCCAGTGCTGGTAATGGTCCGAGGTCAGCGTCCCCGCCGAGGCTCGCAGGTAGTTGGCAAAGGATGGCGGGCAGGGGACCGCTGCGCCCCGATATGCGGCTTGAAGGGCGTCGAGGATCTTGGGTAGACACACTCCGTCGTACTGTGCGTGGGAGATGCGTATTAGTATCCTATGACGGCTGCTATGTCGGTCTCGCACTACTGTGAACCCGACGAAAGGTTCGCCAAGAGAAGGAGTTTCGTGTTCTCCTTTGGTTTGCAATCCCTTCGTGAAGCTTTCGATGGATTCATCCTCGAGCTCAACGACATTGAATACAGGGCGCAGCGTGCGGAGGACAACCTGGAGGAGCCGGCTGCCTGATGGCACGAACACGGTTCGCAGGATATCGAAGGACTGCACAAGCCGGAAGCACGCGCGCCTCAACTGCCCGACATCCAGCAATCCTTCACCGTCAAGGTAGAAGTAGTTGAGCATCCAGCGAGACTTCAGAAGCGCACCGGTCACTGCTAGGGACTGGAAGTCCGTTGCAGGAAGCACATCGGCAAGCCCGCCTCTGAACACGCCAACTTGGGGAACGATGTTGGTCTGAAGGAACGCGTCGACGTTTGAGGCGGCGAGCAGCGAGAATCGCTCATAGAGGATGTGCTTAGCGGCTTGTCCAACGATGCCCCTATCAGGGGGGTATGTGGAGGTATAAATTGAGGCTGCCATGTCGTCAAATCGAGGGTACCGGAAAACGTCGGCAACGCTGAGAGTGAGCCCCTGGTCCCTGGCCTCGCCAACTAGCTTCATGGCCATGATGCTATCCCCGCCGAGGTCGAAGAAACTGTCTTGTCCATCGATGGGATGGTCCGACGGGAGACCTAGCAAGGTGGTCCACAGCGCATGGAGCATCTTTTTGGGATTATTTTGTCTGGCTTCCATGCCGATGTTCGAGATAGGAGACATTGGCGTTTCGGGGGTGTCTGACTGAGGAGACCACCAGGTGATAGCGTCGATGGAGCTTTCACTAGACGCTACGCCAGACAATCGATGATGTCTCCGAGAGTCTGAGTGCTTGCGGGCACGTCCGCTGTGAGATTTTGCGGCCATGTAATGGTCAAACTCCTCGACGGACAGCGCCGGGTGGTCGAGGAAGGCATTCAGAACCTGGGCCATGGCCTGCGCAACCTCCTGGGCCTGATTATCGTTGATATGGTCGGACCAATAGCGGAACACAACGCCTTCTGAGCCCTCAGAGACATCGACGTTGACGGTAATAGCGTACTTCATCGCAATCCAGTCAGCACGCTGTCATCATTTTAGGATGAAGGGGAAGAACTTACCTCACTAGGGTCGTGACCCTCTTCCAACGTGAACGAGATCGTATTCTCGCACTGCGCATCCTCCTTGTCGGAATGGTTTTGCGTCGAGATGGATGTGTTGTAGAGAGGCTTACCAGCCATGCCGAGTTCGTGTTGCACCTGAGCAAGCGAGCATTGCTGGAACGGTATGCTTTGCAAGTAGTGTCCCTGAGCGGCCCGGAAGATATCGGCGAGAGTCTGCGATTTGGATATGCCGATGCGGCAGCAGAGCATGTTGATGAGGGTCCCAACAATGCGGTCAATATTGTCGACCGGAATATCGCGGCCGGCGGTGAGGAACCCAAAGCAGATATCGTCAACGCCGGTATACTTGCGCAGCACCAAGGCCCAAGCGACGTTCATGATGTTGGCGAGTGTGACATGAGTCCGCTCCGGGAGGCGCCGGAGTTCGTGGTAGCGGTCGAACTGGAGCCGTGTCGATCCGAGTCTTTTTGTGACCGCTGTGTCGGCGTTCAGCTTGGGGAAGTGGCATGGCTTCAGGCCTCTCAAGTGGTCGACCCAGTATTCTACGGCTTTGGTGGTGGGAGTGCTGCGGATATACCGAATGTAGTTGCTGTAGAGGGGCCCAGGGGAAGAGTCTAATGTTCCTGCATATGCTGCAGCAAGCTCATCCAATATGATTGGGAGCGAGCCACCGTCCAAGGCGGCGTGATTAATTTCGAGCTTCATCAGCAGGCCCCCGCTGTCCGTCGCGCAAATTGTGAGTCGATGAGGGAGTTGGGGTCGTTCCTCTTGACCTTGGTCACCGCGAGTCATGCTTGCACTCTCGCTAAGCCTGGCCATTGCTTCTCCATCGCGGCTTCGGATGATGACAGCTCCGCAATCTGGCTGCTTGAGGACGGCCTGGGCAAAAACGCCATCGGAATGGAAGCTCTCAACAAAGACGGTCCTGAGCACTGGATGGCGGGATACCACCTTCTGCCAAGCTCGTGCAAGACGGCCCGGGTCCAATGCGGTGTGCGAGCCCTTGTGCGCGACGCTGTAGACAGCATGGAAGATGTATGCGTTCGGATCGCGCAGCTGACTGATCAGGATACCATCCTGCACAGGCGTGCAGGGGTATATGTCCTCGATGCAAGAACAAGGATCGCGGATACCCAGTCTTGGGAGGGCCACGTTCACCAGAGTGCGAAGGTTCTCATAGTCCAGCGGTAGGAGCGGGTAGTCGCTCAGGGTAGGCTCGGCAGGGTGTCTCGTCAACCCCTGAACTATTTCCTCGAGGACCGCCTTGCAGTTGGCAATCCACTTGAGGGCGTCGCTGACTTTGTTAAGATTGCGGTCGTAGATGAAGCTGAAGTGCAGCTGGTTGTCAATGACGACAGCCGAAATCTCAAAGAGAGCCATCCTGGTAGCCTCGGTTCCCACGTCTGCCGTTTCTCGGAGGACGTCGAGGCCTTCCGCGTCGCTGCTACTCACTCCACCGCCCAAGTAATTGAACAGCACCTCCATCGGAGACAGTATGGCGTCGGCGGTCCGGCCCAGCCACTTGTGTGCAAAGTATGGCCTGCCATTCCCAGGGATGCTGCGCCTTAGATCCTTGGCTCGTTTCACTGCGTCAAGGGCGTCATTGGAATGGATGGGAACTTGCAACGGGCAGATGGTCGTGAACCACCCGACGGTGCCCGACAGATCAATGCTGGAGCCGTCTGGGGCTTCGCGGCCGTGGCTTTCGGTATGCAGCGTCGGGGTAGCTCTGTCAGGGAAAGTCTTGGCGAACGCATGAGCGAGAGCCGCGAGGAAGACGTCAAGGGGCTCTGACCGGAAAGCCCTGTGGCAGTCTCCCAGAGCTAGTTTCGTCATGTTCTCATCTAGGGTAAAAGACTCGGTTGCGGTCGTGCCGTATGTGAGAGGCTGGTCCACGCCCCAATAGCTCAAATCAGAAGGGGTCTCCTCGAAGGGCAGGAGGGCCTTCGCGTCAATAGATTTGTTGTGTTCAGATTGCAACGCGCACCAGGCTCTGAAGAACAGAGGGGGTTCAACAGGGAGGATGCCCGTTTCCAAGATCTGGGTTAGGTCCTGGACAATGATGCGCCAGGAAACAATGTCCACAACCAAGTGGTGCGCAACCATGTGGATTGCTTTCTGGTCTTGGACGGGGAGATCCACCACGTCGACTCTGAAGACGGGGCCATGTTCAATGTCGAGGCTTGTTTGAGCAGCTTTGGAAACCATCGTTATTTCTTCGGGAGAGGCTGGACGGTGCGCAAGGAAGGAGTAGACCGACGGTCTCATCTAAATCCGGCTGGTCAGGAATTGGACCAGGGGGATCATGGGGTCTAGAGGGAAGATGGAACGTACCTTGATCGTCCGCTGCAGCCAGGTGCCATCGAGTCCCTTAACAAAGCGCGCCCGAAGCATCGAATGACGCTGCACAATGGAATCGACGGCGTTCCGGATGGCGTCAACCCCAACGGCCCGAGGAGCCTTGAGGGCGAAGCTCTGGTTGAATCGCGCGTCGCCGTCGTGCTTGACGGCCAGTTTCATGTACATGGTCTGGATCGGCGACAACGTGAATGGCTCTTCGGTTTCTGCTCCCAGATGTGCCTCGGCGGTTGCCGACGAAGAAGCCACTTTGGCAAGTTGGGCAAGATGCACGACGGACTTTGAACGGAGAACATCCTGCAGAGAGACAGTAAGCTTGGCGTTTCGAGCTCGTGAGACGACTCCCATAGCCCGAATGCTGTCGCCACCTGTGCATTCATCAGTTAGCAACCACGTATCATTATCAGCTAGGAGTGAGGTGAACTTACCGAGAGTGAGGAATGGCTGGTTGGTCTTGACACGATCAACCGGGAGGTGTAACTCCTTTGCCCAAATCTCTCTCAGGGTCTGCGCTTGCGGGATGAGCTGGACGTCCTGGCTGGCCTCCTCGGAAAGGCCAAGACTGTCGGCAATGCGCTCGAGGGTTGTGGCATCGATATTCTCGACCCATCGCGCCACTCTCTGCCTGTCCAGCTTGCCCGACACACCGACGGGGATGCCTTCAAGCACGATCCACACCGAAGGAACCATGTAATGCGGGACCTTGTCTGCTACTTGACCTCTGACCTCCACAAGGTCCTCCCGGACATGGGCCATGCGCTCAGCCGGTCCGTCAACAGGGGTGCAATTATTATTGCCTCCAACGTCGCCAGCACTCTCACCATTGAGGGTGACAATCCCAACCAGCTGCTTCTGGCACGGACCGGTCTTGGGCTGCACCACGAGCGCCAGCCGCACACGCCTGTCGGCTGATAAGCAGCTCTCAATCTCGCCCAGCTCAATGCGCTGGCCATTGACTTTCACCTGGCCATCCTTGCGACCGATGAACTCGATTGCACCGTCAGGCCGGTACCGCACAAGATCGCCCGTGCGGTATATCCTCCGGGGGCCGGGACTGCCGACTAACCCCCTGCCCCACGCGGGGCTCTCCACAAACACCTTCGAAGTCTTTTCTTTGTCACCCAAATACCCTTCCGCCAGCAAAGGCCCGCTGATGACCAGCTCCCCCACCGCGCCCACGGGCGCCAGCCAGGGAGAGTTCTTGTCCTCTCTTGGCTCCACAATCCACGCGCGCGCAGCACTTGTGGCGCGACCAATCACAGCACGATCCGCCTGCGAGACAACCGCGGGGTTGACCACGGCCAGCACGCAGGCCTCGGTCGGCCCATAGCCGTTCCTCAGCTCAACACCAGTGCCCGCCCAACGGGCAACCGTTTCGGCTAGCATCGCTTCACCGCCGCACACCAATGTCTTGAGCTTGATACCGGGTGCATAAGGTTCGACCAGGTTTGCTACGGACGGAGTCAAAAACGCCCAGGTGGCGCTGAGGCGTGCCATCGCGCCGCCTAGGTCGTGCAGGCGCTCGTGCTCGCTCGGCACGCACACGCACGCGCCCAACATAAGGGGGGTCAACGTCTCCATGAGCGCCACATCGAAGGTTAGCGAGGCGAAATGGAAGGCCCGCGAGGATGGTGTCAGGTTGGTTGCGGCCGCGAACCCACGCGAGGAACTGCAGAAGGCAAGATGGGTGGCGACTACGCCTTTGGGGGTTCCCGTGCTGCCTGAGGTGAAGAGAACGTAGGCGGTGCTCTGCGGGGTGGATTTTGCCAAGGAGACGGTGGGGTGGTATAAAGGGAGGCCGCGGATTGTGTTGCCGTCCACCGGGAAGCAGGGGACGCTGGTGATGCTGGCGAAGCGGGCAGTGTACTCGGGGCTGCATACGATCAAAGACGGGTTGAGCGAGGCCAGCATGTCCTTTTGCCGACCGAGCGGGTGGGCCGGGTCAAAGGGCACGAAGGCGCCGCCTGCCATGAGGACACCCAGTAGCGTAACGAGGGACCAGGCCGAGCGCGTGAGGCAGACGGGGATCAAAGACCCGGGTCTGACGTTGAGCTGCGAGAGCTGGACAGCCAACCGGGAGGCATACTCCCGCACCTCGCCGTAGGTGAGCTCCGCATCCCAGGCGCTGATGGCCGCACGCTCAGGGTGACGGGAGGCCTGGTCGGTAAACAGGTCGTGAATGCATGCGTTGACCTCGACCTCAAACTCGCCGTTGAAGCGGTTCCAATCTGCGATCAGGGCTTGATCTTCGCTGCTGAGCACATGGATCTCAGCCAGGGTTGTGTTGGCGTTCCTGGACATGGCCACCATCTGGCTCAAAATTGCCTCGAGCTGCTTAGCGAGCCGTCTTGCATGCCAACTTGAGAGGACATTCTCGTCATGGTGGAAGGTGGCCTCAATTGTGGCGTCGGTAACGTTGCATTCCAGCACAAGCGAGTGTGTGAAAAAGCTCTCCATTGAAGAACCGCCTTGGAAATCCCAATCATCATCCCTCTGCCGGCGAAGAGATGGGGAGGCAGCCTGGATGGTCAAGATGTTCTGAAAGTTGCAGGCTGCCTCGCAGTCCTGGTTGAGCCGCCTGATGTGCTGGAGCCCCAAGTGCTGGTGCGGCGCCAGTCGGCTCGCCAGCTTGTGCATTTCCCGGAGGAATTCAGGGAGTCTCAAGTGGCGGGACGGCTGGACCCGGACTGGGACGGTGGTGAACGTCGGTCCGGCTATGTCCTCGACACCTGCGAGGTCGATGTTGCGGCCCGCCAAAGTCTCCCCAAAAACGATATCGTCCGTGCCAGTGTACGCTGCCAGGGTGATGGCCCATGCCGCTCTGACCAGGGTCGGGAGAGTGATATCGGCAGTGAATGTGTTGCGATTGACCTGCACCCGGATGGTCTCGACTCCAAACGTTGGCTTCATATTGCGGTTCGCAATCGTTGAAGACTCCGGGAAGTGTGTCACAGACGACGACCCACTCAGGGCATCCGTCCAAAACCTCTCCGAGGCTTTTACGTTTTGGCCGGCCAAGTAGCGAATGAAGTTGGCATAAGGCGCGTTTGTCCTGGCGTGGATCTTCTCCAGGCTCGAAACGTCCTCATAGATGTCCTGAACTCGCCTGGCAATGCGTGGCAAACTCCAACCATCATACAGTGCGTGGTGGATAGCCAAGACAAAGTACGTAGGTCCCTGTTCGCTGCGGACAAACGCGAACCTAGTCAGGACCCCGCCGTTCTGCGACCCGAGTGCTTTGCCCTTGATGGTAGCCTCCTCGAGGCTTGGTTCAGCATGCCAGTCGATCGGTCCGGGGGCGACGACAACCTGCAAGAACCCAGCCGTGGAGGTATGGACAATTCGAGTGCGCAGCATGTCCGTGTCGTCAACGACCCTCTGCCAGGCCGACTTGAAGCGGGTCAGCTCAGCGTCTTTAGGGAGCTTGAGCGTGCTGATGGCCACATAGGCACCCGCCTGCTTGTTGGCCAGGGCCACGAGTCCTTCCTGCAGCGGGCTGCAAGGGTACATGTCCTGGATGTCTTGTCGCGGGATCAGACATTGCGCCGAGACCTCTTGCAGGAGGGCATCAAGCTGAGGCTTGAGGCTTTTCACGAGGCTGAAGGGTCCTGACTCGGGCTCTTTTTCTGTTGGAGCAACGGAAGCCGCTTCCATGCCACCGCACGCTTGCGCCATCTCAGTCAGGACAGGGTGCTCAAAGACATCAAGCACAGACAACATAATCCTGTGAGCTCGAGCAGCACCAACAAGCCGCATGGCCGTGAGGGAGTCGCCGCCGATGCGGAAGAAGTTGGACTCAGGCCCGACGGAGCCCTCGGGAAGCCCAAGGATCGCCTCCCACAGACCTCTCAACTTTGTCTCCATCTGGCTTGCTGGTGCGGGACGCTTCACAACCTTCTTGGCCGCGCCAGTAATCTTGTACTGAGCTACATAGTCCTTGCTGGCCTGCTCAACCGCTTGGCGGAGTCTCCTGCGGTCAAGCTTGCCCGCGCTTGTCCAGGGCATTGCCGAGACGGGGACAAACAGTGACGGGACCATGTACGCTGGCAGCTGCCCGGAGACGTGTTTTTCCAGGGTATGGGCAGCCTCATTCAGGGACTCGTCCATTGGCAACAGGGAAAAGCCTGTAGCGGAGGTTGCTGGGAGGCTAAAGAAAACAGCCAGGGCCTTGGCTGCGCTGCGTGCCGTGGGAGGCACGACCACCTCGACGGCGACCTGCGCGTCCTCGGGCAGGCCTTGTAGGCAGTGGAACTCGATCTCGCCGAGCTCAATACGTCTGCCATTCAGCTTGATTTGCGTGTCTTTCCGTGCGACGTACGACACCGACCCGTCTGAGTTGTACCGTACGAGGTCGCCTGTCCGGTACATCCTTTCATGGCGGCGCCACATGGAAGCTGGGAAGGCCGGATGGCCTGTCCACTGCGGTGGTGTCTGGATAAATGCCTTAACCGTCTGCTCGGGGTTGTTGAGATACCCCCGGGCCACCAATCGGCCCTCAACTACCAATTCGCCCACAGCACCAGGCGGCACCAGACGGTCGGGATTGCTCGGATCGACGACCCAAACCCGACCCCCAACAGCCGTGCCAATGTTGGAACTATCCTCATTGCGCACGCGGTGCGCCTCGTCGACCTTTGTGCTCGTGGTGGCTACGACTGAGCACTCGGTCGGGCCATACGCGTTGACAAGGGCACACTTTGTGCCCCAACGCCCGACATGGCCAGCAGCCATGGCCTCGCCGCCCGTGACCAGGGTGCGGAGGCACGGAACGCTATCAGGCTTGACGGTGCTAGCCACCGAGGGCGTGAGGAGGGTCCAGGTGACGCGCATGGATCGAATGACCGCCGCGAGGTCGTTCATCCTGTCCTCGTCCGAGGGAACGCACACGCACCCTCCCACCAGCAGACACGAGAGCGTTTCCATTATGCTCGCGTCAAACGTGTATGAGGCGAATTGCAGGACCCGCGAGTCCGAGCGCATGAACATGGCCTTTGCGTGGGCCAGCGCCCCGGTGCAGAAGGAGGCGTGCTCGATGATGGTGCCTTTGGGTTTGCCGGTTGTGCCGGAAGTGAAGATGATGTACGCCGCATTGGATGGCTTGACGGGGGTAGCAACTGTGATCTCCATAGCATCCAGCGTTCCGCTTCTTAGAACTGCTACGGTGTTCGCGTCAACCACGGCTGTCTTCGGCGCGATTCTGACAAGCTTTGGCTCGTATTTTGCCGAGCACAGCACAACCTTGGCACCGACATCTCCGATCAGCTCGCGCAGGCGGGTCTCGGGGTGCTCAGGGTCGAGGCCGACGAAGGCCCCGCCAGCTTTCAGCACCGCGAGCTGGGCCACCACCGTCCACGCCGACTTCTCAAAGCACAGAGGGACAAACGCCTCCGGCCCAACCCCGAATTCATCCACAAGCCGGCGGGCTACTGCCGTCGCAACTCCGTCTAACTCCGCGTAGGTGAACGAGGCATCCCACCCGCACACGGCGGGCGACGTCGGAAGCTGTGAAGCATGCTGCGCAATTACATCGTGCACGCACTGCTCGACCCGCGGGATCTCGTAGTCGTTCCACGCGAAAATCCGCTGTATTCCCGTCGATCCGACGAGGTCGACCTCTCCGACTGTCCGATCGTCCTGTCCGCAGTTGGCAACGAGATCGCTCACAGCCTGCTGAAACGCCGACGCAACATTCTCCATCTGCTCATCCGAAACAATATTGCGCCAGTACCCGAACTGCACCTCGACAGACCCTTCCGTGGCTTCCACATTGACAGCCACGGCATATTCGCTCGGATCCTCGGCGTTTATGACGCGATATTCCAGCGCGGATGAGATAGAATCCCGGTTCTGACCCGGCCCTGAGCGCTTCTGGTATGTAAATGCCGTGTTGAAGAGCGCGCCGGCAGCGGGAAGCTGGAGTGCATGCTGCATCTCGGCGAGCGAGCAGGTCTGGTGGGCCATGGCTTCGGCAAAGTTGTTTTGCATTGTGTCAATGGCGTCTTCAACTTCGATGTCTGCGCTGATGTGCAGGCGGCACACCAGCATGTTGATGAAGGCGCCCACGGCCTGCTCGATGTGCGGCACGGGTACGTCGCGGCCTGAGGCTAGATACCCGAAGAGCACGTCTTCGGAACCCGTGTAGGTGTGCAGGACCAGTGCCCAAGCAAACTGTAGTAGTGTTGACAAGGTAATCCCCGCGTTTGCGCAGTACTGGTTCATCTCGGTGAGGTGGTCCAATTGGATGGTCTGCGATCCGAGCGAACGTTCAGTATTTACCTTTCCGTCTATGAGAGCGGGAAAGAGACATGGCTCGGCGCCGTCAAGGTACCGTTTCCAGTAAGCGATGCTCTCATTGCGCGGCTGGGCCTGTATGAAAGCCATGTACTCCTTGTACACGGGAAGGGGCTCGTTGGTGGTCCCACGGTAATATCTGGACAAGTCATCGAGGAGGATTGGCAGAGACGAGCCGTCGCAAATTGCGTGGCTGATCTCGAGCTGGCAGAAGACGCTGCCGTCAGCAGTGGTGCAGAGTGCGAGCCGATGTGGCGGTTTTTTCTCGCGGTAGTCAATCCCTTGGAGATTTCCCAGAGCGGTGAGAGCTCCTGATTCGTCACTGGATTGCAGCATGATGGTCCGGCCTAGGGCTTCGCGGAGAACAACCTGGTCCATCAGGCCCTCGTCTCCGACCGTGTCGACGAAGACGGTCCGCAACGTGGCGTGCCGCCGGATGACACCCTGCCAGGCATTACACAGGCGGTCCGGATCGACTCTCTTTTCATCTGCCAACATGATCTGGAAGACTGCACGATATGCGTACTTGTCGGGTTCCCGCATCTGGCTGAGCAAAAGGCCGCGCTGGGTTGGTGAGCAGGGGTAAATGTCCTCAACCTGATCGAGGCGTAGGCCGATATCTTCGAAATTCTGGCGGAGATTGTCCAGGCCGTAGTAGCTCAGTGATAAAAGGGGGAACTCGCTCAACGTCTTCCACGGCGCGAGCCGTGTAAGCCTGTCCGTGGCATCTCGGAGGAGCGACTTGCACTGCTGAGCCCACTTGGCGAGCGAATCCTGATGCTTCATGTGGCTGTTGTACGTGAAGGAGAGCTTCATCTTTCCATCCTCCACGAGCGCAGAGACATCAATGAGTGCGAAGCGGGGTGCATCCTTGCCAATGTCGGAGGGCGAGTTCAAAGTCTGCCCAATGCCGTCAATTGAGGAAAGAAAGGTGTCTGTACGGCTGAGCTGCTGCATCTGGCCCAGATAATTGAATGCAACCTCGACTGGCCACTGATGCCCGTACTCGTCGCGCCCCTGCGAGGTAAGAAGCGAATAAGCAAAGTACGGACGCCCCTTGCCAGCCAGGCGTCTCCGGTAGTCTTTGACCCATCGGACGGCGTTTATGATGTCGTTGTCTATGCAGAAAGAAGATTAGTTCTGCTATGGAATGAGAAGAGGGGCATGTTTCAGTCTCAACTCACCAGAAGACGATTCATTCGGCAGGTGGACAGGGTACAGCGTGGTAAACCACCCTACCGTTCTTGACAGATCCATTGCATCGTCCCACACCTCGCGTCCGTGGCCCTCGTTGTAGATGGTCGGATTGCCGCGGCGACCAACTGAGGCGTTGCGATACGACAGAAGCAAGGCCGCTAGAAGCACGTCTAGCGGTTCGGTCTGCAGAGGCTTGTGGCACTCCGGACCCAGCAACATGGATGTTGTTTCGCTGTCCAGCTCAACGTTAGTAGTGACAACGTCTCCGTACGCATTGCACTTGTCTCCCATGCCCCAGTACTCGAGGTCTACATCCGAAAACTCGTGATGCGGAAGCAACCGGGGCCCGTTCTGCTCGGCCTGGGCGTGCTCCGCTTGCTTCCGGCTCCACATCTGAAAGCTCAGCGACGTTACCGGCTTGATGCTGCCAGAGGAGAAGAAGTCCTCCAGATCTTGGAGCAGAATGCCCCAGGATACGACATCGATCACCAAGTGGTGAATGGTGATGAAGATGAACAATTCCTTCTTGGCATCCCCACCGACAGTGAAGCAATCTGCGGCCAATAGAGGACCCTTCTGGATATCGAGGGCCTTCTGGGAGGTTTGGATGCGCTTCTCGACGCGTTTCAGATTCCCCACGGCATGCGCTTTGAAGCGGTATGACCCGCTGATGTCTGACGTGATGCGCTGCCGCCAGCTGCCCGTGCCATCACGCCGGAACCGTGACCGCAGCATGGAATGCGTCTGAACAAGTGTGTGCACGGCACGGCCAATCTCTTGCGGATCAATCTTTTCCCCGTTAAGTCGAAGAAGGACGCTCTGGTTAAACCGCATCGTGTCTGGGTCTGGCCCGGCAACTCGGCCATTCTCACCCAGAAGCTGGAAGTATAGTTGCTGGATGGGTGTGAGGTCAAACTCGTAATGGTCCTCGCCCGGGAAGGCTGCGGGCTGCTGTTGCATCGGGACTCCGGCTCTAAGTGCTAAGTCATGGACTGATTTGCTGTTAATAATGTCTTGCACGGCGACTTTGATGCCCTGCGTCCGGCAACGCGCCATAACCTGCATGGCCGTGATGCTGTCGCCTCCGAGGTGTAGGAATGACACATGTCGGCCGATTCTCTCGGGGGATATGTTAAGCACCTCGCTCCAGATGGTCCTTAGCGTTGCATCGAGCGAGATATTCTGTGTTAAAGCGGATTCTTCCGTTTCACGCTCCGCGTCGTTGCCCGTAACCTTGTCAAACATGTCTTCACTCATCTTGTCGACGAAATCGGCGACACCCCTTCGATCAAGCTTTCCAGATGGCAGCAACGGAATGCGCGAGAGCACAATCCAGGTCGATGGAACCATGTAAGCTGGCACTTTCGATCTCAGCCTCTCCTCGACCTGGTCGACGAGAAGAGACACTGCTTTGGAGGTGACCAGTTCGAATTCAGCGCCGGTATTAATGGAAGCAGAGAATCCCTGAAGTGCGAGAACCGCGACAAGGCGTTTGGCACACGGGCCGCTCTTCGGGAACAAAACAAGGGCATGGCGGATGGCATCGTCAGCCCCGAGATGGTGGGCAACCTCGTCGAGTTCTAGCCGCTGACCATTGAGTTTGGCCTGTGAAGAATCCTTGCGACCTAGATAGACCATTTCCCCCGAAATGTCGTCGCATATGCGAACCAAGTCGCCGGTCTTGTACATGCGGCGGGGTGCGGTTTGGGGCATGTCTGGATATCGCAAAGCTTCATCCAGTGCCCACTGGGGATTCTCAATGAAGACCTCGCGCGTCTTCGCTTCGTTGCGCAGATAGCCGCTTGACATTGTCGGACCCTCAATCAACAACTCTCCAGCGGACCCGACAGGTGCGAGACGGTCGTGGTTGTTGGGGTCCACGATCCAGCAGCGGCCGATGCCGCGGCCGAGGTTCACCGGGTTGGAGGACCGTTTCATGTTGGAGTTGACGGTAGCCACGATGGCGCACTCGCTTGGACCGTAGGCGTTGACCAGGTTCACCTTGTCGGCCCAAGTATCGAGATGGCCCTGGGCCATTGCCTCGCCTCCGAGGATAAGTGTTTTGAGATGCGGCACGTCGGCGGGCTGCAGCGTCTGGGCAACTGATGGTGTCAAGAGGCTCAGGTCTACACGCATCCGCTCCATGGCAGCGGCAAGGTTGCCGTTGGTGCGATCTTCCTCACACGGGACACAAACGGTGCCGCCCCTCATGAGGGTTGTTAGAATTTCGAACAGTGACGCGTCAAAAGTGTAGGACGCGAACTGAAGGCAACGGAAAGGGGGATTCATGAGCATGGGCGGGCCGTGAGCGGCAGCTCCTGAGCAGATTGCGAGATGGGAAACTGCAGGTAAGATGTCAGAAACAACCATGCATCAAGGAGACAACGTTTCTTACTAATAGTTCCTTTCGGTCTCCCCGTTGTTCCCGATGTAAAGATTACATAGGCGGGGTCCGTGGGTGAGCAGATTTCTATCCAGAGCGTCACTGTTAGCAAGTGCATTTATGCTCCGAGTCGCTGCGATGTTCAGGGGTTCAGGGGTATAAACAAACCTGTTGCCTCGGTAACGTCAGTGGAAGACCTCTGAGCGTCCACAATCGTCCGTAAAGAGTTCCCATCAACCGGCAAAACGACGTCCACCAGTTCAGAGCAAAGGCCTGAATATCTGGGCGAACACACAATGACACTGGCCTCGCAGTCACCCACAATCTCCTTCAGCCGCGAGACAGGATGGGCAGGGTCCAGTGGTACAAACGCCGCGCCGGCCTTGAGGACAGCCAACATAGCAACCACGGCAAATGCCGACTTCTCAAAGCAAAACGGAACGAGTTTGCCACGGTTCATGCCGTTGCAAGCCAGCTCGCAAGCAAGGGCCGTCGAGAGGGTATCCAGCTCGGCATTGGATAAAGTCGCGTCCCATCCAACCACAGCTTCCTCGCTGGCGCCCCGGGACGCCATCTGATCGGCGATCACATCCTGGACGCGTCGCTCCACCACAGGCCCAGGGACCCTGTTCAGCTCGCGGACCAGGGCCTTGTCGTCTTGGCTCAACAGGTCAACATCGCCAACCTTGTCATTCTGCCTCCGGACATCAGACACGCGTTGCAGGACCGTCTCAAATTGTGCTAGCATCCGGACAACTTGCCACTGCGGCACCACGGCGTGGTCGAAGTAAGCGCACACATCGATTTCACCTTCGCCTTTGAGCGCGCACGTGACGTTGAGCGGGTAGTTGAAGAAATCCGCGCCCTGCTTGTTGCCACCACTCGCCAATTCTTCCCAAAGACCCTCCTGGGGCATATCCTCAGTCATATCTATCGCCAGCAGATTCTGAAACTCGCACGCGACAGCCGCCTCCGGACCCAGGGATTTGATACGCTGCAGTCCGGCAAACTGGTGCGGAATAACATCATTGAGCTGCGCTTGCACATCAGTCAACACTCTTTGAACAGTCCCATTCCGGTCGATGCGAATGCGCCGGGGCACAGAGGCAAGCGTAGGGCCGATTAGGTCTTCTACCCCTGCGACGGGCACGTCCCGCCCACTGAGAACCTCCCCGAACACGACGTCGTCCGAGGAGGCGTAGATGGCCAGCACCAGCGCCCAGCCCGCCCGCAGAAATGAGGCTGTCGTCAGGTCGGACCCCTTGGGTTTAGCGAAGCGCACGCACCGGTGTAATTGGCTAGCGGCTTGTACACGGTAGCCGGGGTGCGGAAGGGAAGGGAAGTGTCGGGGTGCCGGGCCGGAGAGTTTGCTACGCCAGAACGCGTCAGAGGCCGAGAGGTCTGTGTTGCACAGATACTCCACAAAACGGGAGTAATGGGGTACAGGGGGGATTGGTGCTTGCGGACGGCTATACCGCGCCTCGACTCGAGAAAGTAGAGTGGGCAGACTCCATCCGTCGTAAAGAGCGTGATGTGCCGCCCAGACAAAGGTCGTCTGCTGGCCCTCGTGCGGTGCTTGGATGAGGGCATAGCGAGAAAGTTCGCCACCGTCTTGCATCGGCAGATGGCTGTATGTCTTGGGCAGATCATTGTGGCTTGGGGCGGTCAGCCAGTCAATTGCTCCGCGTACCACGACTTGGAGGAAGCCCATGCCCTCGATGAACACAACCCGCGTGCGCAAGATGGCTTCAGAGTCCACAACATCTTGCCAGGCTTTCTTGAACAGATCGATGTCAGTGCGGTAGGGTAGCCGGTATGAGTTCACGGCCACGTAGGCGCCGGGCTGTCTCTGGGAGGCGGCAACCATCCCAGCCTGCAAGGGCGTGCATGGGTATATGTCCTCGACAGACTCGACGCCGACGCGGCAAATGTGGGCCACATGGTCCCGCACTCTCTGCACAGTCACCGTCTTGTCGAGCTTAACCAGGGAGAATGGCTCCGCCGGTCCCGGTATGGGCTGTACATTGGCTCCCTGTCCAGAAGGTCGTTCACTGGATGTGGCAGTAATAGTAGCAGCCATGTCAGCGAGCTTGGGCGTCTGGAATATGGTCGCCACAGCAAGAACGATACCCCTCTGTCGAGCTGCTGCCACGAGGCGCATTGCTCCCACCGAGTCTCCGCCGTGGCGGAAGAAGCTATCCTCGGCGCCGATAGAGGCAGGTTCGACTTTGAGCACGGAGGCCCATAGCGCTTGCAGCTCCTTCTCCATGGCTGTCTTAGGCAGACGGCCGTTGGCAGTCCTTGCTCCCAGGCGATATGCTAATACGCCGTCGTTCGACAAGGCTTGAGCTGCGGTACGAAGACGCCGTCGGTCGAGCTTGCCCGACGATGTAAGCGGCATCTGCGAAACGGGGAAGAACACGTTGGGAACCATGTACGCGGCCAACTTGACGGATAACGCTCCAGCAATGGAGTGTGCGAGATCCTGGAAGTCGGCAGACATGGGAAGAATCTCGACTTTTGTGGTCGCCGGATTCGCCGAAAGACAGAAAAAGACAGCCAGCATCTTCTGTTGCGAGTGTCCGAGGGTGACCAGTTCGACAGAGGACTGAGCTCCTTCCGGGAGAAAGGCCTTGACGTGATGCTCGATCTCGCCGAGTTCAATCCGTTGGCCGTGCAACTTGACCTGGGTATCCTTGCGGCACAAGTAGACGAGCGAGCCATCCGAATTGTATCGGACTAGATCGCCTGTCTTGTACATTCTTCTGGCTCCTCGCTCGTCATGCCGCGGGTCGAGCACCGCCCACTTCGGCATCTCGATAAACGCCTTGGCAGTCTCAGCAGGTCTGCCTAGATAGCCGCGGGCGAGGATGGGCCCTTCGATTAGCAACTCGCCCACGCACCCGACGGGGACAAGCCGGTCATGGTCACGGGGGTCAACGACCCATGACACGCTGCCAACACTAGTCCCAATATTGGCAACATCACCACGCGCATCCGAATGCAGCCGGTGGGTAGCGTTGATGGAGCACTCGCTCGGGCCGTACTGATTGTGCAGGGGGATGGCACCGCCCCAGATGTCGAGCACCTCCTGGGTCAGCGCTTCGCCGCCCACTGCAAGACCGCGGATTTTGGGCACGTCGTTCGGCCTCAGCAGTGCCGCCACGGTCGGGGTCAGGTCCATAAAGTTTGCGTCGAGCCGGTCGATGGCACCCGGCAAGTCGCCCAGCCGGTCCGCTTCCGAGGGCACGCACACGCACCCGCCGTGGATCAGGGTCGTGAACATCTCCTCGAGGCTGTTGTCGAAAGTGTGCGCCGCAAACTGCAAGAACCGGGTGTGTGGGCCGAGGCCGAGCGCCGCGCCGTGCGCCAGCGCGCTCGACACAAGCGCCTGGTGGCAAAGGACCACCCCCTTGGGCTTGCCGGTGCTACCGGACGTGAACATGACGAAAGCCGGGTCTGACGGGGAGACCGTTGCGCTGTCCTGCTCGGGTTCAGGTTGAAGCTGGGCCATCAGCCGCGGCCCGACCGCAACGACGTACGGCACCATGGCCTCAAAGATCGCCGCGCGCGTCTCTGACGCCACAACAACGTGCGCACCCGCATCAACGACTTTACCCTCGAGAGCGTCAGCGGGGTGTGTCGCGTTGAGGGGCACCACTCCTCCACCAGCCTTGAGAACAGCGAGCATGGACACGACCGTCCACGCCGACTTGTCAAAGCACACGGGCACAAACACCTCGGGCGCCACGCCAAGGCTCACCAGGTGGGCGGCCAAAGAGCTGGACAGCCGGTCCAGTTCGGCGTACGAGAAGTCGGCGTCCCACCCCCGGACCGCTTGCGACTGCGCGCGGAGGGAAACCTGCTTCGCGATCATATGGTGGATGCAATCCGCGGTAGTCGGGGGAAGGCTGGCATTCCAGGCCCAGATGGCGGATTTGCTGCTCTCGTGGACAATATCGAGCTGCGAGAGCGGGATTTCGGCGTGTTCAGCGATGTTGGTCAGCGCATGGACAAAAGTCGCTGCGACGTGCTCGGCCTGGCCGGCGCAGACGGCGTCGGTCCAGTAGTCGATGTCGATGGCGGCAGTGGTGGCTCCGTCTTCTCCGTCGTCGCTAGTCTCGATATTGAGCGAAATTGGGTACTCTGTTGGGTCGTGAATGGCTTCCAGGTCGGTGCACTCGAGAGCTTCGGTAGTTGCAGACTGCTGAGACAGCAGCCGGCGGCGATAGGAGATGCATGTGTTGAACAGCGCCATGCCGCCGGGCATCTTGAGCGCATGTTGCACCTCTGCTAGTGACGCCTGCGCGTGCGGCATGCTGTCTAGCTGGTCTCTCTGCGTGGCTTCGAGGACACGGAGTAAGGATAAGGCATTTTCATCATCCTTCTCGCCCCGAAGTTTGACCCTCTGGGTGACCATGTTGATGAAGGGGCCGATGGCATCCTCAGAGCCCTCAACGAGCGCGGCATCGCGCCCCGATACCAGATAGCCGAAGCACACATCGTCACTTGCGGTGTAGCAGGCCAGGGTGAGACCCCACGCAGCGTGGAAAGCATTGGGCAGAGTGAAGCCCTTGGCATCACAGAAAGACTGCAGCGCTGCAAGATTAGGCACCGAGACACGGAGAGATCGCAACTCTCTGGTTGATTCTGGCAGGTTGATGCCATCGTTCAGGACCGGAAAATGGCATGGTTCAATGCCAGTGAGATATGACGTCCAGAAACCAATGTCAGCCTCTGCATTGCGCTGCTGCAGGCTTGCCATAAAGGGGCTAAAGAGTGGCTTAGGTGTGTTGCCAATGGACCCAGCGTAGCTCCGTGCAAGGTCGCGCAGGAGGATGTCCATCGACGCGCCGTCCATGATGGCGTGGCTCATCTCGAGCACACAGCACACACTGCGAGCTCTGATGCTGTGAAAAATGGACAGACGATGCTGGGGCTTGTCTGCGCTATACTGCATCGACTCCATTCTGTCGACCATTTTGCGCATGTCGTCTTCGCCGCCGCGGCACTCGTAGACCGCGATGAGCGATTCCATATCCACGCGTTTCAACACCAGCTGGTCATGGCTGCCGGCCCTTGCCTCGCTGATAGCGTCCACAAAGACCGTCCTCAACAGCGCGTGGTGCATCACGACACCTTCCCATGCCTGCACCAGGCGCCGCACATCGACTTCTCCACCGTCACCGCGAAGCGCGACCTTAAACACCCTCCGCACGGCATAGAAACTCCCATCCTTAGTCCGGCTCATCAACAACCCCTCTTGGATCGGCGAAGCCGGGTACACATCCTCCACCTTCTCCCACGCACTGTCCCCAGTCAAAGGCTTCAGCTTTTCCCTCTCGAATTTAACCAACTCCTCCCCCTTCAATCCAGGCAACAGAGTTAAATCCCCGGCCGTAAACCTAGGTTTCACACCTGGCAGGATCCGCGCCGCATCTCTCAAAACTGCAGAGCACAAGTCCACCCAGCGCCTCAACTCGTCCTGCCTTAGCATGTGCCTGTTCCACGCAAACGCAAAGCGCAGCACGTCTTTCACGACAACCGCCGAGATCTCGACCAGCGCAAAGCGCGGCGCGGCTCGCCCGAAATCGGCTGTACCATTACCAGAGTGCGCTTCGCCCGCGAGGAGCGCGGCAGGGGCGAACAGCGCGCCGGGCCGTTCGAGTTGCTGGTACCGGCCTAGGAAGTTAAAGGTTACTTCCATGCGTCTCATGTCCGCTCGGCGGTGATTGGAGTTGGAAGAGGGATGGTAAAATTGGGAGGCAAAGAACTGGCGGCCGTTGCCTGGTGCGCGGCGACGGAGGTCTTTTGTCTGGATGAGCGTGTCGGTGAATTCTGGAGTTGAGGTTCCAAAGGAAGCCGTGATGGGGAAGAGGGTTGTGAACCATCCAACGGTGCGCGAAATGTCGGTTGTTTCTGGAGAAGGCGGCTCGCGGCCGTGGCCTTCGTTGAAGATGGCTGGTGGGGAGCGGTCGGAGAAGGTGGTGGCGAAGGATTGCAGCAAAGCCGCAAGCAACAGGTCGACAGGCTCCGTACGGAAGGAGTTCTGGCATGCAGATGAGAGGAGGGTGTTGGTTGTGGTGGGGTCAAGGGAAAAGCCATGGCAGATTACATCGCCGTAGAGGTTGGGTTGGGCTTGCATCCCCCAGTATTCGAATTGTGTCGGAGGAAAAGGGGGAGAATGGTCGACGGGTGCGTTGATGCAGTGCTCCTTTTGGAGGACTGTCCATGAGCGGAATGATAGCGACGGATGCGGAGCGAGGTGCTGCTTCTCCAGTAGCTCTTCCATCTCCTCGAGAATTACCCTCCATGAGACAAGGTCAATGACTAGATGGTGTGCCGTCATGAACACGATCTCCTGGCCGCTGTCCTCGACTGCAAACAGTTCTGCCGCGAAAATGGGACCTCGACGGACGCTCAAACAGCCCTGGGCGTCGGCTATGCCGGCATCAACCAGATGGGCAGAACGCACTGAATGAGCTCGGAAGCGGTAGGACCGGCCTACGTCGGGCGTGATGAACTGTCGCCATTGCCCATCTTCCGGGCTGCGTTCGAACCGTGCTCTCAACATTGCGTGGCGCTTCACGATGGTCTCGATTGCATCTCGGATAAGCGTCGCGTCTACATGACGGCCCAGACGCAGACAGAAGCTCTGATTAAAGTGCTCGTCACCTTCCGCTTCGCCACGGACTTGGAAGTGGAGTTGTTGAATTGGGGAAAGTGCAAAGGGCACATTGAGCAGCTCTGTCTCCTCTTCTCCGGCGCTCCTTCCCTCATTGCTCGCCTTAAGCTTCTTAGCACCTGCCGCAAGCTGCCGGAGGGACTTGGCTCTAAGAACTTCCTGCACTGTCAATCCAAGCTGCGCCTTCTTGGCCCGGCTGGCGCAAGCCATGGCGGAGATGGAATCGCCGCCCAGACTAAGGAAGCTGCGGTCATCAAGGCTAATCTGTACCGCGGGAAGGTTGAGCACCAGGCTCCAAATATCACGCAGCGTAGCTTCTGTTTCGGTCAGAGGCTGGATTTCCTCATTGTCCTTGACAGATGTCTTCGCATCACCGGAATTGTGTCCCATCAGGATGCGCTGACACTCTTCTTGGCTGATGACGCTCTCCACCCATGTCGTCACAGATTTGCGGTCCATCTTTCGCGAAGGGAGCATGGGGATGGCGTCAACGCACAGCCATACCGATGGAACCATGTACGCTGGGAGGCGTGCCGTGAGCCGCGCACGGATTTCCTGCAGGAAGGGTTCGGTGACGGAGATATTGTCGCACAACCTCAGGCCGTTGGAACCAGCAGTAGCAGCAGGCTGCATTGGCTCAGTCAACTCGTCGAGCGAGAGTACGGCAACCAGCCGTTTCTCCAGGGGTCCCAGCTTAGGTAGGAGGATCATGGCATGCTTCACGCTCGCATCGACAGCAAGATGATGCTCAATCTCGCCCAGCTCGATGCGTTGGCCATGCAGCTTGATCTGCGTGTCTTTGCGTCCAACGTAACTCAACGAGCCGGTGCCAAAGTTGTAGCGTGCGAGGTCTCCCGTCTTGTAGAATCGACGGCGGCCAGCAGCACCAGTGGCGTCTGCCCAGGCTGGGTCAAATATAAAGCTTTCTTCCGTCTTGGCAGGATCGTTGAGGTACCCTCTCGCCAGACTCGGACCTTCAAGGAGCAGCTCGCCCACGCAGCCGACAGGGACCAGTCGGTTGTGGTCAGCGGGGTCGACAAGCCAGCAGCGTACACCGCAGGGCATTCCAATATCAGTTGCTTCAGTGTCGGGCCCAACATGCGAATTGACCACGGCGGCGACGGAGCTCTCGGCGGGTCCGTAGCCGTTCACGAGGTTGATGTGCGACCACGTCGCCACGTGGGAGGGCGCCATGGCCTCGCCGGCAAGCACGAGCCTGCGCAGGCCCGGGACAGCGCTCGGCGACAGAAAGCCGACAAACGACGGTGTCAGCACGGCATGGTTGACGCCCAAGCGATTGATGGCCCCGGCAAGGTCATTGAGGCGCTCCGTCTCGTCAGGGATGCAGACACAACCCCCAAACATGAGAGGTGTAAGGATCTCGACAAGGCTGGCGTCAAATGTGTGCGCGGCAAATTGCAATACTCGGCAGCTGCCGTCGATGCGCAATGCAGGGCCGTGTGCTCGCGCACTGGAGCAAAAAGCCCGGTGTTCGATGACGGTTCCCTACGAAGGACGGGGAGTTAGCAGAGTCCCAATGTCGTGCAGGAGAAGTAACTGAGTCGCCTTACCTTAGGCTTGCCGGTAGATCCGGATGTGAAGATTACATATGCTGGATTAGTGCTCGACACGGATGTGGGAGGACTCACCGATAGATCGACTTGCTCGGCCAACGTCTCATCGTCGACGGGCAGGACTGCGTCAACCACGCCGTCAACGACAGTCGTCAGGTGACGTGAACACAGAACGAGATGAGCGTTGACCGATTGACAGAGATCACGGAGTCTCTCGACTGGGTGAGACGGGTCTAGGGGGACAAACGCGCCGCCGGCCTTCAACACGGCGAGCATGGACACCACGGTCCATTTCTGGTTGCAATCAATCAGTATCCTGCGAAGTTCAATTGGAATAATGAGAGAAGGTCGCGACCCACCGACTTGTTGAAACATATAGGAACCATCACTTCGGGCCCAACACCAAGCTGCACGAGCCTGGTAACCAGACTGGTAGCGAGCGCGTCGAGTTCTCGATACGTGAGGGACCCGTCCCAAGCGCATACCGCCTCGAGTTCTGGGTGGTCATCGACGCGGTCGGCAATCACATGGTGGACGCAGCGGTCGACAGTGTCAATTGCGACGGCGTCATTCCACGCGCACACCTGCTCACGGTTCGCTCGGCTCGTCAAATCCAACTCTCCGAGCTTCGTTTCAGGGGGGCTCGCAAGAAGCGTCAAAATGGCCTTTGCAAGCGTGCTGGCGACCAATTTGCCCTGGCCCGCGGGCACGCCGACGATGTTGGTGTTCCATTCCACAAACAGGCCCAAGCTGGTGCCTTCGTGGCCGCGTTTGGCGAGAAGGCGAATCTGTTGCTGCTGCTGCTGTTGTCCCGTTAGTGCCTGACGATTTTACTTCCAAAGTGCTGTGTTGCGGGTTGAATTTCCCTTGAAGACATACCAGCGCTGGAATCTGGACGTTAAAATTAGAGATTGTGTCAAGGCTTGACGTTGATCTTGGTGTGAAGCCCCACAACACGATCGCCGTGTTGGCGACCGGGGCCGAAGCATCCCCGTCACTTGTGACAGCGGCTGTCCCCGTCTTGGCGTGGATCGTCGCCGCCCCGGAGATCTCGGAGATAGCCAACGATTCGTTCAACAGAAACTGTGCAACAACAACATCGGCATTGTCGACAGTGTCAACACGCTGAATGCCAAAGGACACATGGTCTTGGCCCGTGTAGCAGCGCAGAAGCAGTGCCCATGCAGCCTGGAGAATGGTGTCGAGTCCGTTGGCGTCTGACTTGGACAAAGACAAAAGTCTATCTGCCAGTTCGGGCTCTTCAACCGTCACCCGGACCGAAGCGAGCTGTCGACGGGGAGTGACACCGTCTGTCGGCGCACGGCCGAACCGCGGGAATCTGGTTGTTTCGATGCAATGCATGTTGTTGATCAGGTAGATTGATTTTTGCGAGACAAGACCCTGCAGACTGTACTGTGCCAGAGCACTGGGAATTGTGATCCAGGTAATTAGAATTGGATCTGAATTGCAGGACGTAGATCACGGAATTGCGTGTCTGTTGGGAGACCAGGCACGGCGTAGAATGTAGATGATCTTGAGAGAAGTGACGCCAGACGAATGCCAATCACTACTACAGATGCTACATGTATATGAACTGGGACTACAATCAAGGACAGTTTCAAGGTATGTATATGGCAGATTCCCCAGGACCAAGTTTTGAAAATTCTACCACGCTTTCCTACCGTCTGAACCCAGGTGCGGCAGGTAGACCTGCCTTCCCGAGTCCTGGTCTCCCAACCCTCCCCTTTTCTTGTTCAGGGGAAAACAAGCGAGTCGGAAGGACCGCGAACACCTGGCTGGCTTCAGCCAGGCCAAGGTAACATCTACCAAACATCAAAGGTCCTGATTTTTTTCTTGCCTCGTTGTTCGCTCCCAGCCTTTGGTCGCTGCTATTTCCGTGCCTGCTGCCGGGACTTAGTTTTGTTTACCCGCCAGCCAAGAGTGATCGCCACAGCGGAAAGCAGACTCTGAGGATCAGATCATGGTTGAGCGAGAGAGAGGGATCGACAAGCAGCTTGCAACGTTTCAAACGATGACATCTGCATTCCGCGTCTTGGCCAAGCGGAGACTTGGATCTGGACTGGAGCACAAGTTTCGCCCCATATGTCGTGCAATACTACAATGTATGGTAGGTAGTATTCTTAGCAAGTAGTTAATCCACGTGTAAGTGCAACTTGACGAGCACTGGCTGGTAATCGGTCCGTATGGGTGTTATGCAGTTGGCGAGTTAGTTGCAGATACATACATCATGATGTACATACCTACTCGAATGGGTTCTCTTTGCGGAGCATTGTGGATTCGCGTTGCAGACCGGACCAGGAGGTGTATCTTTTCATCGTATCTCAGATTCCCTCTATCATTTACAGAGGTCGTACTAGTATCCAACCTGCCGGGATTGCCGAGCAGCCGAGGACGCATCGTCGAAGCTATTGTAGGAACATGTATAGTATTGAGTAGTATCATAGTAATAGAATCGAATCCCTGAGTTGGAGGGCCGGCCCACAGGCCAAATGGGTCATTGGATTTGGCAGAACGGGAAACCAGGGCAGAAAAACAGGGAGCGGTAGAGGGCTGACCGAGACACCTGAACTCGGCATAGCGGGTGGATGGGCTGGATAAATTAAAAAGAACAGCGCCACCGACGGCATATCGCATACGTCCACCTGCGGTACGGTAAGGTTACTAAGGTATGCAAGAAGTCAATGTCGACATCCATCACGCCATAGCCACTCAGAACCGTTAGAGCACAGGCAGCTGTGCCAAGCAGTCGCCTCAACCCTCCAGATCAAGCCACCCCCATACCTTGGTCAGGAACCATCGGAAACCAAGAACGCATCAGACCCACCCGTATGGGGAAGCCGCTGGTCAGGAATCAAGGTTTTTATTCCCGTACCTCCCGTACCTGAGGTCCACGTTTCAAGCGCGCCTAGCCGGGCCGGAACTCGGAGGTTGGGGGCGGTAAGGGGGACGGATACGAACTATTGGTTCCGCGCGCCGTTTGCTGGCAGCGCGACGTTGCAACGGAGTCCCCACCCGGAACCAGACAAAGGGGAAAAAACTCAGATATATGCCCCGTCTCTTTCCCTGGTCAGGCCAACGTTTGGTGATCATCGACTCCAGACCCGTCAACAAGGAAAAGATCGTCGACTGGGAAGCGGGACACATATTGTTGATGTAACCGTTCTTAGCTGCCTGCCCGGAAGATGCTGGACTCTGCCATGTCTCCGGGGCCCCAAACAATGGCTGATAGAGTGCCTGTCTAAGGCTCATTCATTACCACACAAAAAATGTCACGGTTGCTGCGAATCTTGCTATTCCTCCTATGGAAGGAGCTGAGCTGAACCTAATGTATGGTGAGGTAGGGCCGGGGAATCAGGGAAGCTGAAGACTGTTGACACAAGGTGGCGGTCACGTTCCAAAGTTCAGAGGTTCTGGATTGTCCACGGATGCCATGGAAAGTAAGGTAGCAGATCACGCCAGGAGACGTGGGAAAATAAAGTAATGCGAATACGGGTCTCGAGATATTCAGCCCAATAATGGGGATGGGTGAAAGCCAATATGTACCTGCGACGTATCCTACTCTGCCCCCGTTCATGTTCATGATTGCCATCATTGATGCGGGTCGTGATCTTCACTTCTCCTCTCCCCCCTTACCCGTTCATGTTTGGCAATATCCAGGAGACCGGTCACAGCAAAGTAATCTCCACTGACAACCCGGCACCGGCATCGAAGCCATGGCAGAGCCGTCCGCCTCCGCGTGTGCTCGCATCGACGACTCGTTCGGACCCCATGCCCTCGACTGTCGGGGCGGATTCGACTTTACCTTGCTCTTTGAGGAGACTATATTGGGTATCCTGCCGCATGCCTTTGTGCTTCTCATCCTCCCTCTGCGACTTTGGTTTCTATGGCTTCGCACAAAGAAGGTAGAATGTTCGGGGATACACATCGCGACGGTGAAAATTGTAAGTCAAGATTGAGGGAAAGCTGTCGATACTGCTACCGGGCGGGAGAAGGGTAAATGGAAATGAGCCGGTTACTGACTCGGAAAATTATTACCTGCCTGCTGCACACAGACGGCCTGGGTTGCTCTTGCCGCCCTGAATCTTGCCGCGCTGGTGCTCTGGACAAACCCCTCGGCCGTCTCGACGCGAGCCTCTGTGCCCGCCGCCGCCGTCAAAGCCGTCTCGGCACTCGGCTTCAGTCTGCTCTCGTACGCCGAGCACACCCGGACCGTCCGGCCATCGTCCATCCTGAGCGTGTTTTCGTTTTTCACCCTCTTGTTTGATGTTGCCCTTGCAAGGACGCTTTGTCTGCGTGCCGATGATGAGATTAATGACACCATTGGTTACATCTCCATCGCCGCTGTCGCAGTCAAGGCATCGGTCCTGGTATTTGAGGCCCTGGACAAGCGCCAGAGCTTGCGTCCAGCGTACCAGGGCTACCCGCCAGAAGCCACCAGCGGGATTTACAACCGGGCCTTTTTTTGGTGGCTCAATCCACTTTTCCGCAAGGGATTTAAAAGGGTGCTGGATGTCGACGAGCTGTTTGCGCTGGACAAGCATCTCATCTCATCTTATTGGGAGAAGCGATTCTTGGCTGGGTGGTCTCCTGGTAAGTACTACCCGTGTCCATGTTCATCTTGGCTTGAGGTGGCAGGCACGAACTGACAAGTCGCAGCTGCCGGCAAATCGCCGTACTCTCTCTTAGTTTCCTCGTTTGTAATCCTAAAGAGGCACTTGCTTCACACAATTTTACCGCGTGCTTGTCTTACGGCTCTCATCTTCTGCCAGCCGTTTCTCATCAACCGTACAATCTTGTTGACTGAAGAGCCCGTCAACAATGACACGTCACAAGCTGGCTATGGCCTCATTGGCGCTTACCTCTTGGTTTATGCCGGGATTGCAGTAGGTGCAGTCATTTCTCGCAGATCCTCAGCTTGAGTGCCTCCATAAAGATCCCACTGACATCATTTGGTTGCAGGTTGCAATGGGACAGTACCAGCACCGGACCTACCGCACCATAACAATGGTTCGGGCAGGCCTTGTCTCCATCATCTACCGGAAAACGGGCTCCCTGCAGCTCGGGGATGTTGACCCCGCCTCGTCCATGACGCTCATGAGCGCCGACATGGAGCGCATTGTTCAGGGCTGGCAGACGATGCACGAGATCTGGGCGAACCTTATCGAAGTCGCCGTGGCCATCTATCTTCTGGAGCAACAGCTCGGAGTTGCCTGTGTTGTCCCGGTTGCCGTGTCCATTGGTAAAGCCACCACCCCCTGACATCTCTGATATGAGCAAAAACGGGCTAACGCAGAAAAACAGTGTCACTGCTGGGATCCATGATTGCCATGAACTTCATCATGTCCCGCCAGGCCATGTGGCTTGAGGCGATTGAGCGGCGCATCTCGGCTACGTCGGCCATGTTGGCCTCAATGAAGGGCATCAAGATGTGCGGCCTGAAGGATACGCTCATCAACAGCCTCCAGGCGCTGCGCGTTGACGAACTCCACATTTCAAAACGGTTCCGGAAGTTACTCATCTGGAATATGGTTTTTGGTAAGCGGCTTGTCCCTATACTAGTACTCCCATTCACCGGGATTGATGGTCTAACGCGAAAACTCTAGCATATGTGACACAGGTCTTCGCTCCTGTCTTGACGTTTGCCGTCTTCTCGGTCCGGGCCCGGGACACCGGCGATATGACGCTCGATACGGCACGCGTGTTCACCTCGCTCTCCTTGTTTGCCCTTCTCTCGGAGCCCCTGGCATCACTCGTCATGTCACTGGCAACTTTTCTCGGTGCCGCGGGCAGCTTCACCAGGATCCAGCAGTTCCTCCAGTCCTCCGAACGTGTTGACACGCGTAAACTCACAAAGTCCGCGGCCGACGCCATCAAGGTCGAAGGGGCTGCATTCTCATGGGATGCCACCAAGGAACCCCAGCTCATTGGTGTGACATTGACCATTCCCTGGAAGAAACTTACCATGATTGTCGGCCCCGTGGGCTGCGGCAAGACCACGCTCTTGCACGCTCTTCTGGGTGAGATTCCCCTGCTGGAGGGCTCTGTGAAACTGGGCTCCAGGAGCATCGCCTACTGCGCCCAGAACCCCTGGCACGGCAACGGCACAATCCGCGAGGCCATCGTCAGCGGCGCCTTCTTTGACGAAAAGTGGTACGAGCGAGTTGTGCGCGACTGTGCGCTCACTCGTGACCTCGAGGAACTGCCCATGGGAGACTCAACGCGCATCGGGAGCGGCGGGATCGCACTCAGTGGCGGACAAAGTCAGCGAATAGCACTGGCTCGCGCCATCTACGCTCGTAGAGACATTCTCATTTTAGACGATGTACTGAGCGGGCTCGACACGTCAACCGAGAACCATGTCTTTGAAAATCTTCTCGGCAACCACGGCATACTTCGCGAACTGGGCACAACTGTGGTGCTGGTCTCGTCTTCGGCTAAACGTCTGCCATACTCGGACCACATTATTTGTCTCGGAGCTGATGGCAAGCTCAGCGGAGAAGGCAGCTTTGCTGACCTGAACAACGCTGGCGGCTTTGTTAACTCACTGTCCTTATCCCGGACCGAGAAGGGCCAGGAGTCTAACGACGCTACCAGCAAAGTCCACCGTGGATCCTTTATCCAGAGGGACAAGCCCGTTGAAGGAGTCCTACTTTACTCCAAGGAAAAGCAAAAGAGAAGCTCCGAAACCTCGCGCTCGTCTAGTGAGACATTGGGTGGTAGTCCTCATGACGCCGAGGCCCAGATGAGCCGACAGACAGGCGATATGCAGATCTACCTGTACTATGTCAAGTCGGTCGGCTTGTGGGCGAGTCTGATCTTTGTAGTCGCAATTGCCGGTTTCGTGTTCTGCATCTCATTTCCTAACGTCTGGGTGCAGTGGTGGGCAGCCGACAACGAAGCGCGCCCTAACAGCAGGCTGGACTACTGGCTGGGCGTGTACGCCGCGCTCGGAGGCGCTGCCATCGTGTGCTTGTCGGTCAGTTGTTGGCAGATATTCATTACCATGGTGCCGCGGACGGGAGAAAGATTCCATCTCGCCATGCTCAAGACGGTACTGAGCGCTCCGATGACCTTCTTTGTCAACACCGACTCAGGGGTCACCATAAATCGCTTCAGCCAGGATCTCCAGCTCATCGACATGGAGTTGCCCATTGCCGCACTCAACACTTTTACGACGTTTATCCTCTGCATTGCGCAGATGGCTCTTATCGGCTACGGGTCAATCTACGCGGCCGTCTCGTTCCCCATCGTTCTCTTCATCCTGTATCTGATCCAAAAGGTCTACCTCCGCACCTCAAGACAGCTACGGTTGATGGATCTCGAGACGAAAGCCCCCTTATACGGACTCTTCGAGGAGTCACTCCGCGGCCTGGCTACTATCCGCGCTCTCGGATGGCAACAGACTTTCCAAGAGAAGAATCATGTCCTGTTGGACCGCTCTCAGCGTCCATTCTACCTACTATTTGCCGTCCAGCGCTGGCTTACACTTGTTCTGGACCTGCTCATTGCCGGAGTGGCTGTGCTGCTCATAATCTTGGTCGTCGAGCTCCGCGGCACGGTCAGTGCAGGCGGTGTTGGACTCGCGCTGGTTGGGGTGATCCAGTTCAGCCAGAATGTCAAACTGCTCGTCACCTTCTGGACGACGCTCGAGACGCATATCGGCTCCGTCGCGCGCATCAAGAATTTCACCGAGACAACAAAGGCTGAGGACCAACCTGGGGAGAACTCCATGCCTCCCGCGGACTGGCCATCGGCAGGAGCCATTGAGTTGAGAAATCTGTCTGCTGCTTATGGGTAAGTCCCCGAACCTCGCAATTTGATTTCCATTAGTACTGTCTACTAACTATAATACGAACCTGCATCAGTGAGAGAACCACCGACAACCTTGTGCTCAAGGACGTGACACTCTCCATCAAAGCCGGCGAGAAGATTGGCATCTGCGGACGAACCGGCAGCGGCAAGACGTCACTAATCATGAGCCTCTTCCGACTGGTCGATGTACAAGGCGGGTCGATCTCCGTCGACGGTCTGGACCTCGCAAGTCTCCCACGCGAACAAGTCCGGCGCCGCATCGTCGGCGTGCCGCAGCAGGCATTCCTCCTCAAGGGCTCTGTACGCCTCAACGCCGACCCCACCGGCGAGGCGTCCGACGAGGCAATCTTGGATGCCCTAGAGAGTGTGCAGCTTAGTGACCTGGTGGAGAAACACGGCGGGCTTGATGCAGACATTGACGCGCTGAACTTGTCCAGCGGGCAGCAGCAGCTCTTTTCCCTCGCTCGCGCCTTGTTGCGGCCGAGTAGTATCCTCATTCTAGACGAAGCCACCAGCAGGTAAGCTCTCTTACCATTGAATCGTGTTGCCGCCTCGTCGTGGATTGATCCCGCTGAACCGGTTTATTACAATCACAGCATTGATGTCAAGACGGAAGAGGTAATGCAGCGGCTCATCCGGAAACGATTTGCCAACCGCACCATCATCGCCGTCGCACACAAACTTGACACCATCATGGACTTTGACAAGGTGGCTGTGTTGGATGCGGGGAGGCTGGTTGAGTTTGACAGCCCATATGCCTTGCTTGAAAAGCCCCAGTCAGCCTTTTCGAAGTTATACAATGCCTCAGTGTCTAGCGACGTGGATGCTTTCTAGGCGCCTACTAGCGCAGCTGCACCGGCGAAAGGTCGATGCTATAGAGTGGAGGATTTCGGTACATCAATGCTGTGATGTTAAAGTTTCCCCTTTTTCTACATCATGAAGTCCATACTAGGTCTGAACTCCCTTGTGAGAGCAAGATAAAAGTTTGGAGAGCTGAGGTCTTTTTAAGGTTATACCATAATACTGCTATCCATGGTATGTTAGTATTGACTATTAGGAGGCTAATACCATTACTTGTGTCTTGCAGTAACACCAGATATTCGAACCCTCCATGAAAGGGCACATACATTCATTTCAGTCCATACTTACCGGCACCTACCTACCAGAAGTGGGGACATACATCATGTAGGGGACGGATCGTCCCTGACATTACAACGCCCCTTGGCATACAAGGAACTTCCAGTGTGATTACCTCAGGTAATATCAGCCTTCCTAGGGGCTACAGGCAGGCAGCGTGTGACATTGATAATGTGATAGATGTGATGTGACAGCTTACTCAGATAAGACGAAGGATTCTGACCCTTTATCCTGATGCCCGGAAGATCGTCGGTCGGTACCATTCCGTCGGGGAAACGCTCGACAGCCTCTACACGTGTAACACTACCGGTACTACGGATTAGCAATATCACTCAATAATCACCAAGTCCGAACCGCCGGGCTCTCACTTCAACATGGCTTTCCGACTGATTTCCCGCGGCAACTGCGCCTGTGCGAATTTTGTCCTTATGTAAACTCGGGGTTTGCCAAGCTATTTCCTGTCCCCATCGTTGACTGTGCTCGTCCTAAGACATCATTACCCCCCTATCTCCCCCGCCTGTAACCGGGAACAGGGGGGCTATGCCCTTCGGCCAGAGGGGGTTACACCGAGAAAGCGCTGTGCCGTGATTGGTGAGGTTCCCGTACGCGGCTGCTACACCCCGTTGGTGATTGGACGCGGCGTGCCCCCCTGAGGCTGGCCGACAAACGGATTATCGGACTCTGGGCAAGCCATCGTATCCCAGGATGGGCCTTGGGTTTTGCATGGGATGGCACCATCCGCGTCTGATGTCGGCATGGCAAAGGACCGGTGATCTTGACTTTGGTCTGCTGCACTGCTAGGGCGGATATGGGCAGTTTATCACGATGTGGGCCATCTCCGCCGGGTCTGAGTAGTAGCAAGGGAGAAAGGAAGATTGGGATCTCGGTTGCAGCTCGAGCCGTAAGCCCAACAGCTCCACGGTGTTATATGCAGGGGTCCAGTCAGCAGCCCACACTTTCAAAAACAGTTCTTGGCCAACCTTAACTGGATCCTCACCGAACAGCAGGAGGCTGCTGGGTATGAGCGAGTCCGAGTCATTGCACATGGTGCTTCGGACCGCCCGTGCATACATGTCATGCATTCAGCGACTTCGGCTTATGAACCGCTGCTAGTGGAATTCATCGACATGGCGTTGGTCCAGATGACCTAGTACCATCAAACCCATCAGCCCTATGGGCCAAACCCGGAACCCTCCCTGAAGACTAGGATTTGGATGGGAGGTGTGCATGACCGTTGCACTGGATCCTGATTCGTGAGCCCGGATCTGGGTTTGCAAATATTATGTACAATACCCCGTCCTATCGGGAGACAACGATGGAGTTGTTGGGAGACTCAGCCCTCTCCCGAGTTTCAGCCACTGCTGAGAATGGCTCAGTGCAGCCAGGGTTCGTGTGCAAGGCCACACATATGGACAAAGGAGGGAGCCTTGGAAGCTGAGGTTGCTCAGCTTGTTCCCGGTGCCGTCTAGTCAAAGGAAGCTTAAAACTGAGAGTTCCCCAGGGGATCCGAATCCTGCCAAACACCCGAGTACCCTATTCAGTGTCACGTCCGACCGCGATTGTGTCACTTATCGGATCTCAGTATAAGCCATGTCGAGCCACCATCACACATCCCATTCGAACTGCTGGAAACACACCGCAGACGAGCGGATTGGCCTCATTGCCGAGAGGCTTAAGGGGAATGACGATATTAGAAACAAGCTCCCCGGTCTCCGCGACATCCTAAAGGACTATGTCGATCCTGATGTACCCGTTGCACCGGCAGACTTCCATCGGCGCCTGCTTCGTGTCTTCAGGGACTCGGACGCCGATTTCTCCTACCAGGAGTGCCTCTTGAAGTTGACTGAGGATGAAAGAGACCGTATCGAGAAGTTTGTCGCCGACGACCAGCCGCTCGACGATGTCTCGCGCGACTTTGATATGTGTGTGAGTATAGGGGTCCGTGAGCATCTGCAACATCTCACCGGCGTGGACTGCGCGTGGATCTCGTCGGAAGGCGTCCAGACGCTAGCGGCGGCAGCTTCCAAGGTGGTGCACGGAGCTGGTGCTGACACGGTCCATGTCAAAGGCCTCAGTGGCAGCAGCCGAGGCCCCTTTAGCTGGCTAAAAGACAAGGACAACATTTTCCTCGCGTTCCTGAACAAATTGAAGGACCTATTCCTGGGCCATGGTGATAACCACAATGTCATCGTAAGTACTAAGACTGCCCTAAGCGGCAAAGAAGCTTGACAGAAAGAGGCAGATTGCTGATTCACGTCGCAGGTTTATAAGGAGGCAAAGTTCCAAAACTGGGGCCTCGGCGTCGAGTATGTACCGCAGTACACATGCATCCCCAACTCGGTTGCTGGCGTGCAGCGCATCGTCAAGTACGCCAAGCAACACGATATGGGTGTCCGTTGTGCCGGGTTTCGTCATTCGTGGGCGCCCATCTTCGGTCGTCAGGGGCAGATCACCATCTCCCTTCTGAGCCTGGCAGAAGCGACCAAGATCCCCAACTTCACCGCACTCTCCAAGATTCTCCCAAACTGGCTCCTCGACAAGAATGAACTGCAGTCCATCGAAGTCGTGTCTGGCACTCCTCGTGTGAAGGGTAACGCCTTGGTGCGCGTAGGAGTCAGCACAACCAACGAGCAGCTTCGACGTTGGTGCGTCGAGAACAACAAGTACACCTACCCACTCAACGTGATCATGGTTGAGATGACCGTGGGCGGTACAAACGCACCCATCTGCCACGGAGCCGGCCGGCGTCATGCAACGCTCAGTGATCTCGTCCGCAAGGTTGAGTACGTCGACTGCAATGGTAAACTGCGGGCCGTCAGCGACCCCCGGCACCTTCGCGCTGCGGCCGGCTGTTTCGGGCTAATGGGTGTGGTGACGCATCTGACGCTCGAATTCCAGCCAATGACATATGCGCTGATGAAGCCCGAGAAGCTGCCGGTGCTACGTGCAGTCCCGCCACCCTCCGATATGAAGGAGGAGGACATCCCGCCGGTGCTACGCATCCCTGGCCTGACACCGGCCCAGCGGGAGGAGGACCTGCGCCGATTCAGAGAGTCGGCTACCAACGCATACTACTCTGAATGGTTCTGGTTCCCGTACTCGGACAAGTGCTGGGTCAATTGCTGGAATGACACGCCGGACGCCTCTGGCACCGAGGACTACCCTAGCAACCTGCAGACCTTCATCATGTTCCTTTCGCAGTTTACCGTGAACGTCCTGCAGAATGCAAAGATTCTCACCGAGCTTATCACAGCGTTGCACCTGGACGAGGCCGCAGTGACGCTCATCTCAGAGGCTGCCATGTTTGCCATGCCGGCGTGGGACGAGCCGGTCAAGACATACCTGACCGACGCGCTGCACTTCCAGCGCGGCATCCAGAACGTCCGCGTGCTGAACTTGGAGGTCGAGATGCCTCTGCAGCCAAAGGTCGATAACCCCAATGAAATCGACTACGAATTTGTCCAGCGGGCGTGGTGGGACGCCATCTTGCAGTGCTATCGACACAGCAAGACGGCGCCGCAGCGCATGCCGCTCGAGATGCGCATCATGGGCGGCAGCGAGATTGTCATGGCCCCGCAACGGGGTAACAAGCTTGGAACGTGTGCCATCGAGATACTGACGCTGAAGTCGGCAGAGGAGCTGTGGATTCCGTACGTCGAAGGGATTCTCTCGAAATGGTTGTCGTACACGGATGCGAACGGCAAGAAATTGAGGACACGGCCGCACATGGCGAAGCAGTGGAAGGGCATCAGGGTTGATGGAAGACCATGGGTCGAGAAGATGAAGAATGAGGACTACGCCGAGGAGCGGCGCGAATTCAAGGCGCTGCTGAGTGAGATTGGCAGGCAGCACGGGTGGACACTGCAAGATTTGAAGAAGCGCTTTTCGAACGATTTCTTTGACGATTTCTTTTTCGACGACATTTAGGCGGATGGCTTGGATACACTCAATAAGGTGTTAGAATACACATTATCTCTATTAATCTCAAAATATTCCATCTCGTGCTGAGTGCTCAGTGCACCGCGGTGAACTGAACCAAGACCGTCTTGTGGCTGGGACAGATTGGGAAGTATCAAGGGGGAATTTGGAAGCTAAGGCAGGTGTTTGAACGGAAAGTGTCAGGCACGTATTGTTGGATGCGCCTGCTTTGGCTCAACATCAGGGTATCCTCTGCTGGTACCTTAGTTGAAGGGAGCCGCGACTGCCCATGCTCTGATCTTGCTGCTTTCCTACTGGATCCATTAGGTCTTGACATACAGCACAGTAGTACATAACTTAGAGCAGAAGAATTACCCATGAGCATTAGGAAGGAGGTACTATCTAACCTGACATCTCGCTTCTGGGTCGTTCAGCTAACCTGAATCGTCTAGGTAAGAAAGGAATGTCACGCGAACGATGATCGGTTCATCCGTTGCTCCCGTCGCCTCCCGTCGATGAGGTCTGAGATTGCCACAACAAGTAAGGTAACAAGCCCGAGGCCCGTTGAATCACCTTCCGCGAACAGAAATCTACGACCTATGGTACTGGGTAGTCCCATGGCAGGCAAGTGGCGACGGACTACGGCTTCCACCCTCCAGTCCTCGTCCTAAACATCCCCTGCGGATCGACACTCTCCGCCACCTCCTGCGCAAGTGCTCTCTTCTCAGGCTTCAGCCTGCCCCAGTAATCCTGCCGGTAAAATCCATAGTTCATAAACACTGGCAAGAAGGTCTCCTGCAACTTGCCCTCCGCCTGCCAGCGCAGCACCCTCTCTCTAAACCCCCCGTACGTCTCCATCATCTTCCCCTCCATCAACTCATAATCACTCTGCAGCAAAAACGCATAGTTCATCTCAATAATCATCCGATCCGCATCTCCATCCGCGTCAATCAGGTCTTCGCCCCTCTGCTTCGCAGCAAGGGCAATCCGCTTGGGAAACGGCTGGTACGCGATGGACGCCACGATGCCGGGCACAAGCAGTGTGCTGCCACTCACATTCCGCCAGTGGGCGTGGATCCCGTCCAACAGCACCTCCTCAAAATTCGCCGCCGACGGCAATGGGATCGTCTCGGTGCCAATCTGCACCACAAACCCCTTCAGCACCACCCAGTTGCTGCCGGCCATCAGCTCGGCATACGTCTGTACCCGCAGCGTGTTGGTGATGGGGCCGATGGACGTGAAGTTGTCAAACGTGCCCGGGGGAACCACAGGGCCGTCGTAAAACAGGAACAGGATCCACGAGTCGACCAGGTTGACGTTCGTCCGCTCAGCCGTGACAATGACGGCCGCGCGGTCATCCGTGTTGTACTCGGTAAAGTCCCGCACTGCCTTTAGGATCTTCCGATCCGTCTCTGGCGAGCGTAAAAAGATTAAGTTGCCACCGTAGACGTCGCCTTGGGGGTGCGCTTGGCACTTGTAGTTGGTCACCACGCCAAAGTTGTTGCCCCCGCCCTTGAGGGCCACGAACAGGTCTGGGTTGTGCGAGCTGCTGGCGGTGGTGATGGTGCCGTTTGCGAGGACAATCTCGTACTCGATGACTGACGAGGCTGACCAGCCGTACTGGGCTGACATGTATGACAGTCCGCCGCCGAGGATGAGGCCGCCTACTCCCGTGTTGCCGATGCGCCCGCCGACAAAGGTCCAGCCGGTGCCCTGGAGCTTCTTGGCTAGACCGTCGAGGCGGTTGCCAGGCCCAATGTCGACAATGCCGGTTGCCGGGTCGAGGATGACATGGTCGAGGTTCTGTGTCGAGATGAGCGGTCCACCGTCGACGCTGGCAAAGTAGTTGTTAGGACTGTGCCCGCCAGACTTGACCGCAAACCGCTCGTTGTTGGTGCTCAGTATGCGTAGGACAGCGGCCACTTCGGCGGCCGTGTTCGGGAAGATGATGCATGACGGCTTGAGGGCGCTGCAGGTTGACGACCAATACTCCAGCTGCTCGTCGGTGTACGACGGAGTGACGGGGCTGGCGACTTGGATGTCGGTAGTGGCGCTGAGTTCCGAGCAGGTATCGGCAAACACCGTGGGTATGGCCGAAACGAGAAGGGATAGGAGGGAGGTCGTCCTCAGAGACCACATCTTGACCGTGTGCCCTGATGTCGAAACACAACTGGCTGAGTCGTTGTCCTATGGTAGGTAGATCCTCTGGACTCTGACATCACGAAACTCCTCAGCCTGCCATTCCCTCCCGTCCCTTTATGCTTTTACATCCGCGGACCAAAGCATTCCGGGTCTCGTTGAAAACAAGGATATCTTGCTTTCGCTCCTCAGCGTCTACCTGAGCAGGTAGCAAGCCGAGCCCGAACCGGTTTTCGAAACCTCTTCACCCTAAAGGGTAGTCGAAGTCAGACGCATGCGACGGCATCGAGCCTGGCTTGTGACCTGACTAAGCTAGCTGAAAGAAGGTCGAGAAGTGAAGTCGAAGCCAAGCGGGAGCTGGAGCGTTGAATTCCTTGTTGCGGACGGTTGGTAGCGAGGGCTCTTGGCTCGACGCACAGCTCACCGGGGGACGACGGCGCACACATGCAGGGCAACCTAACAGTTGCCCTGACCTGGTTTGAGGTGCAGGAAATGGCGTGTAGCCTTGGTTAGCCTGAACTCGGGTATGTCAACGCCCCATCTCCGCTGAAACTAGACACCAAGGGGGTAACCTCAACGTCGTTTCTATGTGGTGTTCTTGACCTCGTTTTGCCACCCCAGAAGTGCCTTGCAGTCAATAGTCGAATTGAGTCCCAAAGGCCTTCAAGTTATGGTTCACATCTGTTCGCCAGATTCGTACTTTCCAAATACAAAACCCAAGAGGCCATTTCCTGAATCGGGCTTGATCGACGCGAAAGGTAGACCGTCTTGGACTCTGGAGAACATCGTTCTGGTTTCCTAGACGCTCTGTTGGGTTTTCTGTTCAGAAACGCCATCATTACTGGTGGAAACTCTGCCCTTCTTCCCGTCGCTTCAGCCTCCCCTGCAGGCTCGGACGAACGGCGCGATCGCATGACGGAGGTAGCATGCACCTTTGCTGATTGTTGTGGTGCGCCTTCACACCAGGTGCCACGGTCAAGGCGCAGACCGTTCTCGGGAAGACTAGAGTCTGGAGGTGTCCAAGATCTCGTCTGGAGATGCTGCCAGCGAATCGCCAGGCATGCTTGAGTCGCTTGACTCGTTTCCCTGTTCGAGGGGACATTTCCTTTCAGCTCTCGCCTGCCAAGCGCTGGCATGCTACATTGATTCTGGAAATGCGATTCAAAGAACAGGATTGGACCGTCTTGGTGGGTGGCATTTGGGGAGGATTGCATTCCGCTAATCTGCTTTGACAAAATTGCCAGTTGCCACGCGAGCTTTGGCAGGAAGTGCGGAGGAGAGAAAAACATCGCGAAATTCTTCACTGAGTGACGCATTCTTATGCGGTGAATTGCGACACCCCTGCAAGCTACGGTGGGTGAACACATCCACAAGTCTTCCGTAGTATAGTGGTCAGTATGTGAGCTTGTCACTGATTTCCCTCGGATTTCTGGCAATCGCTCGAGACCCGGGTTCAATTCCCGGCGGGAGAGTCGGTCACACTTTTTTTTCTATTACCCTTTCTTGTTCATCTCCCTTAACCACCACATTCAGGATCAGGAGGATTACTTGTGGGCTCGACCTTCATACATTCAGGCGCCACACTAGATTAGTGAGAGGGGGAGGTCAAAATCCCCGGACGGCACAGAAATCCCCGGTCAGATAGTGCAATGTATGGAATTCCCATACAAAGACTAACAGGTCGCCAACTGTCTTGATAGTGGCCCCTGAATTACAATCAAGTTCGAGCCAACGGGTAGAATGGTTTACCCAGAGATTCGAACACAAGAGAACGGCTTGAGTTGACTAAGGTACCTACCAGTAGACGTTTTGGATCCATCAAGCAGCATGGGTAAGGGAAACTGCCGGGATGCCTGTAGATGAGCCGCGCCCCACGATCCCGAACTCACCCATCCTTGGACTTAAACCTACGAAGGCATCCAAAGCATTTTGTCGACAGAAACAGGTACGCTGAACTTTGTGCATAGGTACGTCACAAGTCTAGATAAAACTCTTGAGGAGCGGCATCGTACGCCGAGTCTCGAGCAATAATGTTGTCGGGCTGCTCGTTGCAACTTCCCGTCGCCTTTCAAGCATAGACCAAGTCTAAAATACAGCGTCTCCCTCAAGTAGAAGTTTCGTTCCAGAATAATCTATTACGATGTTTGAGGACACAAGGAAGAGCCGAAGATTAGTAGATTACTTTGCCGGTTGACGCACTGGCCTTTCCGTTGATTTGTAGGCACTGAACAGTCATCAAGGACTCTTGTGTGTTGACTGTGTTTATGTTGCTGCACGTTCGAACTCATCATAGGTCTGGTTGCGATCCTCGATCTAACTGGGTGATCTAACGGGGTGCATGTTATCATTGTCGATGGCTGCGGACAAAATCATCTATAATATCTTTGGTGTCCTCGTCTTCATGCGCCATGACTCATAAGCCTGACTAGGAGACCTCAGCAGCTTGTCAGGGTAGTTGCGTGGGGCTGACTGAACCTGGAAGTCTTGACGAACGGGCTGAAACCCTCATCATTCATGATGGCTTTCGATACCCGCTCGCAGGATCTGGGAGAGTGTCCCGAATATACAGGTAGCAATGTAGTTCGAATCGCCGAAGTTGGTAGCAGGCAATTCAGTCCGTAGTTATGAGCCTCTTCAGTAGCAGTCACTACGGTCGTTAAGTCTTCGCTAGGTTCTCTTGTATCTGAACGCCCTTTGCATGACCGATATGGGATCTAGAAAAGTTAGGTGTGTTGTCTCCTACGCTTTATTGGAGCTGTGGGACAAGTTTATTGAAAGTCTTGTGTCTTATCCATGATACAAAGAAACTCGAACTCATAATTCCTGCAGAGGCATGACCAAGTACTCCCCAAGAAGTTCTAGTACCACGGGAGCGCACATTGACCCGAGTCTCCGGCCGGCTGGGAGTCGGGATTCGTGCTCCTTCTCACTTAGTCGTTCAGGGACACAGAGTCTCTAGCAAATCCCATTTGCCAAATTTGGTTCCATCACCCAGCCTACCAAAAGTTTGTCATGTACCGGGCCAGGAAGCGTCATTTGTGTGAAAACCACAGGGCCATAGGCTACAAAGGTTAGGACTACCTACCATTAGCCTTCTTACCCTAGTTTCAGAGCTGAAATTGGGAAGGAGCCACCTCGGGGAAGGCGGACCCGGCGCGCGAGGGCCATATAAGGCTCGTTCCTTCCTCCCAAATCTCAAGGAAGTCACCACACCACGCACACTGGGCGTAGCGGTTAAGGCCGCAGCCTTCTGTTGGCTCTCAACCTTCCATACTACGGTCATGGGGGCGGGGGGTGCCCAGGAGGTCGCTCGTTCGAGCCCGCTAGCGGAGAGTACGAGTCTGGGTGTACTTCCTTTTTTGCTTTTTTCTCGGTTCCACAGTCAGAGTGAATCGCTCCTGCCATCATGCCATGAGTCTACCTTATTGAAGTAAAATAATTCTAGAAGTTCGAATGAAACCTGATTAGCATCCACCTTGATGCTTACGATTGTTGCCCTCCTAGTCAATGCTGCCGTTGTGATCGAGCCCTCCCTCCCATTGCCCAACGAAGTGAGAACGGAAACGTATATGGCGGTAGGTCAACCTGGACAAACCCCATATACGCAACAGAACCATGGCCTACTTATTTAGAAACCCCAGGACGAGATGGATCATAAACAAACCCATCACAGGGAGTGCTGATGTGTGAGGTCTCTCCTGGGCGAGAACTAAAGTGCAACGTGACTGCCATCAGCGCTGCCACTGCAACCGTCAATGCCATCAGGCGACAAGTTCCAGCAGCTTCAGCTCAATACCATCAGGCAATAGATGCGAGCATACATCAAGAGAAGGATAAGGGCTTAGAACGGGATTTCTGAGCATGCATTCCGGTCGGCTATCTCCTCACTGGCTGCTCATCATCCTCTAGCTCGTGTCCTATACATTTACCCCCGTTCATGCCCCAGCACCCATTGTCTGCAGACGATAGTACTCGTCCCCCTTGCGCCGCTCTTCGTCGATAATCTCCTGTACCGACTTGGAGCCCAGTCCGTCGCCGTAATACTTCTCAGCCAGCTCAATGCATCTCAAGTTGGCCGCCAGCTTATTCATCGTCTCCATCCACTCCTCTGTCTTCTCACTGTCAAACACAATGCCGCCTCCGGCCTGGAGATACGCCACCTCGTCCTTGATCAACATGGTCCGGATAGCAATGCATGTATCCATCTGGCCCTCATCCAGCGCCACGGAGCCGTTGGCCTCATCGATCCGCACGATGTCGTATGCAAACCATCCCGCCGCGCCCGCGTAAATCCCCCTCTTCTCCTGCTCTAGATCATAAATCAGCTCCATCGCCCTAATCTTCGGCGCGCCCGAGACCGTTCCGGCAGGGAAGATGCTGCGCATGGCGTCCCAGCGGGTACACTCGGGCCTGAGCAAGCCCGAGACCTCGCTGGTAAGATGCTGCACGTGGGAGAAGCGGTCGATGCGCATCAGGCGGTCGACCTTGACAGTGGACGGGTGACAAACGCGGTTCACGTCGTTGCGCGCCAGATCGACCAGCATGACGTGCTCGGCGCGGTCCTTTGTGCTCGCCTGCAGCTCGGCGGCGAGCTCGTCGTCCTCGGCCGGGTTGGCGCCGCGGCGGATGGTGCCGGCGATGGCGTGGTTGACGATGCGCGGGCGCAGCTGCGCCTGCTGCTCGGCCGTATACCCGAAGCGCGCGTCCAGCGGCAGCGCGGCGTACCCGTCTGTCTTCATTAGGCATTCCGGCGAGGCGCCGACTATGTGGAAGTCGGCGCAGGAAAGGAAAAAGAGGTACGGGGACGGGTTGAGTGTACGGAGGGTCCGGTAGATGTTGAAGGGGTGCAGCGTGGTGCTCCGCGAAAACCGCTGCGATGGGACGGCCTGGATGATGTCGCCTTTGATAATGTGCGACTTGAGCGATGTGACGAAGGACTCGTAGCCGTGACGGCCGACATTGGATGAGTACTGTTGCTCGGAAGCCGGGTTGCTCGGGTTCTTTGGAGGGAGGGGTGTCTCGGGCTGCTTGATGCGCTCTAGTACAGACTGGATCGTGGCGGACGCATTCTCGTAAGACTCTTGGAAATCATTGGGATTTTCAGGCAGCCTCATATGTGTGACGATTGTGACGGTTTGGCAGAAGTGGTCGAACGCCACGACGGTGTCGAAGATCATGAAGAGGGCTTCAGGAATGCCAAGGTTGTCCTTGAGTGGCCTTGCCGTCTTGGGCTCAAAATACTTGATGCAGTCGTACGAGATGTACCCGACGGCGCCTCCTGTGAGAGCGGGAAGTTTGAGCGACGGGATGCTGACAACGCGGTCCTGAGACAGCTGCGTCTCGAGAGCCCGCAACGGGTCGCCAACATCCCCATAGCCGGGACCAGTCGCGATCACCTTTCTGGGGACTAAGAAGATCAGATATGCGTCACAGGGAGTGAATTGTTAATGAGTCATACTGGCTCCAATAAAGCTGTATCGACCAACGGTCTCAGTGCTTCCCGTGGCGCTCTCGAGAAGAAATGAATACTCGGCAGTTGCTCTATTTGAAACCCAGTCAATTGGATACCAACCAGTGAAGATCTCATCTGTCATACCCATCGGACAACTTTAGGTATATAGCCGTAGGAGTCAGCAGATCTGAAGGCACTGAAATGCAGACTGGCAGGAGCGTCGGCTGGGGTGAGGCTTGGCGAGCCTTTTCAAAGAAACTGTGGGCCTCGGATGCCGTCGGCCGGATGTCGAGATCGGCGGTAGAAACCATTGTGAACGAGCCCAGAGATTATACGATAGATCTGCAAGGACCCGGAGTTCCAATTGCTTGGAGCGATGGACTGGATCTTCAGGGGTTGTTGAAAATGGTTGCGGTGGACAGATCTGGCATTTTGACCAAAGTTTTGGAGGGTCTTCCGAACTCGGGTGAGTCAATGCAAAGTGGGGCACTCGATCGAGATCAACCCTAACCCTTGTTTTGAAAAAGCTTTCTCTTTGGTGTTGAGCTTGTGCTATATTTGGGAACTCAAAGGAGGCTTGACTCGAGAGGTAAGCATCGTTCGTTGTATATGTGAACCAACTCACTTCCTTCATACCTTTACCAATGCCAAAGCGAAGCAGGACCTGTCTGCGACAACCACAACACAAGTGTGGGCGCCGGGCAGCAACCCAGCGGCATACCTAAGCACTTCCTACCTGTTAATGTCTCTGTTATTTCACTCTACAACAAGTAAAGTGGGATCTCAAAGTCTTGCTCCAACTATGACCGACGCTAGGCCTGCAGCAATGTCACGGCTTTCACTCAGGTCTCTTTAGGACCCTGACCCCGGCCCGCAGGACTACGGAGTGACACTTGGGGCCTGAACTCACATCGTGTATGTAACACAAAATGTGGATTAAGAGATCATCGACAATCTTGACTTTTCCGAACTAATGTTTATGTCGTTTCCGTGTAACTGGACCGAGCGGACACTGCAGCTTGGGACTCTTTTGGGGTTGTGTGACCTGAGAATGGAATTGAACCACGCCAAGAAAATGACGTCATTGTCATTTGCTTTTGCCAAGCTCTGAGAACAGACGAACCCAAAAGATCATCAGCTTAAGCGAAGAAATCCTTCAAAGAACGATCTGAAGATTAGCTCCAAAGTTCAGGAACAACGCGACAGCTCCGAACGGCAAGGACAACTGAACATGACCAATATACAGCCACCCCTGCCATCAGACTTCAAGATGAAGCAACCAATTGGTATATCGGCCAAGGAAACACGACCTTCGACTTGCCGACGCATCGTGTAGATCTTGGCTTTCCTGCCAAAAACTACCGGGGAGCCAACCCCCTTTTAGGACAGTCGCATGTACAATTACATCATTGCCTCGAGCAGGCTTGAACCACGATGCGAGACATGGGCCCCTCCCTTACGACCTTTTCTGCTTCAGTTACCATGATCGACCCTTCTGCTGTTATATAACTTGAAGCCCTCACATTCCTCCACTAAGTCTGCTCAGCCTCCCCTTGAGGAGGGACTGACCTCTGTCGACAGCGCCAAACATCAGCCTACTGGTCCAAAACCAGACCGCGACCTGCTACAGGTCTTCTCTCACAATGGCGCCTATAATCCCCACCAAAACCCTCCCCTCGGCGCTCACTGGCCTTCTCCACATTCGGCAGGCAACCGTGACCGTGATCTCGGGCAGCAACCCGACCCCTGCGCCTCAAGAAACCACCGACCCGACCGACGCCACCACCCTAACAGGCGGCGCCATCGCGGGCATAGTCATCGGCTCCATCGCCGGCCTGCTGCTTCTGATTTGGATCATCCGCTCGTGCACCAACCTCGGCGCGCCCCCGGGCAGCGAGGAGCGGCCGGGCCGGCCGTGGTACGGCGGCGTCCGGGACGAGTACCCCGCGCGCCACACCAGTCGCAGTCGCTCGCGTCACAGTCATCATCATTATCATAGTGGGCATCATCATCATCGTGACGGGAGGAGGTCGCGGAGAGCATCGGTTGTCGCGGTTGAGCAGCCTGTGCAGGTTGCTGAGGTCTCCCCGGTCGTGGTTAGGGAGAGCAGGAGGAGTACGAGTCGAGGGCCCGCGCCGCAGGGGTATTATGGCTATGGGGATGGCGGGGTGAGGGGGAGTAGGAGTCGGAGTCGAGGGAGGTACTGAGCTGAGTTGCATGGGATATGATATGATATGAGAGGGGATGTGAGAAATGGTTTTGGCTGGTATATATGTGGACAGGCTAGCCGGGGATGATCAACCAGTGACTCCTAAGGGTGCAACCGTAGTGCGGTTCATTAGATATATTATGTTTGTCTGTTCTCCGGGCGAAGGTGTCAGGGAATCATGATTTTGTTTGTTAGGGGACAAGGGCCGGGTCTGATACTCCACGAAATATCGATAGAACTTTCGAAGTGACGCTTTGAGCGTCTTCTTGGGAAGGGACTCTCGACCTCGGCGGTCTTTCGGAGCGGTGTATGTAGCCCAAAGAGTTGGATAACCAACCGTCTTAGCCCTGGTGGACATCCATAGCGGTTGTGAGTCTGTGATAATAAGAGGTATTTGGATACTAGCATTATGCCGACTTTTGACCCTGAGTAGTGTTGGTCATGACCGAGGAGATAGCGCGGAGGCAGCAGGCCTGGGTATCGAGATATTAGTCCACCATTAACACTCACTGTCGTAGAATACAAAGTTCCGTTAAGTAACCAGACCGCAGGTCCCAATCAGTCCATACAGATCTACCGCTCTTTGACATCTTTGCAAAGCACCACAAACCCGAACAGCGAGACGGAGGCGACGATCATACTCATTGCCACCCCGCCAGCCCAAGGCCCTTCGGCCCTCTCGCGCAAATCCACTGCCTGCTTGAACAGCGCAACCCAAGCATAGTCCCCGGTACTGAACGTCGTCCCCTCGCACCAGCAGCTGTCGTAGAACCCAACCAGCTCCCAAAGCGAGCTTAGAATGATCCAAGTAGCGTTTCCAATTACAATCAGATGACCGAAAATGCGTGTCGATACTGCGAGCACGGCCAGCACCGGTGATCCCTTGTAGGGGCAAGGCCTCGTCGTCTCTTCCGCGTGCTGACGTTGCGGTTGACGGCAACTTTTCCCGGGTGGTGAGACAGTACGTGAGCTCATGTCTTCTCCCGCTCTCCTCGCTTCCCTCGCCGCGTGAGCAGCTTCATGGGAAAGGATGGCGGCGTGAGAGAAGAGGGTCGTCATAAGGAACAAACTAAAAGCTGCAGTGCCAGCTATTCCGTAAATGAGGTAGCTGCCGGAGCGGCAGCCTATTCCCTTTACGTCTGTCAAGTATGCGATGATGACTGCTGGGATGGTCGTCCCCCACTGTACAAAAAGACCGACCATGGCTGCAACGGCAATGCGAATCAAGATATCCCCGTCCTCAACGATTTCCTTCCACGATGGGTAACGCTTGAGTCGTGTTTCTGGCCCGAAGCCGCAGTATTGATTGAGCTGGTCGACGGTTCCGTTGAGGTCGCGCATTCGAAAAGATCGCACTCGGCTGGCACCTACAATATTTTCCGCATCAACATTCCGCGGCGGCCAGGTTCTGGTCGTTTGGGACTCGGTCTCCTCCGGCATGGTCTCTGTAAGGGGTTCTTGCTGGGGCTCGGTCCTAATCGGTTGAAGCTCAACAACCCCCGGTCTCGTCTCAGCAGCCTGTGCTCGCAGAAGCCCAGCTTCACTCGCTGGGGTGTGGACTTCCCGTCCCCTGACCGGACTATGACTGTTCCCAGGGGAAATGGCCGCACCTGCCGTGGAGCTTCCTGTTGGATAATTGGTGAGGTTCGTCGTCCCTATAACCCCTGGCTCAGTGCTGGCACCGACACCGGGGCTGACAGCGCCATTCTCGAAAACGGCATTGTTCGCTGAGCCACCTGCCGCAGGCAAAGGTTGTCGATCGTTATACTTTGTCGCCACAGCTTGAAAAGTATTGTGAATCGACTTTGCCGCGCTCCACCATGTAAACACTCGAGCGTAGTTGAAGGTAGGCCCCTGCTGTATCTCATCGCCACATATGTCGAAGATCAGAAATCTCGGCAACCGTTCGTTGGGCAGCGATTTCAGGACCTTGAATGCTTCCTGTCTAGAAGTTTTGTGAGGGGGCGCGTTCTGTTGACCCGCCCTGAGCAACATGAACTCGGACAGGGTGTCATCGATCGTGTCCGACCCGTACTGGGTACCCACCGCAATCCAACCCCAGATGATTGGAACCTGTGGCGCCAGGTTGGTTAGCTTCGCTATGACATGGTGCAAGGGGACGCCTTACCAGCCACATCCACAGAGCGCTAGATGACAATATCAGTGCCTCGGTGTGATCCCCCAACGACGCAATGAAAGACCCAGCCACTGTCAGCACCCATGCCCCGGCGGCGACAAGCATCTGGGCGACCAGCGACAACGTGACGTTCCGCTTAGTAGCTTGCAGCCTCTTCTCGACCGAGTTCCACCAGGAGTTGTTGGCCTCCAGAATGACCAAACTGCTCAGCGAGCCGTCGGTCTCAGATATCTGAAGGGGCGCTTGCTGGGCTGCTTCCAAAAGCACACGCGCAGACGACATCCGCTTGGTGTAAGGATTCTGGACCTGGTTCTCTCCATCCTCGTATTTCGGGAGGCTGGCACAGATTCTGCGAAGCCAGTTCTGGTTGAGGATGGTTATCATCAAGGAATAAGTCGCCAGCGCGGGACTGCCGAGCGACATGCAAAAGCTCATGACGTTAGCTTTCGCGCTCCCGCCTTCGTACGGCAGCTGCGCCGTTAGGGCCAACCACGGAAGTAAGTAGTTCGTTGCGCGCCCTAAAAATTCCTGGTAGTTGAACACCTTGGAGGTCTGTCAGCTTCTGCGACCGAGCAGAGCAACGTAGCGAGGTTAGGGAGACATCTACCATGGGAAACTTGCTCCGACCGCAATACGCATAGCAGGTGTTGATGTCGACGCCCCACACCTGCTCAGGTCTCCAAGTCGCGTTGTTTTGAGCAATCCCCCTCACGCCGTCCTCGCCGACGAGGCTCGCGACGATGCGCGACTGGGCTCCGTCGTCGATGACGGCTTCGCGCAGCTTCGCGACGCATTTCCCTCTCCAGCTCTCCCAGCTCGCAAACTTGTTGAAGAGGTCCTCGAGTCTCGAATCCATGATGCCTGGCGACGCAGCAACGCGAGTAAAGGCTGCTCATGGCGGTTGGTGGTTAACCGTGTCATCTTCTCGAAAAGCGGGTGGGCAGTCGGACGCATATCAGATCGCTCAGCTGAGAGGCATAGAGCCGCGCACAATACCGCGTGGGACGCGGAATCGCCCCGGACATGGCATCTTATGTGCACCGTAACGGGAAAGGCGCAGCAGCAGGGGGACGGGATCATTGGCTTGGCGGGCATAGTCGTCGAGTCTGTGCCGTTATCTATCGAATGCAGCGTGGGATTGGCACACCACCCAATCGGTGGGTGGAAGGCGCAAGGCTCTGGAAAGGGGGTTCCTTCACCCTTGCGCTGTGGAAAATTGGGGAGAACCCCTGTGCTTAATGTTCAGGTTGCGAACACCGGCGAGGAAACTGCCTCCCTCAGTCCTCGCTCTAGTAGAAAGGCATCCATTGGAAAGCTCACTTTCGGACTTTCCCAGAACTGCAACTAGTACCTACCTTATGGACAATATGTAACTCAGGTCGTTATTAATCATCGCAGTCAACACCAACTCATAATCTCGCTCTGAGGCCACCTTGGATTAGAAGGTAGCAGAAGCTGATTTGGGTTCTAGGTGCACAGAGGAGACTCGGTGTCCTGCTTTGATACATACATCCCTAGGCTACAACGGATTGGGGGACCTCATACCTAAGCCACAACCGGAAACCACCCGCGTGCCCCGGGAAATCGCTCTCGAATCTCGATTCTGTCCTTCAAACCCCGACCAGCTCCATCCTACTGACCTTACCTCAGGTACCAGCTATGCTTTCACGGGCGGGCCAGGTAATAGGCTGTTTCGAACCCTGCATCTCGCGGCGCGTATGGCTGCCTCCAGACTGGTTTCCGGGGTAGCTGTTGCTTCGAAACAATTGGTGCCTCACATCGTACTGTACCTCAACAGTCAACAAGCAGTGCTGGTCCCGGCAGCTTGGTATAGCCGCCCAAGGAGCGCCCCCGACGCAGAGGTGTGCGGCAAGTCACCCAATAAGCACCGCTTCTCCCAACAAAGCCGCAATGGTTGTTACTTATGAAGTGAGCCAAGGAAAGAGTTTTTGCCTTATGAACTGTACAATACCTTATGAAACAGGCGTTGGTCGCCTTCGGCGGCCTGCTTCGGGTTACCCTTCCTTTGCAAGCTAACGAATGTAAACACAAGCTTTAGCGCTGGCAACATCGGGTACTCGCAGTTCGAGTGACACACCAGGCGATTCTTGGGGCACCAGCGAACTTGGAAGGGCACCAACCTTCATGGGGTTACATCGATGCAGGCAACAGTTGGTACCAACTGAAGTTGAGAGCGTACGGTACGGTGATACATAAGGGTGTACCAAACCCCAAGTCGTCGACAATCCAGCCATTCAGCCCTCACTCAATTATCGTGTAACAGACTGTTTGGATAGTCTCTACCCATTCGCTGCTCTAAGCCATAAGGCTCAGCTGACCTACTCTCCCTTCTGCCCGTCTGATTCGCCCAAAATTCATGGATCTCGGCCCTTCCAGCCTGGTGGTAGTACTTTACAATCCCGTATATGGGACCATCAACAACTTGACCGTGAGCACGCCAGCTGTGTTACATCCCTCGCTTACAACGCGTCCGATATTATTGAGCTGACGCTATGGACAGTCATAAGTATCCTCGACTTTACCCAAGTTCTCCCCTTGATAGACCCTACTCGACCTCTCTTCGACCATCCAGTGTCTAGGTACCTAGGCAGAGACTCGACGGGAATGTCCGAAACCCAAATCGGTGCCATGGAAAACCCGGCGCCCTCCAGGGATGATAGTGGTATTGCGGGCCCCAGTAACCAGTTTGGTAGCTCGCAGGTTGGGACGGTCCCTATGTCGAGCGGATCAAGGAACCCTTCCGCCAGTCCCTCGTCAAGTGGAAGCTCGTCGCGGTTTCCTGCTCGCGATTCAGATCCCATCCCATCCATTGAGCATCCACCAGCAGCCCAGGCGGTTCCTCCTGTTATATTTGAGTTTGGGTCCCATGGTACTGCGTCCGAGTTCTCGGTTTCTTTCACGCCAACCTCGTCTGTCTTTGACTCGACCTCATCTTACCATGGATCTGTCCGCACTCGGTCCCAGGACGGCGTTGTCGACCCGGTTGTTGACTTCCTCCACGGATTTCATCTTTCCTCCACAAGAAGTCCGACGCCAGGCCCGTCCACGAACGGCATCAATGCCGCAGTCACCGCAATACCGGCATCCGAGTCATCTGCAAGCCCCAGCCCCTTGGCGTATGGCGGAGGAGCAGCTAGCACGAGGGTCCCAACTACCCCTTTGTCCGGGAGAAGCATACAATGGTCTGCATCACCCTCCCAACAGCTTCTTCTTCCCAACAGCGCAGCTTCACCTGACCGGCCGTCAGACGCCTCGGGTACCAGTGACAATAGACACAGGAGGCCGTCTGCCAGAAACAGGAACCCTCACAATGTGTGGAACGAGGAGCCGCCGGCAGATCGCTTCTTCCAAGCCAGCTTTCAGGAAGCTCTAACTTATGCAAAGTCGCTCATGGCCTGGTTGGTCGGGGTCCTTGAGAGCAGCAATTTGCATCTCGAACCAGACTCGACCATTCGGCTATTACGCCAGCAGGCACAAGAGTTAGCCAGCTTTCAATGCCCTCCCACCCGTACCGTGGGATTTGTGGGAGACTCAGGTGTCGGTAAGCCACCTATCCTTCCATGCTGGCATACTTCTTGGTACTTGCACTGCGACTAGGGTCTTACTTAGAGTTCTCGTAGGTAAAAGCAGCCTCTTGAACTCATTGCTGGACTACAAGAACTTTGCACGAACAGTGAGTTGATCAGTGGCGCTTCGTGATATCTTTCTCTAACGCTTATAAATCCTCAGAGTGGCAACGGCACAGCCGTTACTTGTGTGGTGACGGAATATCGTTACCATGATGAGCCAAACTTCGTTATTGAAATTGACCGGTTCAGTGAAGGAGAACTCAGGCAACAGATTTCCCAACTGGTCCACGCTTACCGGCACAACCATTTCCATTCGTCTGAGTTCCGGGACTCGGACGACAGGAAACACTGGAAAGACCAAGCGAAGCTGGCTCATAACACATTCAAAGCCATGTTTTGCGACAGGTTCTCCCCGGAATTCCTCTCGTCAAACCAATCTGAGGACAACATCGTGAACACGCTCCTCGATTGGGCCCAGGAACTGGGTCCGGCAAACGTCAATCCACGCGAAGTCAGCCCGTCACCCGAGGCCTGCTCTGAGCTCCTGATGCGACTTACCTCGGAAGAGCAATCGCAGCAACATCCACCGGCATGGCCGTACATCAAGAAGATTCGGTTAGTCCAAACTCTTTTTGTTCTCTTTGAGACACGAGTACACTGACTGTCACCGCCAGCGTCTTTCTCAGAGCATACATTCTCAGCAAAGGTCTCGTTCTGGTTGACCTACCAGGTACGGCCAAAAGGAGGCCCAAAGCCACCTTGCCAAGTCACCTAAACTGATCAACAACAGGACTACGTGATCTGAACACGGCGAGGCGAGCCATCACGGAGCGGTACCTGCTCGAATGCAACGAGATCTTTGCGGTTTGCGAATTGAAGAGAGCTATAACGGACGAAGGAGTAGCGACTGTCTTTGACCTTGCAAAGCAGGCGGGGCTCTCCAACGTCTCTATCATCTGCACTAAGGCGGATGTAAGACTAGGCACGAATCTCATTGTGGCTTAGCTGATTGCGATGCAGGTTATCAATCCCGAAGAAGATCAGAGAGACTGGGGTGGCCACAGAGCAATGGAAATTAGACGCTTGTGTGGTTCGATAGCACAGCTTGAGCGCGAGCTCCGTGGGCTGAGGGAGCTGGCTGATGACGGCACAGACGGAGAAGACGAGTCTCCGGCCCGGAATGACCTTTACCGACGCATGGAGATGAAGAGGCAGGTTTCCGTCTTGAACTTTGGAACTCTGTCCACTACTAGTATTTGCTGACCTTACCTAGGAAGAGAATTGAAAGCCTCGAACTGGAGTAAGCAGCGAGCCTGACTTAAGCGCGTGCCAGCAAGTGCAGTGTCCATGTTCAGCGAAACTGACTCTCCTCTTTCCAGACTGAAACAATATAGTATCAGGGAGCGTACCCAAGAAGTAACGTCACGTCTCTCCCGTCAGTACCAAGATGCGATTCCGGGGGGCAATCTGCGCGTGTTCGGTGCGGGAAACTACATGTACTGGGAGCACCGCGACGCCAGGCCGGCCGAGAGAGCACTTCCACTCCTTCAGCTGAGCGGTATCCTAGCCATTCGCAGGCACTGCTTGGGACTTGTCTCAGAGAGCCAACTGCGCATTGCGACCAAGTACATGCAAGAAGAGATCCCAGCCTTGTTGAGCAATATCCAGCTCTGGCTCCAGTCTGGTGCGGGAAGCGAAAGCGCGGAGCACAAGCAAGCCGTTCGGGACACGGTGAATGCCCTGGAGGGCCATCTTCACAGGGTAGGCTAGGCTCGCCCTGCTGTGTTATCGATACAAATATGGGCTGATGGACAAAATCAGGAGCTGAATGGGGGCGCTTCTAGACTCAACAACCTGTCACGGCTACTCATTGACCATTTCCAAGAAAGCATATACCGACGTAAGTAATCTCACAGATGTCCATCATCTGAGAGGCTCTGTCTCTGACTTTCAGGTTTATAGGACGTAGGATTGACGTATGGACTCAGGATGCACTGAATGCTGCTCTGGGATGGAGAGGAGTGAGTACTACCTTGGTTTACAATCATGCCAAGTGGCGAGCACCAGGCCACTTTCCTGGTAATGGAAGTGAAGACTGACAGAGTATACAGATGCATGCCCGTGAGTTACAGCCCGGCTTTTGAGCCAGGTACCTGTTTTCTAAGTCCCCGAATCACTTATTCATACCTGTACATGCAGAATCGTATGCAGCATGCTGCAGGAAGTATGGAGTGCACACAATCCATCCCGGAAGACTCGACGCTCAAAACTGCAACTGGAACCAAGAAGCCATGAGATCCATGTCAAACGGTCTAGCCGAGCCCTGGGCCAACTTCAGTTCTACCATTCAGACTCAGCTTGACGATATCTGCCTCTTTCTGGATCAGACGTTATCCTCGGCAGTCCCCCAACTAGGTCAGTATGGGTTCGAGCACGCCTGGCCTGAGCGGCCACCATGGTTGATGGTAGCGGGATATTACCTAACACTTCCCGGACACAGACCATAGCCAACAGGGTCTGCTTGACTCAGTGCTGCCGGTCCGCCAGGCACTCATATCCCGCAAGCATCTTCTTGTTGGGCAGGTGGAAGACCTTTGCGACAGGTTCGAGACGCAACTGGCGTAAGTCGCCGCATCATTTCACATCCCACCACACTCGCGTACTGACACCAGACTGGAAACAACAGCACGCTTCGCACCGATGCGCTCTCCAGCCTACGAACAGCCTTCTTCGGCCAGGAAATGGAAAGCCCTTATAACCTCGCCATCCGAGAGACAGGTCAGTCCTTCTCTCCTTCACTAGCACACCTAGCTACTACTAGTTGCTCCGGCAGCGACTGACATTCGGCATGTTTTACTGCGCGCAGGAACGGGATGCACGGTCCGCAAGCAGCGCATTATCGAGGGCGCGCTCGGTCAGAACCGGCTGCTCAGTGCTGTGATGGGAAAGTTCCGTGACCGGTTCGGCGAGCTTGCCACGACGCTGCAGGACGACGTAAAACAGGCGGTGGACGAGCATCTGGGTGTGATAAAGGGCACGCTGGATATCATTCGGGACGAGAATGTCGCGCTGGAAAGTGAGAGAGACCCGGAGTTCAGAGAGCGTGTGGGAGACGGGGTTAGGGACGCGATGGAGAAGATGGAGTGGGTTCTGCGCGTGGTTCAGGGCGTGTCATGAGCGATGGACGGTGGCGGCTGAGGCCTGAGGGAATAAAGGGGAGTCTCCAATTGAACAGGGTCAGCAAGCCAGTGAGGCGTGGGACTGTGTCGGCGGGGACGGAGGAAGGTTGAGAGGTTCAACGTGGTGGATTGACAGAGCTACTGAAGAAGGAGGAAATCCAGGGGCCATTTACAGGCCAGAAATAGGGGCAGTATGGCTGGCTGAGATGAGCGTGTGATCCACACGACAGATTGACTCGTTTCGTATGTCAATTTTGCTAAGCAAGGTACAACCCATAGTAGATACACTGGTATGTGATCCTCGACACGCTTTTTGTATCAACTATCAGGGCCGTTTTTGGGACATAGAATATGCCCGGTGGTTGAACCACCCTACCCGGAATGGGCGGGACCTGAACTTCTGAAGTACGGGCCAGAATTGGACCCACATTCTCCTGAGCCAGTGTTTACATACAGTATAAACAACCCACAACGCTAGCGTTTGAATAGGGGTTTTGGTGGCGCTTTAGCGGTCGTTGCCCTGAGCAGCCGTGGCAGCGTAGATCCTTAAGACACGGCAGTTCCCATTTTCCATCACCAACTGGGCAGGTCACTCTCGGTTGTCTCCAAAACCTGGAATTCGTCGGCTACTGTTCTAATAACTGAGACTTTCAAGGTTCTGCTACATTTTCATTCCCCGAAATGCCCTACGACGATATCATTCGCAACGGTTTCAGATGTTCGTTCGGCCGATTTTACGCGCGGCATTGCGTCGAACGCGTTGACAGTTCCAGCTTGAAGTCCATGTTTCTCCCGCGACTGACAGGAGGGTGTCCTTCCGAGGACTTTGTCCGCGGTCAGTTGCAACATTATGGCGTGGATTATGATGAGAAGGACTTCACGGGGAATGGCACCCGGTTGATGAAAAAGGTGCTCCAGGCCGGCAAGGTGCGACACTCGACCCCTCGTGTTCTGCCCTCCGAGGGCAGTTCTCGTCACCATTTCGGCATAGTGCTCCATTACTGACTTGAATGTAATCCAGTGCGATAAAGTCCCCAATCATATTGCGCAGCTACGATTACAGATGCACATGGAGTGGCTCGAACAACTGTCCGAGGAAGAACTTTCGGGCCACCCAGAGTGGATCATGGAAAAGTATATCGTTGATGGCTCAGGCAAACCGGATCCAGCAAAGACAACCAAGGTCGTCGGTATTCCCTACCCTCTGGACAGTGAGTACCGCGCAGGGCAACTCAGTCAAGCTGCCCGGCGGGTTAGTGGCCTACGCCAGGCTACAGGATGAGGCTCTACCCAAACCATCTACTTGGGCTGGGATCGTAATGCGGTGGAAAAGGCGGCCAAGGACCATGCTGCCAAAGAAGAACGAGCGGAACGGGCAAAGGCAGCCGCACGGGAAGAAGAGCGAGCTTCAAAGCACAGAAAATATCTTGCCAACGCAAAAATGCTCACGCCAGACTACAGGGCACCTTCCCCCATTGGACACTATATCGTCGACTGCGACGAAATCGAGAGAAACTGGCCTGACTTGTCTCAAGACATGACGCTGGCTATCCATGGAACCCCCAACCACGGCATATACCAGGCCAGCTTCGATTTTGGCGTCAGCAAGGGAGTTAATGATACTAGGCTGCGTCGAACGCGTCCTCGACAATCGATTCTGTGCAGAGCGAGAAGAAGACACTATCTACGACGATGAATTCGACGACGAGGAAGATGACGATGAATTCGACGACGAGGAAGATGACGATGAATTCGACGACGAGGAAGATGACGATGAATTCGACGACGAGGAAGATGACGATGAAGACGAGGACGAGGAAGATGACGATGAAGACGAGGACGAGGACGAGGACGAAGATGTGGACGATGAAGAAGATGATAGCCAAGATGAGAGCGCAGATGATACACCTGCTGTGGGCTCTAAGAGGAAGATCCCGCTATGGAAGACCAAGGCTACCAACAAGCTGCCTCGCGGACGGCCCCTGAAAAAGGCAAGGGTAACCGGGGCTGGCAGATCTGCGAAATACTTTGTGCGCCTGAAATCTCGTGAATACCGAACAGGGATGATTTATCCGAGGCCACAGAAAGGGACGATTAGATTCAGCGGACCCGATCTCTCTAGCTTTACCGGAGAAGTCGACATCAGTGGCATTGACCGGGGAATCTTCTTCAAAGCGCGTAAGATCTCTGCTGTCCCGCAGAGACCGCGCAATTCATGGGATAACTATTCTGAAGCTGCCTATGAGCGTGCTCGAGTTGATCGCTGGAGGTAGGTTGTCTGTACTAGGAAGGGGTGCGGATAGAGTTCGAAAAACCCCATGAAGAGAATCGAGTGATACTGCAGTTGCATCAATCGAACCGCTAAACGTCATTCAGAGACAACGCAGCTTTAGAATGTCACCTCAGCGTCTCAGTAATGACAAACATCTTTAACCACCGTTCCAAAAGGCAACATCGAACTCACTACTATTGTGTACACTTGCCTATATGAGCTTTAACCTAATGATGTCGACCAAAGGCAACAGTTAGCTTTGAAACTTCTTGTGCAACACCTCAAATCAAGCAGATCCATCGAAGTGAACATACCTAGGTAAATACCTACGTACGTAGAGGACGACCCACCCTTGAATGGTAACGGATTTATCCAAGAGCCCAAGGGATTCCGATAGAGTCTTGTCAAGTCAGTTCAGTTCTCTCTCTCCTTGGGCTTCTTTCTCGTTTGGTCTCCCCAAACCTTGATTTGTCAGCATTGAATCGAAGATTCGTCGACAGCGCCACGGTGTGTTGCTGACCCGTTTTCGTATTGTGTTCCTGTCTTGGCCCCTGATTTCTAAGCGCCAAGACGTTAACAACACAACTCTTGGGCTCGCTTGAGCTCCACGAAAGGAACTCAAGAGAGCAAACATCCACCATTTCAGCTTGGCGATTTGCATGATTAGTATAACATCGAAACAATGTCCCTTCGGCGTGACTCACTGACGAACTTTGTTCTCACATCTGCAGGAACGACTAGAGAAGGCCTGATGGCCAAGGCTGAGGCTCGACGCCAACGCGAAGGGGACCTCCTTTCAGGGTAGCAATCGCGTGGGATGATTGAAGGCGATGCCTTCTACTTCGAGGAGAGTAAACACCAAGAAGAGATGTTTAGTGATCATCCCGATCTTCTTCAGGTCTGGACAAGCAGAATGGTCAGGCTATGATAAAAGCAGTCGAGTATAATAACATGCTTCTTGCCTCTTCCATCAAACTCTTGACCAGATCATCCTCAGCAGTGAACCAACGATCATCAACATCCAGAGGTTGTATCAACACCACCATCTTTCACTCAAAGAACTTTTTTTGCCAAACACCTCCAAACACAAAATGGCCATCACCGTCACCTCCATCGGCATCGGCAACATGGGCGCGGCCCTCGCCAACGCCCTGCTCAAATCAGGCAACGTGAACCTCACAATCTGGAACCGCACCGCGTCCCGGCCGCAGGTTCAGTCACTCATCTCGGCAGGAGCCACCTTCGAGCCCTCACTCGCCACGGCCCTGAGTAAGAGTGATATCATCCTCTTCTGCGTGCTCGACTACAGCGTCATCTCCACCGTGCTCTCGCAGCTCGACACCAAAGACAGCAAGCCCTTCGCCGGCAAGACCATCCTCAACCTGACCAACGGCACGCCCAAGCAGGCGCGCGAGATGGAGGCACACTGCAAGTCCGCCCTGGGCGCGGCGGCCTACTTTGACGGCGGCGTCATGGTCACGCCGCAGCTGGTCGGCACGCCGGCCGCGTTTGTCGTGCTCTCGGGCGAGACCGAGGAGAAGTACAAGGCCAGTCTCGAGGCGTCGGGCCTTCTGAAGCCCGTCGGCGGAGTGCTGTATGTCGCTCAGGACCCTGGCGCGGCGAGCCAGGTCGACTGCGCGGCGCTCGCGAGCATGTTCGGCATGTTCATCGGCGCGTTTACGGGGATTGGGTTGATCAAGAAGCTCAAGGCGGCCGATGAGGATGGTGCGGGTGTTGCCAAGGCTAAGCCGCTGGTTGATAAGGTCATGATCCCCCTTTTGACCGCGCTGGTTCCCTACGTGGGGTTGCTGGCTGAGCAGATCGACCAGGAGCGGTGGATGGATGATCTGGGGAATCCGCTCGCTATGCAGGCTGAGGGGGTCAGGAACATTTTGCAGTCGTGTGAGGATGAGGGGGTTGATGGGACGGGGTTGAAGTTCCTCTACCAGCTCATGGAGCGGGCTGTGAAGGATGGGTTTGGGCCCGGCGGCGTGGCTGCTGTGGCTAAGTATATCATTTAGTAGGCGCGGAAGAGGTCGGTTGGTTGGAATGTGAGGGTTTCTGGGAGATCTGATGTAGATAGTTTCGTGGCAACAGTAAACAGACAATGTTGGACCATCAACGGCCTCAATACAGTACCTTGATGACAGACCCCCAGCCCCGGGACGCATCATTCATTTCCCCTCAGCACGAACATGTCTCCAATCCATCCAAACGCCCTTGTGAGCCTCCTTCCCATCCTTCTAGCCATAGTAAACGGGATCTTACCCCGAGGATGTGGCTGGTGGAACTGGATTCTGGTCTGGCTTTCGGTATCCAATCTCTGGAATTGCCACGCGGATCCGTACAGCTTCTCCGCAGAGAATATGCCTGTGGATGTCATGGCGTAGATAGAGTCCTGCCAAGACACCTCACCCCGTGTTGACGTGACTCCCGGGTTGAAGAAAAGCGTGCGAAAGACCTTGAGCGCGCGCGAATCGACTCGAATGGGCGTCGGCTCGGCTTTCTTGTCAACATTTTCGTCGGGTACAGGCGTCAGTATTGTGTCTTTCGCTTCTCCCTTTGTTTTCGTCTTGACCTTCGCCGTCGTGGCGACCTTTTGTTTGGGTGCCGTCTCTCCGGAGAAATACAGTGTCGACAGCGGTCGGACCAGCGACTCAACGCTAGTGCTAGCATCATTCCGTTGCGATTGTTTCTTCGTGATGGTGGCATTATCCACCCACTCAGGGGTACGCTGTAGCATGCGGTTCTCGGACAAGAGAGACCGCACGGCAGTACCCTCCAACGGTTACAGTTGAAGTCTACTATCTCATCAACAGCACGCCAAAACTCATCCAGATTCTGCTCCGCGCGACGTAGAGCTTCGACGTTCTCTTTGGTTCGGCGCTTCTCGGATGGGTAGAAGAAACGCCTGTCTGATGTCTCTGCGAGATGCGCAATGCGCGTAAAGTTCTTCTCCTTGATCCCTCCAATCATGGATACAAGCGGCTTTTCCCAGGCGGCGTATCTTTCCTTGATGGCCTCTATCTTCTCCACCTCGGCCGACTCGAATGCTCGAGCCCAGGGTTGGTACTGGTTAACCTGAGCCATACATTGAGCGATAATGGAAGCATTACTAATGACTTCGGCAATGCGTGAGGAGATCAAGTCTGCAGCCTGTGGTTCAGCCTGTATAAGTCGCTCCAGCTCATCCAAGACCAATGGCATTTGGGCGAAAAACAGAGTTTCGCTGTCCTCCCAGAGCGTCCTAAGAAGCCATATCACTTGTTCTTCGACTTTGGTCGGCGTGGCTCCAGGCCTTGGCGCGACCTCAAACATCACTCGAGCGGCGGTGGCGTTCGCCGGCGGTTTGCGAACGAAGAAGCGGCGCAACGGGGGAGAGCCGACGGCGCTGTAACGGAGCACGCCTAAGGGCTCTTTAGCTGCCTGACCCAGGAGATGGCGAAAGGTCAGGAGGCCGTCAAGAAAGTCCTCGGGCAGGTCTTTGGCCGGTGAGAGGGTTGGGGCGTATTTGTCGTGCAGCAGACGCAGCTTTTTCGCTTGACGGTGAAGCTCTGTGAAGAACTCGAGCTCGGCGTAGGCCTCAAGCACAAGGTTTGGAATTGCTCGCGCCATGACGACTGGGCCTACGCCAGGGCGAAGCGCCGGATGGATGTTGCCTTTAGTATCCTTGAGCATTTCGATGCTGTTGTCCCGAATCTCGAGGATTTTATCGGCGAAATAATCGGGCTCTTCTCGCAACGCCCATATGTGATCCTTGGCGGCAGATACTCTGGCCTCGAGAAGCAGTTCCATGCGTTTGAAATCGATGCGGGATGGTAGTCGATATGGTGCTTCTGCGGCCATGACGACAAGGGACTCAAAGCCGTTGGCCTCCACCTCGGTCTTCAGATGAAGTTCGGGTTGTACAGGATATGTTTCGGATGTCAACCTGTCCTCTGGTATGTCGTGAAGGATGACTCTGACAAAGTCAAGTAGAAACCTCAGGATTCGCTCCTGAGTCTCAAGTACCAGAAGGCCATCCCCAGGAAGGAACTGCTTCTGAGTGTGCATCCACTCAAAAGCGTCCGGGTGATCATCCCAGGCTATCAGCTCGCCGTATTTCGCAGGATCCGTAGCGCCATTGAGAATCATCACATATTCATTCAGGTAAACGGGCTGGATGGCATGAGTGACCTTGCCAAAGTGGTTTGCGGTACTGTCGGTGGCCGCGAAGTGGGACGGATGGTGACGAGCGCGTGCATTCAGAAGCAGTAAAAGACTCTTGGGCTTTGAGAGATCCTCCTGGTTGATGTATGGCCACACGAAGGCCTCGCGGTATTTCGTTCCTCGGACGCGTTGCTCCTTGGTCTCCTTGCGGAAGGCCTCAAAGTCCGGACGGTGAACGGCAGACATGCCAGGCCAGCATTCTAGCAGTATCTTGCGTTTCTGCTGTCCGGATTTCTTCAGCCATCGCTTCTGGATGGTTTCCTCGTGACGCGTCACAATGGCGTGCAAAGAGTTAAATGTCTTGTGGATGATTCGCGATCTTTCCCGAGCTTCCTTGCGGACGTCGCCGGGTGATTCATACGCCGGAATGGGAAAGCCAGGCCCCAATAACTGGGCAAAATGGCTGGGATCATTGAAATCGAGCGTATTTAGGTCAAGATCATTGGGGAGATTGAGATTTCTGACAAGGAGTCGACTTCGTAAGGCATATTCAAATGAGCCATGGCAGGTTCGTGGCTATTCAGGTTGAGTTAAAGAAAATATCAATGATAACAATGGAATATCAGGGTTGGAATTGTGTTTGAGTTTGGGCAGAACTTGGGTTGTAGTCGTCCCCGGCGTGAAACGCGGTTGCCACTGCCCCTCAGCGCCTTACCCCGCCTTCCCACCTGTGCGTGCCCCACATAGGTGCCCCATGGAAAGCACCGGCCGCTACAGAAAGACCACAATTTTCTCGTTTGGACTACCGTAAAAACTCGCCAAATCCGTCCTCTTCTACTGCGCGTACCAAAGCCAGGCGACGTATCTCATGGCTCAGTCCTCTTTGGCATCCTAACTGTAAGGTTTTGAACCACTGCAGGCCAGTTGCAAGCCGGCTTCCTGGGATTGGTCGGTTGTCTTGGGTACGCGCAGTAGAAAAGGACGGATTTGGCGAGTTTTTACGGTATCCTTCCCGTCGCCCGATTACATGTGTTTTATGCTCGAACTCCCCATCCTTCTATTAGCCACTATCAACATCACGCAAATACATGATATTTGCCGTCGACAAAGGTGATGTAATACGGTAAGTCTTCACCTCCCTGCGCCAGGTGCAGGAACATTTCGGCGTGAGAATCACCCCCTGGATTAGGGCCCATCGGCTTTCCTTCGGCAGTCCGCTCCTCGGCATAGAAGAACCTGATTCAGTCAGCATCATGTGCCCGAAGTCGAGCACAGCAACTAGCAATTGCTACCAGTAGCTGTTCGGAGTGGCACCACTCACCGCCAGCCTTTCTTCTTGTACAGCAAGTCGGCAGCTCCAACCCAGTATGCCGCGCCGGCCTTGCCAATGCCAAGGGTGGTGAGATCCGGGTTAGGCGCAATGACCTTCGACAGGATATTGCCCGTCATAATGAAGCGTTTCTTCTCTGCATCATCAGCCCCAGCAGCCCAGGCCTTGAAGCATTCGCCCGCCGCAACAAAGGGGCTGGTGACCATAAGTGCAAGGTCCTTCTCAAACGTCTCGAGGGGGACGCTGAAGATGTTGTCCTTGTCCGGGGAGGGCGTCAGGCTGGCCGCGTTCCAGATGACGACGCTCGGGTAGGCGCCCCACGTCCTCTGCACGGCTTCAAACGCGCGGGAGATCTGGGAGGGCTGCGAGAGGTCGGCGCGGACGGCCAGCGTTGTGCCGTCGGAAGACGGAACGGGCGGGTCTGCTGCGTTGCGAGATACGGTGGCCACCCGGTAGCCGGCCCCGGCGAACTTGCGGACCAGCGCGGCGCCGATGTTTGCACCAGCTCCGAAGATGAGGGCGGTTGGTTTTTGTGAAGCCATGATGATTGCTAGAAAACGGAGATTGGATAGAGGCGGAGGGCTGGTCTTGGTTTCTTCAAGCTGCTGTCGACTCCAGGAACAGGTACCGGACTACTAGTGAGTACTTGATCTCCGTTGTTCTCTTATACTGGAGCGCTGCGTCAATCATCAGCGGCCAGAAGAAGCAGGACGCGGTGAATTTGTCATCAGGCCATCATTACGAACTGGCGTAATCTGATTACAAAGACACCTGTCGAGTTCTATCCCTCATAGACCCATCTTGATGTTTCCTTACAACGCAGGATCCACTAACCACCCGGCTGCATCACACTACTGCGCATGTAGGTAGATTTTGCGGAACTCCGCCGAGCCCCGCTTCGATCTATCGTATGTCCGCATTGATGCATATCTTGGATGATTCAGCGCCCTCGACAACGGTTGATCCCATTGGCCGTGATGATTGATGATCTATGTTGCTAACTGACAGCGTAGGATCGCTCAAAGCTTTGGAGTTCGGTTCATTAGGTCTAGGCTCGACTGCATGGGTTCATGTTTACAGCTCCCGGGCCATCCAGTCTTCTATCACATCTTTACCCCTGTAGGTAACAGCCATCATAACGCCAAACTCGTCTACATTTGCCGGATCCGCGCGCCCTACAATCTGGGAGAAATTCATTCGGCTAACCCATCCAGGATCAGTCTCATTAACAGCGCGCTGCCATTGCCCTGGTGTCTTGGCCGCCCACAGCCGGGACCCGCTGGTGAAGGACATGTCGGTGACGACGGGCCCGAGACGGCAGTACCCCTGCTTTGCCATGGCGTAGATGCCGCGGATCACGAAGGAGATGATGATGGTGCGCCGCACACTCTCGCTGAACAACCAACGCCGCCACCTAGTCGACATCGAGGAGGCGGCATCGTCACCTGCATGCAGGTGCAAGTCTGCGCCCTGGAAGATGTCTCCGCCTACCCGGGCCTGGAGCGCGGCTGTCCATGCCGCCTGCACCGGCTCGACGGCTTCGGCTAGCGCCCGCTGGCGGATGTCACCATCAAAGAGGCGGATCATCTGGTAGATAAGCAGGGCCTGCAGGGCGGCCAGTTGCCTCAGGATGGTCCAGTTGCTCTGGTCCGGGCTGTACAGCAACGCGTTGGTCTTGGTCTCGACCAGCTGCATGATCAGGTCGCTGTTGGCCTCGTTCTTGGCAATGTAGGCTGCTGAGACGGCGAAGGCATCCTGGAGGGCCGGCGGCAACCCAGATAATAAACTGGAATTGCTACCGCCGTACTGACCGTACAGCGACGGATGGATGAAGGGCGTGGTCGCCTCAACCACCCAGCGGTGCGGCCAGGCGCGGTACTGGCTCACACAGTAAACCATGCTCGGGCGTGAAATACTGGTGTTGGCGGGGCCGCTGGCGTTGAAGAAGATGGGCCATGGGTTGTCGCCATAGTCGGACACAACGGGGACCCAAGTCCCTGTTGACCCTGTGCCAGCACTGTTGCTCGCACTAGTAGTATTACTAGTACTGCTACCGCCCCCAAGCGCATTCAGCCCATGCAAAAAGTCCTGAAATGCTGACATCCCGTTGCCGGCGAGGCCGACGGGCTCGGCGGCGGGCAACACATCTGTGAAGTACGGTACCGAGGTAGCGTGGTGGTAGCTAACATCATAGTCACCGTTGTAGTAAGCGCCGGATGCGGGCACATCGGCGACCGCTCCGAGTCCTGCTGCGGGTATCAGGTTCCGATCCGGCCGGATTGGTTCAAGTTCGTGTTGTGCCTCATCATTCATGGCCAGGGGAAGTTGGGGAAGCTCGTAGCGGCAAATCGCTATACCTCTTTGCTGGCACCGCCCGCAGCGAGGGAGCTGTTCGTCACAGCGTCGCTTCGCTCGCTTGCAGGCGGTACATGCCCGCCGGCGGGAGATGGCGGGCGGCATGGGTAAGAACCGGACAGGGTGATCGCCAAGGGAACTAGAAAACAAGCTCGCTGCCTTTCGGTATTCCTGATATCTTGGCCGAGCAAGATGGAGTGCGTCATGTAAATAGTACTCCACATACACCGCCCCTATCGGTGGAAGTCCGCTTATCTTCAACTTATACCATCCCGATCCCGGCACATCCTATGATTCCCCGCACCGGAATCCTACATAAGCTAACTCTCGCCCGCGGGATCTAGACCTACGTACTCAGCAAAATGCAAACCGCTTACTCAGTGTCATTGTTGCCGCGTTTCATTGATGTCATCTGGTGCTGCAGCCATGATCTACTATCACATCATGGGTACCATTGTTAGGCGATCTGGAACACAGTCGAGTCATCCGTCTTTTGGAATATAATAAAAGTCGACACTGAGAACTTGTACGGACTGACCGTCGGTCCAAGTCCCATGACATAGACAAACATCTGGCACTTGAAATACCTGAAGCCACCCCTGAGTCTTCAAGTTGCCATCCAATTGCTCTCCCACGTCACAGAATCTCCCAGCAGACTAAGCCAACAACAACATCACAAGATGGCCAAGGTCACCCCGGCCGGAGAGAACGCAGAGCCCCAACTGCGCAATGAAGCTGCCCACGGCGTGTGTTTCTACACGCCAGCTCAAGACCCTTCAGCCGGAACCGCCGCGTCGCCTCAGCCAAGTGGAAAGCCAGTGCCCAAGCTGTTCACTCCGCTCCAAATACGCGGCATGACAATGCAGAACCGCATCATGGTCAGCCCCATGTGCCAGTACAGCGCTCACGAGGGCTTCCACACCATGTGGCACACCACTCATCTGGGCGGTATTATCCAGCGCGGAGTATGTCCCTGTTATGCTCCTTTCTATCTTTCAGCCCAGCTAACCGATATCCTCACAACTGCAGCCAGGCCTCACCGTAGTCGAAGCAACCGCGGTGCAAGCCAACGGGCGCATCACACCCGAAGACTCCGGCCTCTGGCTCGACGCGCACATCGACCGGCTGCGCGAGCACGTCGCTTTCGCCCACAGCCAAGGACAAAAGATCGCCATCCAACTCTCCCACGCGGGACGCAAAGCCTCCACCGTCGCGCCCTGGCTAAGCAGAGGCTCCACCGCAACCCGCGAGGCAGGCGGATGGCCCGACGACGTCGTAGCACCAAGCGCGGTGGCGTACGACGCGCACCACCCTTCGCCGCGGGAGATGTCCCTGGACGAAATCGAGCAGGTCAAGGCTGATTTTGTCGCTGCCGCCCGCAGGGCTGTCAAGGCAGGGTTTGACGCGGTTGAGATCCACGGTGCGCACGGGTATTTGCTGCATCAGTTTGTGAGCCCGGCGTCGAATCGCCGGACGGATCGGTACGGTGGGGAGTTTGACAGCCGGGTGCGGTTGGCGTTGGAGGTTACCGAGATGGTGCGGGAGGCGATTCCGGAGAGTATGCCGCTTATGTATAGGATTAGTGCGACGGACTGGTTGGAGGAGGATGATGAGGTGGGGCCGGGGTGGACGGTGGAGGATAGTATCCGGCTGGTCCCGCTGTTGGCGGAACGGGGGGTTGATGTGCTCGATGTGTCGACCGCGGGGAACCATCCGAGGCAGAAGATCAAGGGCGGGCCGGCGTACCAGGCCCCCTTTGCCATGGCCATCAAGAAGGCGGTGGGGGATAAGATGCTTGTTGGCACGGTGGGTGCTATCACGACGGGCACGTTGGCTGAGGAGCTGGTGAGTGGTGGTCCGGATCCTGACAAGGCGTTGGACTTTGTGGCGGCCGGCAGGATGTTTCAGAAAAATCCTGGACTGGTGTGGGCTTGGGCTGAGGAGCTGCAGACGTCCATCTACCTGCCTAAGCAGATCGGCTGGGGCTTTGGCGGGCGGACTAGCAAACCCAGTCACCACTGAGACAGCGCGGATGCTTGGTAGTACTAGTGCTGACTGCTTACCTGGCTGGAATCTCCTGGAGTATGTAGTAGACGCAAGCCTGGGGTTTAAGGGGTCCTTGAATCCCGTCAGGACGCTGCCTGGGTGGGTACTAGTAGATGTCTATTATATCCTGAAATAGCTGCAATTACTCAGGCTTAGAGTACAGAACTGATATCCTGTTGGTGATGATCCCCGCTTCCCTTCTATTATGTCCACACCTTCTTCTCTCCCCCACCCCTGAGAATCGGCTACCCCCTAGTGTTGAGCCACCCAGGCCTCGTAATGGTCACGCAGCATTTCCTCGACCGGCCTGTACTTGATCCCAAACTCCTTGGTACCACGCGAATTATCCAGCGAGAAGTCGATCCCCCAATTTCTCGTTACCCACATCTGCGACACGCCAGCAAAAGGCGCGAAAAGGCGAAACACCAGCGCCGGCAAAGTCCAGGTGGGCAGAACCAGCGGCTTGCTGTGAAGCCGTTTGAAAGACTTTGACAAATCCAGACACGACGTCGTCTTGCTCTCGGCAACGATGTATCTCCCCTTGGCCTCCGGCACCTCGGCGGCTCTGACATGAGCTGCCGCTACATCCCGCACGTCCACCACTGCCCACGACAGAGCGGGCACACCTACCATCAGCAACCCACTGAGCAGCTGGTCTATGAGCGCAAGACTGCCCGAGTCTGAAGCAGGGGATAGCGACGGCCCCAAGACCAGACCCGGGCAGATGACTACCAGATCCCAGCGGTCTTGGGATTCAGCTATCTTCCAAGCTTCTTTCTCTGCCAGTGTCTTGGAATACTGGTACGCGTTGTGTGAGATGCTGCTCGTTGTGTTCCAGCAGCCCTCATGCAACGTTGCGTTTTCATACTGCAGCACATCGGCCGCGTCCCCGTACATGGCACCGACTGCTGGGTCGTTAGAATTGAAGCTGTACGGAGTAGCATAGACAATTTGTGTCAAGTCCCTGTAACGCACCTGATGAAGTCAGAACGACCCTCTTCACGCTCTCAGTCTTGTTCACAGACTCGAGGACATTGCGGGTGCCCTCAAGCGCCGGTTGGATGAGGTCAGTGTCCGGGTTCTTTACTCTGTCCGGCACCAAAAAGGGCGAGGCGACGTGAATGACAGTGGAGCAGCCTTGCATTGCCTCGGTGAAAGAGTCGGCGACAAGCAGATCTGCCGCAAAGAGCCGCAGTTTGCCTGGGTGCTTGTCGGCGAGGGATTTCAGGGGCTGGGCCTTGGTCCCGTTTTGCAGGTTGCGTACCGTGGCATGGACGGTCCATCCAGCCTCAAGCAGGCTGTTGACGACATGCAGGCCGATGTAGCCGCTGCCGCCCGTGACAAGAGCTGTGCGAGCCGGCATCGTCGCGGTTGGATTCTGATGTTGACAGTTGACGTTGTCACCAGTGCACGTGAAAAGGTAGAGTTCCACCTGTCTAACGGCGAACGTCTAGTGCTTACTGTGTAGGAGGAAATGGGAGATGACAGGGGATCCCTGCTGGTAACTCATGATCGTTGTCACCCTGAAGATAGGGGCTCAGGGGGGATTGTTTATCTAGGTCTAACGGCCGTCGATAAACTCCAATCCTACATAACACCAACTTGCCGCGCCCGATTTTCCCTTTCGAGTTGCCCTCCATGTACTCGTCAGGAGCTTCAAAATCGCATCTGACCCACTGCTTCGCAGAGGGTCAGGACGGTTGATTCGCGAAAAACGGTTGATTCGCGAAAATACACCACTACATGCCCTACCATACAAATTTGTTAGCGAACCAATGTTATACCGTCTTCTTGCATCTATATTGCTTGCATGCATGCATATTATTTCGGACCGCGCCAGATATA